GTGACACCATATCCATTCATAGCTTCGAATATACCTTCAAAGTCTGTTCTTTAGAATGGTAATAATTTAGCCAATGCTGTTTATCTACCAGCTAAATCAGATGCCAAAATCATTTCTCTCATTGCTTTAATTCTTTCACCTTCAAAGAACATATGTTCAGTTCTTGTCAATCCAATACCTTTAGCACCGAATTTTCTAGCAACTTAAGCATCTTTTGGTGTATCTGCATTAGTTCTGACATACATTCTAGTATATTTTTCAGCCCAATCCATAATTAAACCAAAATCTCCACTGAGTTAGGCTTCTTATGTTTATAATTTGCCTTCAAAAACATCTCCTGTTGATCCATTTAATGAAATCCAATCTCCTTCAGCATACACTTTACCACCTACTTCAAGTGTTCTTTATTTATAATTAATATTTAAAGCTCCTGCTCCACAAACACAACATTTACCCATACCTCTTGCAACAACTGCAGCATGAGAAGTCATACCGCCTCTAGCTGTCAATATACCTCTAGCAATGTTCATACCTTCCAAATCTTCTGGAGATGTTTCAATTCTAACTAAAATACTTTGAGCAAATTTCTTAGCTTCATCAGCAAAGAAAACTATTTATCCTGATGCTGCACCTGGAGATGCTGGTAATCCCTTAGCTACAAATTTAGCTGTTTTCAAAGCCTCAGGGGTGAATATTGGATGCAATAATTCATCTAATTTATTTGGTTCAATTCTCTTAAGAGCTGTCTTTTCATCAATCTTTCCTTCTCTAAATAAATCACAAGCAATTTAAACCATGGCAGCACCTGTTCTTTTACCATTTCTGCATTATAATAACCATAATTTTCCATTTTGAATTGTGAATTCAATATCTTACATATCTTTGAAGTGTTATTCTAATTTTTCTTAGACATTCTTCAATTCTAAGTAAGTTTCAGGTAATGATTCTTCTAATGATGGGAATTAGGTTTTTCTAACTTCTTCTTAGACTCCTTATGATTCAGCCCATCTTTTTGATCCAATCAAAGTGATTTATTATGGTGTTCTAATACCAGCAACAACATCTTCTCCTTAAGCATTGATCAAATATTCTCCATTGAAAATATTTTCACCAGTAGATGCATCTCTAGTGAATCCAACTCCTGTAGCTGAAGTATTACCCATGTTACCAAAAACCATAGCTTAGACATTAACTGCAGTTCCCCAATCTTCAGGGATTTTGTTAAGTATTCTATAGTATTTAGCTCTATCATTATTCCAACTATCAAACACAGCTTAAATAGCTCTCCATAATTATTATTATGGTTCTTATGGGAAATCATTTCCTGTTTTAGCTTTAACAGCCTCCTTGTATTTTACAACGAGAACCTTAAGATCTTCAACATCAAGTTCGGTATCTTATTTGACTCCTTTAGCATGTTTGACACTTTCAATAATTTCTTCAAATGGATCAATGTCTTCTTTAGTAGTTGGCTTCATATCTAAAACTATGTCACTAAACATTTGAATGAATCTTCTATAAGAATCCCATGCAAATCTTGGGTTGTTTGTTCTCTTACTCAATCCTTCAACTGAGACATCATTTAATCCCAAATTAAGAATTGTATCCATCATACCAGGCATTGATACTCTTGCTCCAGATCTGACAGAAACAAGTAAAGGATTCTCAGCTGAACCGAATTCCATCTTGGTCAATTCTTCAACTTAATGAAGTGCTTATTCGACATCAGCCTTGATGAGAGCGAAAGTTGATTCTGCACCATTCTTAGTGTATAAGTTGCAAGCTTCTGTTGTAATTGTAAAGCCTGGGGGTACAGGAATGCCAATCAAATTCATTTCTGCCAATCCTGATCCTTTGCCTCCCAAAAGGTTCTTCATTGCTGCACTGCCTTCAGCCTTGCCATCACCAAATGTATAAATATATTTGCTCATTTATTTATTTAATTCATTGAGACGTGTATCCATTACCTTTTGTATGAAAATTTCATATATCCATTATTTCTAATTAATATCTTCTTATTGCGCACTATGAATTATAATATTTCTAGAAAAATTATAATTATATATAAATCTCATTCAAAAACTACAACCTTCAGCAAACTATCTGAGGCATATTATCTTTCAATATAATCATTCAATAACTTAATACTCTTTTTCTTTAGGTTGCCTAAGTTGATATAATTTATAAACCTAATTTCATTCCATACTAAGCATGATTTGATGCAAGTGCCAAATCTAACAAGCATCATTTATATTATGACTTTCAATTTTACCCCAAGAATAATGACAAAAACTTCATCAAATCGCTTTTTGGAATTATATATAAGTCTCCCATTACATTACGAATGTATATCTTGAGCAGTTTAAAACTACTAAATGTGTTTTTTAAGTATCTCTCTGACTTTATCTGTGATTGTTTATATACATGATTAAAATGAGGTTTTATATTTGATACATGTCTTAATTGATCATATGTAAAAAACTAACGTATGTGTATACGAGAAAATATATTATCATCACTTTTAAATTTAGCATTCTTTAAAGTATCAAATGAACAAATTATTTTTTTATCTTATTAAATTCAATTTAAGCATATCATAAAAAAAATTGGGCTTCCTTTCATCATTCCTAAAGTTAAACTACCTTATTCTTCTTATAGAATTTTTCATTCATAAAAAAAAATATATTAAATCTATCAGATTGGTAACAAGAAAGTACTTTTTGCAATCACAATATTTCAGAGTTCATCTATCTTATTAATTTTTAAGCCGTTTTCTGTAATTTAAATTATTCTTTTACTTGGTATCTTCTTGAAAATTATGCCAATCATATTGTATATTAAATGGCATTATTTTTAATCTAGAATTTTTGTTCTGTCCTTGATTCCATCTTTTATCTTATTATGGTTTGTTATTTTATTTTGACAAATAAATTACTTATATTTTAATACGTTCATAAATTTAAGATCAACGCAGATCAAAAATATGATAATCAATTTTTAGTGTTTTTTCAAGATTTAAAAAATCGTAACATCTTATAGTTTCTTGACTCCTTTAAGGAATTGTCATATTAACTATGCAAAGATGATTAACATTCTAATATATTATTATTTTATATAATGTATTATTTTTTTGTAATTGATCATTATTTCATAACAAGACCAGCCTCAGGGATGAAGACTTCTAAAATGCTTTTTAATTCAGCATCATCTTATTTGCTCAATTCACCAGTACTAAAAATATAATTAGACTTAAATACCTTCTAATTCTTTCCAACATAGCTGGATAGTTAGTTCTGAGATGATTAAGGAATTTTTCTTCAAATTTAGCAATTTCTGAAGTTTATACTTTATCCAAAAATCCTCTAACACCTGCATAGATAACGCAAACTTATTCTTCAGCACACATTGGAACCTAAGAAGGTATATAATTATGAGAACTTACATATTGTTTTTATTTAAGTAATTCAGTTAATTAAGCACCTCTGTTTAATAATTATTAGGTGGCAGCATCCAAATCAGAACCAAATTGGGCAAAAGCAGCAACTTCTCTGTATTATGCCAATTCTAACTTAAGTCTACCAGCAACTGTTTTCATGGCCTTGATTTAAGCAGCTGAACCGACTCTTGACACAGACAAACCGACATTGATAGCTGGTCTAATACCCTTAAATGATATAAAATTAAATAAATACTTTGAAGAACAATTCAGTTTCTAAGAAAATTTATCCATCAGTAATAGAAATGACATTGGTTGGAATATAGGCTGAGACATCACCAGCTTAAGTTTCAATAACTGGTAATGCAGTTAAGGATCCATTTCCATTTTCAGAATTAAGTTTAGCTGCTCTTTCCAACAATCTGGAGTGTAAATAAAAGACATCACCTGGATAGGCTTCTCTGCCTGGTGGTCTTCTCAATAATAATGACATTTATCTATAAGCAACAGCTTATTTAGAAAGATCATCATAAATAATAAGGGCATGCATTCCGTTGTCTCTGAAATATTCTCCAATAGCACAACCAGAATATGGTGCTAAATATTAAAGTGGAGCAGCTTCAGATGCAGTAGCTGCAACAACAATTGTATATTTCATAGCACCAGCTTATGTAAGAATTTTGACTAAGTTAGCAACAGTTGATCTCTTTTAACCAATAGCAACGTAAATGCAATATAATTATTTATTCTTGTCACCAGAGTCAAAGTTTGGTTTTTAATTAATGATTGTATCAATAGCAATAGCTGTCTTTCCTGTTTATCTATCACCAATAATCAATTCTCTTTGTCCTCTTCCAATTGGAACCAAACAATCAACAGCCTTTAATCCTGTTTACATTGGTTCATGAACACTCTTTCTTGGAATAATTCCTGGAGCTTTTAATTCAACTCTTCTTCTTGTATTTGTCTTAATTGGTCCATGTCCATCAATTGGATTACCAAGTGCATCAAATACTCTTCCCAACATTTCCATACCAATTGGTACATCAACAATTGCTCCTGTTCTTTTGACAATATCACCTTCTTAGATTTCTCTATAATTAATTTGTTTGTATCAAATACCTGTCATTACCCAACACGACAATACCAACATTATCTGTTTCCAAATTCAAGGCCATACCTCTTACTCCTGAACTGAATTCAACCATTTCTCCTGCTTACACTTATGTCAATCCAAAAACTCTAGCAATACCATCACCAATAGATATGACTGTACCATATTCTTTTATGTCATTCTAATATTATCACTATATTCCTTTACCAATTAAGAAATATTTTTAATTTTGTCTTCTAATACACTTGAGGCCTCTCCGATACCCAATTTCTTTGAGAATCCCATTGATGGTAAATACCAAAGTGATTTTCTCAATACAGATGTGTACCCTCGTATCATAATTAATTTATTTAAATTAAATCTTCAAATCAGAACATAAATACCTAATATATTATCTAACCTTTCTTATTGTCTTAACCTTCTATTTCATTATCATAAACCTTTAAATTCATTCTTATCTCAATCTTTGTACTGAAATTTAAATGATAATTCTCTTCCTTTTCATTAGCTTCAAATTATTTCAACTAAAAATTGTCTATTTATCATTACCAATTTAATAATCTATGATTTTGTATTAATAACAATTTAAACTTATAACATAATTCAAAATTATATCATAGAATTATTTTTGAGTTGAAACAGAGATGGCTATTCTAGAAAATTTTTAACAATTCTTTTATACAATAATTCTTTTCTGCTGATATCTTTTGTGTCTGACAGGAACAATCATCTTATTTAATAATGGAAATTATCAATTATAAATGAAATGAATAATCATTTAAATATAAATTATCGTAAATATTAAGAGCTTTATTTTTGTTTCTCTAAAGTTAATATTATGAATTGTTAGTCTTTTTTATTTTGAATTCTCAAAAATGTCATGTCTAATCTAATTCTATATTTTTCATAATTCCCTCAAATTAGGATATTTTTATAATCAATATAAGAACAAATTATTATCTATATTAAAATAAAAGTTAAGAATACTACTTTGATTTCATCCATCATTTTTGTATTTTATTATAAATATATTTTAATTTAAAAATGTCTTGGTATAAATAATTGGGTAATTCAATTAAAGAATTAAGATTGGTGTTTTGTCAAACTTGTAATAGATCTGAAGGTATTAGGTATATAGTATTTTTAAATTTAAATGTAGAATTTTAGGTTGAAAAGAAGGCATTCATTGGTAATCTAAATGAATAGGAATTAGAATAAGTCTTAGAATAACTTGTTGGTCAATCCAAAAAAGTTAATTCAGGTATCTGAATAGAAACATTATAAATTATACAATCAAATTTAATATAATTTTTAATTATTTGTTTGCACTGCTTCTCCTACAATTTAATTAAAGCTTTGCATATGTTTTATACGTTTGATTAAACTATCTTTAGTTGAAATATTCTTCTTTAATAAGATACTCTAATTATATAAATGATTGATCTTCTTTTCAAATAAAGAACATAGACTTGATTCAGCGGAATCATCTCTTTCTTCTAATTTTTCCTCCCCCTAATAATGTAGTTTTTGTTTAGAATTATTTTTCTAACAATAGGATTATTGAGATCTATCTGTTACACATTTTCTTTAATCTTGAAATGATTATTAAGATTTCTGCTTAAATATCTAATTCATTTTAGCATTTGAAAATTTGAGAGTTTTTGATTTTAATTATTTCTATTAATTAATATCTTATTATTCAAAAATTGTCTTATTTGCCATATTTGTTATTTCATTACTTAACTAAATTCTGCTATCTTGATTATCTTCACCAAACTCTGTTTTATTTCTTCTTGTAATTATTTTTAAATGCTTCGTTGAATTTACTTTTTTTTTAATACTACTCTAAATAGTTTTATCTTGTTCAAGTGTTTCTTGAAGTTATTGAACTGCAAAATCTGCATTCTAAACCATCTTTAAATTTTTTAAAGTTTTTTCTCTAAATAAATAATATTCAATACGCTGTTAATTCTTCATTTATTTTATTCATATGTTTTCTTATTATAACTTTTTTAAGTTATTTAGCTATTTATATACCAGGAGTATCACATTTAGAAGTATCTACTTAACTGCTAATTTCTGATCCCCTCTTTCTTTTATTCATATTATGCCTATGAATAATTCTCTCTTTCAATTTTTTTAAAGCACTTTCTCTTTAAGTTAGATATGGCATATCATCATTTGAGTTATCAAAAGATCCGTTATCATTCTTTGTTATTTTATACAGTCTCTTATAGTTTTGTAAAGTCAAGTATTCATCAGCTTACAAATCTCCATCTAAATATGCTTGAAATTTTATATGATTATCCTATTCTATTTACAATTTATTATATAAAAAAGAAGGCTATTCTTTTATTAAAGGATCATTTCTGCAAAATTGGCTTGCCTGTTTATATTCTAATTTTTATTTTGTTTTATAAAGGAAAAGTCTCAAGTTCATTAAGGCACTTAAAGGTTTTATTGAGTCAGGCGTTTTTAGATCCTTTCCATAAGAATACGCATTTCTTCTTGTTTTTTCTATTTAAGAAATCTGAAGATAATTTGGTTAATATGTTTATCTCTATCTCATAATTTTAATAATTGATATAAGATATATATATATTCGAAGATACTTGACTTATGGAAATCAATTTAAAATTATGAGCATGAATAACAAGTTTTTTTAGTATACCCACTTTCATGATTACATTAAGTGAAATAATACATAACATCTTTTTATAATACAACCTAGAAATGCCCATATTGTCAAAGGAAATATTTGCTAACAAGAGCAACAAAGAAAAATTTATCCTGATTTATATTAAATCCTTTTGTTAAAAATTAATATTTTGTAAAAGTATTCTGATGTTTAAAATATTGAATATCTAATATAGAATGTCTAATTAAATTAAAATAAATTGTAGAAGAATAATGCCTAACTATTTTTTGTGCGAATTTGAGTAAATACTGAAAAAATAAAGCTATCAATTAAAAGAAAAAAATCTTTATAAAGAAAATATCAAAAAAGAGCATTTTTATCAGTAGAATTAAAATAAGAAAAATGGTTGAAAAAATTTCATCTTGCAAATCTTTTTCCTGAAACTATCCTATTTGAGTTCCTTTAACAAATTTAAGCTTAATTATATACAGTCTATACTTTATGTGGTTATTGCTATTATTGAATAAATTAACCCACTAATTGAACTGTCTATAATTACTGGTATAAGTTCCATATTATTTTTATTTTTAATATAGTTGATTATAGTTATAATTCGAATCGGCAACAGGTCTTTAAGCATAATGAAATTAAATTTAATAGGCATTAATTTGGTAAATAAAAAACTAATTACAATCAACAACACATTTTATATTTCTTTTTCCCAACTTTTTTTGTAACAATTTGGACATATGTGAACTTTATCTTTACATTCTTCTAAACAAAAGGGCAAAAAGAACAAAGGCAGAAAAAATAAAAACAAAAATAAGCAGGCTAACCATGTACTGCACCCAGAATTATGTTCAATCATTGTCTAAACAGGTTTTTAACAATAAGGACACAAAATATCTGTTGGATAAGAACATTCATTAGCATCGCTTCTTCTTACTTATTGAATTATTATAGGTTACAAGATTATTTATTGAGGATCTTTATTAAATTAATATTATACTCATAAATGGTTATTGTTATTAGATTAAGATGTATTATTGGTTAGGGTAGCAAACAGGAATTTTGTTTTATTCTTTTTGATATTTCTACTCCTATCCTAATTTTTAGTGTTATTTTTCGTCTAAGGCAGGATAAGCTTAACAAACTATATTTTATTCCATTTATTAAAGTAATTAAAGATCAAAACTAAAACTTTTATATCCATATAAACTGTACATTCCATAAAAATTTGAGGATTTTTTTTATACATTATACAAATTGCTTAATAAAAATTAATTTCATATAAAATAAAAATTAAAAAATTCAAATAATTTGTGTTTAATTTAATACTTCATNAAAAATTAATATTTTGTAAAAGTATTCTGATGTTTAAAATATTGAATATCTAATATAGAATGTCTAATTAAATTAAAATAAATTGTAGAAGAATAATGCCTAACTATTTTTTGTGCGAATTTGAGTAAATACTGAAAAAATAAAGCTATCAATTAAAAGAAAAAAATCTTTATAAAGAAAATATCAAAAAAGAGCATTTTTATCAGTAGAATTAAAATAAGAAAAATGGTTGAAAAAATTTCATCTTGCAAATCTTTTTCCTGAAACTATCCTATTTGAGTTCCTTTAACAAATTTAAGCTTAATTATATACAGTCTATACTTTATGTGGTTATTGCTATTATTGAATAAATTAACCCACTAATTGAACTGTCTATAATTACTGGTATAAGTTCCATATTATTTTTATTTTTAATATAGTTGATTATAGTTATAATTCGAATCGGCAACAGGTCTTTAAGCATAATGAAATTAAATTTAATAGGCATTAATTTGGTAAATAAAAAACTAATTACAATCAACAACACATTTTATATTTCTTTTTCCCAACTTTTTTTGTAACAATTTGGACATATGTGAACTTTATCTTTACATTCTTCTAAACAAAAGGGCAAAAAGAACAAAGGCAGAAAAAATAAAAACAAAAATAAGCAGGCTAACCATGTACTGCACCCAGAATTATGTTCAATCATTGTCTAAACAGGTTTTTAACAATAAGGACACAAAATATCTGTTGGATAAGAACATTCATTAGCATCGCTTCTTCTTACTTATTGAATTATTATAGGTTACAAGATTATTTATTGAGGATCTTTATTAAATTAATATTATACTCATAAATGGTTATTGTTATTAGATTAAGATGTATTATTGGTTAGGGTAGCAAACAGGAATTTTGTTTTATTCTTTTTGATATTTCTACTCCTATCCTAATTTTTAGTGTTATTTTTCGTCTAAGGCAGGATAAGCTTAACAAACTATATTTTATTCCATTTATTAAAGTAATTAAAGATCAAAACTAAAACTTTTATATCCATATAAACTGTACATTCCATAAAAATTTGAGGATTTTTTTTATACATTATACAAATTGCTTAATAAAAATTAATTTCATATAAAATAAAAATTAAAAAATTCAAATAATTTGTGTTTAATTTAATACTTCATTTATTTGCTGAATTATTAATAAATTTTCAGTCAGTTAAAACTTAAAAAAAAGACATATTTAGCTAAAAGTTAAAAGATTCTTAAGAATCTATCTTAATTATAAGAATGATTATCAAGTATATATATATGTATCAAACCTGAATATAATAGAATAAATTCTACAGTAAAAACTGGTTTATTTTTCTAATCAATTCTAAAATCATTATATTTTTATTCAGTAAAAAATAAATAGTTACCTTTGAATCTAAATGTTTATCGAAAGAAGAATTATACAAATAAAGCTTAAAATCCCATAAAAATAGGTAAAGTTATTTAAATATAACCATCGTAAATTGAACTTTTATTTATATAATTTAGCAAATTTGATAACATAATGAAAGTTTAATTTTTTTCAAATAATCATGCTAAAGAGGATTTCTAAAAAAACAAAGAATATTTTGTAAGTTTTTACCAAAATTAATTTTTTTGATAAGACCTTCAAATTTAAATTTCGAAAGAAATCTCATCAGAACTAATTGTAATATTTGTTTTTGAAATAATTCAGGGGATATTAGTAAATCTAGTGTTATAAGATACATCAAATTTAATTTTATATATATATTTTTTTCACGTTTAACTCTCTCCTTCCTGCAAATTCATTCTTCATACCCGGAAAAGGATTGAAAAATTATTTCTTTTGTTTTGATTTATTAAAATGTAACATTCAAGCAGATCTCAAGAATGAATTCTGATTTGTATTATATTAAGTAACAAACGACATAAAAATCAACAGAATGTATACGGAGTTCTTCCAACAATTTGATTACAAAATGGACAGTAGTGAATGATGTCTTTACACGATTTTAGAACGCAAGGTAACCAGCAAAGTGGCCAAAACAGGAAAATTAGTAAGCAGGTAACTTGAATAGCCCCTATTCCATATTCTGTTTCAAGTCTAGTCATATTAATTCTTTAACAGTTATTGCAAAAGATTTCTTACTTTATTTTATGACCATTGGCTGTTGTCAAGTAATCATTTCTATATTTTAAGCAATTCAATACTTGGTCATTCTTCTTGTTAAAACTTTGGGTAAATCTATTTCTAAAATTTAATCAGCCTGATCTCCATTATTTGGAGTAATAGGTAGAGATCGAGAGAGAATATTTGCTTACAAAGGTGAACTCATTAAAGCACTTTGAGCTAAATTCCCATAGGTAGATTTTTGAAATTCAGTATTGCTTTAGTATGCAGTCATTTAATTACAAATCTCTGAACTATTCTTCATAAGGCTTGAATTAACTATATTAATTATTAATTGACAAGATTTTTTAATAAATTTATAACAAATTAAAACTTACCTTAAAATTAATCGAATCCTAATCAATATACTCAAATTGAGTAGAATGAATTTTAATATTATATAAATAATCAAGGCATCAATAAACCTCATACTTATACTTTCCAGTACATATTTACCAATAAGTAAAAATATGGAGCAAGAAGCCAAAATAAAGGCCAGAAAAATATTAAAACTAAAATAGAAGTACAAAGACCCCATTAACAATTCTGTGTTCAAACCTAATCCATCAGACTTAAAATAGGTTCTGGTGTATAAATAGGACAATAAGGTACAAAATCAAATTAGCTTAATAATAATAGAAATTCCTACTACTACATATTCACTTAAGGTTAGTAATATTTAGTCTAAAAATAGCGGAAGTTATTGATAATTAGGATACCCTTAAGGTTGGTTATATTAGTTCAATGATGTTAAAGGTTAAAAATAAGGGTATCCTCTCTATTATTCCGAGATTTATCTATATTAATTATTTTGGTTCTAATCCATTTGAAAAATTATTAATTTTAATAAAATAAGTTATCTTGAAATATTTATTGAAACATTATAAAAACAATTAATGAAATTATAGATTATATAAAATCATGAGCAAGCCTTGTAAGGTGTATGTCCAACAATTTTTCCACAATAGCTGCATTAGTGATAAACATCTTTGCAATCCCCAGATAATAATGGAATTAAACACAAAAAGCAACAGCATAAAAATAATAAAACAGCCACTAAATATGTGTCATTTCCTGGCTTATAGCTAGTAGTTGTCACTGAATGTTAATTACAAAAGGGACATTAAACTAAGGCTGGAGTTCTAAATCCAGAAGCATTTTATAGTACTTGTGGAGTCTAAATTAATAATATTTATACATAAGGAACATAGGGGTGTTAGAGAACTATACCATTTATTTATTATTAATAAATATTTGGTTAGATAACTTATTACTATAAAGGATTTTATTATTAAAGTAATTGATTTCCTTAATATTAATCTCCTTAAAGATTAGGACCTTAATAAGGATTTGGTCTGTATGGTTATTAATTAGTTTATTATGAAGGTTATTAAATTTAGGGAGAGTAAGGAGCATAATATTGATTTACTGGTTAATGTTGTGCTTATAGCAATGGGACATTCTATGTTGCAAAGTTTTAAGTTGGTTTTGCATTTTCCTGATCCATTTTCCGTATTGTATATTAATATTTTAAATATTTATATTATTTACAAAGAAAAATAGAAATTATTTCGTATATTTATAAATATATTGGTATAAATTTCTATGTTGTTTATTATTACAAGCAAATATAATTAAATCAGAAATAAAAAATTGAATTAATATTGAACATTTAATTTTAACATATACACTAAGATAAAATCAATCAACTTAATCAACTGTTGGTCCTTATCCACCAGCAGCACCTCCTGGGAATCCAGCACCTCCTGGGAATCCAGCTCCACCTGGGAATCCAGCTCCTCCTGGGAATCCTCCTTCAGCTCCTGGGGGAGCACCACCAGTAGCTTAATAGACTCTTTACATAATTGGATGGAAAACTTCTTCAAGAGCTTTTAATTTATTTTTGTAATCATTGGTTTCAGCATTTGGATTAGCATCAATCCATTTAGTTGTTTCCTCAATCAATTATTCGAGTTTTGTTTTTTCATCAGCTGAGAATTTATCTTTGAATTTTTCATCTTTAATTGTATTTCTAATTTAATAAGTTGTTTATTCAAGACTATTTTTAGCTTCAATTTTTGATTTAATAATTTCATCTTCAGCCTTGAATTTTTCAGCTTCCTTAACTAATTTTTCAATGTCATCTTTTGATAATCTACCTTTATCATTTGTAATTGTAATCTTATTTGATTTCTTAGTAGCCTTATCTTCAGCATGAATGTTCATGATACCATTTTCATCAAGATCAAAAGAGACTTCAATTTATGGAACTCCTCTTGGAGCTGGAGCAATACCATCTAAATTGAATTAACCTAATTTATGGCAATCTTTTGTCATTTATCTTTCACCTTCATAAACTTAAATTAAGACACCTGGTTAATTATCAGCATAGGTTGTGAAAGTTTATGATTTCTTAGTTGGGATAGTTGTATTTCTTGGAATTAAAACAGTCATAACACCACCAGCAGTTTCAATACCCAAAGATAATGGTGTTACATCCAATAATAAGAGATCTTTAACTTATTCATTACCTTATCCAGTTAAAATAGCAGCTTAAACAGCAGCACCATAAGCAACAGCTTCATCTGGATTGATTGATTTATTCAATTCTTTTCCATTGAAATAATCTCTTAATAATTCTTATACTTTTGGAATTCTTGTTGATCCTCCAACCAAAACAACTTCATGAATTTGATTCTTGGAAATACCAGAATCCTTAAGAACCTTTTCAACAGGTGGAATACATTCCTTAAACATACTCATACATAATTCTTCAAATTTAGCTCTTGTGATTGTGCAATTGAAATCTTCATTAGCATCTAAAGCATCAACTTCAATTGTAGTTTGATTGGCTGATGAAAGAACTCTCTTTGCTCTTTCACATTAGGTTCTAAGTCTTCTTAATGATCTTGGATTTCCTCTGATATCAATTCCTTTCTTTTTTAAGAATTCAGCACAACAATATTCGACAAGTTTATTATCAAAATCTTCTCCTCCCAAGTGAGTGTCACCAGCAGTAGCCTTAACTTCAAATACACCATCTTCAATAGCCAATAAAGAAACATCAAAAGTACCACCTCCCAAATCAAAGATAAGAACGTGTTCTTCATGTTTAGCTTTTTTATCTAAACCATATGCAATAGCAGCAGCAGTTGGTTCATTAATAATTCTCAAAACATTCATACCAGAAATTGCACCGGCATCTTTAGTAGCTTATCTTTAAGAATCATTGAAATAAGCTGGAACTGTAATAACAGCTTTTGAAACTTATTTGCTTAAATAAGCTTCAGCAGTTTCCTTCATTTTTGTTAAAACCATTGATGAGATTTCTTCAGGATGGAATTTTTTGTTTTCTCCTTTGTATTTAACAACAATCATTGGTTTATCATCAGCACCAGCCTCAACTTTGAATGGCCATAATTTAATATCTTTTTAAACTGTAGATTCAGCGAATTTTCTTCCAATTAATCTTTTAGCATCGAAAACAGTGTTTTATGGATTTCTTGCAACTTAGTTTTTAGCAGCATCACCAATAAGTCTTTCTGTGTCTGTGAAAGCAACATAAGATGGAGTTGTTCTATTACCTTGATCATTTGGAATGATTTCGACTTTATCATTTACCCAAATACCAACACATGAATAGGTTGTTCCTAAATCAATACCAATAGCAGGAGCTTAAGCCATATTTATTTTCTATTATTATTTATAAAGAAATACCACATTTAACTAATTTATCAAGTGGTTAATCGAAGCTTCTGGAAACTTTAATTTTAAATTAATTTAAATTCAAATTTCTCGAAAATTCTATTTTTACACAAACTAATAAATATATATTATTTATTAATTAAAATTTTATTAATGCTTATATTTACATATTTCTATTAATAAATTATTTAATCATTTTTATTTTCTGAATAGGCTTATTTCTAAAATTGAGATGTTTTTATTTTTGTATTAACTAATATGAAAGTGCAAGTTAATTTACTACAAATAAACAAAATATTTTTAGAAAGTCTATGAGGGATTTTAAATAAAATTTTTGTTAACAAATTAACTATTTTCATTAAATATGCTTTGAAATCAATATGAAAAATCAATAAAGCTTTTTCTAAACCTTTCTAGATCAAAATTAGTAAATATAATTAGATAATATATACTAAATAGAAATCAAAAAAAGCATAATAATATTTTTAATTTTGGATTACATAAATGAAACTAATTATAAGAAGATGCCATTGAAAAAACTGCAATGCATTTCCCTTTTTTTGATCAGAAGAAAATAGATATATATCATAGCAAATTTGACAAATGAAAAAGTAGCTGGATAGATATTCTTGATGCTAAAGGAAACAGAAGGAAAATGAATATCAACAAATGTGCATATATGGCAAGAAGAGTCTGAAACAATAACGAGTAGGAAAGGTGGATATTTATAGAGATTGAATAGTTTGGTTGAACACCAGAGGATCAGTAATATAACACTACTAAAATATATATAGAAAGATAGAGATCGAAGAATTTGGAAAAACTATTGGCATTGAGACATATAATTAAATTGTGGATTATATTAGAGAAACCACAATTAACACAAAAAATAAAGGAGAATAGGATAAGTTGCTCGGTTTCAGAGATTTAGAAGTAATCGAGGCATATGCAGAAGCATAGAAGGTAGAAATACTCGATGATCCTCCTCTAATAAATAGAGATAAAATGGGTAATTGGTTGGAAAACTTTTAAAGATAATTACAGAATATAAATAGTGACACAAAAAGATTTGGAAGGAATAAGGAAAATAGATTTATTTTAGACTAGAAACAAAGTGGATAAGAAAGATGGATACTTTAATGTGAAATGTAAGAAACATGGAGAATATCATACAAAGAAACATCTAATGGAACACTTGAAAGAAGATTGCCACAAACTTTAGGGAGAGTGAAGACATTAAAAAATATTAATAATTAAATGATAGTTTTCAGCGAATTTCGGAAAGAACCACTCCTTTTAACTTTCTAGATCTAAGATAACTAATATTTTTAATTTACTTCTAAATGTTACTTTTCTACTAATACTTCCTTGCTTGGAAAAGCCATTATCTGAAAGTAATTTTGGTTTTGATTAATAAAATTAGTAATGCAAAAAATTAATATTTGATAAGTAAGTTGAGTTTTTTCATTCATTTTTCGAAACTTAAATTTATTAAGGGAATAGTTTTTAGTATTTAAATTAAATAGAAGAATTACCATGCAACAATGAAAAGCTATCAAAAAGTGAGCAAGTTTTTTTCTCTTTGCTTTAGATTGACAAAAATCTTATAGAGATTAGTAACTTCAAATAATATTTAAAGAATTTAAAAATCTAATATCCTAGCTCATAACCATTTACTTAAAGCCCATGTAAAAGATTTTGCTTAAACATCGTATATTTTTTAAGATGATGAAAAAACAATCAAATTCAGGATAATATTTGCTTGGCAATCTCAAATGTGTAAACATCATGGTTTGAAATTATTTACTCAACTATATTTTAAGAAAAAATATTTTTTTTATTTATTTTTGGACAATCTTTGGATTCGCAAGACAAAGAAAAACTTTTATAAAAATTCTAACACAAAGGTAACATTTATTTTTAATTAAGTGAGTCTTTGAATATTAAAAATTCACCATTTAAAATAATTAGAGCAATTATTATCTAATAAAATCTAAAAACCTAATTTTTTTATCTATTTACAATAATGTTTTTTTGCTTTTATTTAAAAAATAGTTTCAATATGCAACAACTTTCCAATAGTCTCTAAATTGATTTATAAAATCACTTATTTTATTAAAATATATTTTTAATGAATGCAGACGAAATCACATTCGTAAGTATATTTCTTATCAAATTTAAGGCTAATAATTATTCTGAAACAATATTTTAAGATCGATAATTACGATTTGCGTATCATTCTCCAATAAGATCATAATCCTAATTTTGCATTTAAAAGAGTAGATCTCAATATGTATCAAATGTATCAAGTGTAGCAAGAGTAAGAATAATGAGTAAACTGGAAATGTTAGATTCTCTAAATAAGGTGTAAACAGCAAAATTATGTAAGTGAGATTTCGTTAAATTTGAGCTCAAAAATGATCCTCCTATGAATTCATAAAAATCTAACAAAACTGACATACTTTCGAAAGTTGCTTAATTAGTTAAGAAATTATAACATAGAGAATTACCACATAAGATGATTGAAGCAACAGTTTTATCTCGTAAAACATCTGTACCAAAAAATACAAAATTGCTTCTTTAATAGGAGCATATTGTGAAATAAATTACAATTACTTAAAGAACAAAAGGGAAATAATAGAGTTAAAATTAGTAATAATCTCGTCATGAATAATAAAATGCAGAATTATTAAGAAGAAGTCCTGAATAGAAGGATTAGAAAATAGAAGATAATAATGAAATAAAAGTTGTCTAATAAAAGCTTCCTTTAATCAAATCTTAAAAAGGATTTTCTAGAAGCACCAAAAATATTGCACCCATCTAAAAAAATGTTATAATAAGTTATTAGACAGCAACAAATAATAGTATAACATAGATTAGTAATATATAAAATTAATCGAATTAACAATAAGAAACTAAACCAATAATCAAAGTCAATAACTTTAATAATGTGTCAAATTTACTTTAGACAAGTACTTTAGTAAGTAAATAACCTAATTCATCCGAAACTGAAAAAAAATCTTCAGCAATCATCTCATAATTATAAACAATTTAATAAAAATAAGTGGCAAAAAGATTGCCAATACCTGATTCGAGTAATTTATCTCTAAGTGGATGGACTGACCGATCCCCTATTAACTGATATTGAATTTTGAATATTGAATATTATAATTGAACAATTTAAATATGACTTTCTCAAAAGATAAAAATGATTTCGTTCCTTAAAGAAAATATTAGTCAAAATATGTTATTTATATTTAACTTATAAAAAAAATACATTAAATTCTTTTAAAAATTATTCATGAAATGTTAGTTTTATGATGTTAAGAAATTGGAGAGTTCTTCAAAATACTAAAGAATGCTGTAAATCTCTTGAATCATGTAGTATCAGATATATTATATAATTTTAAAACAATCCATGAAATATCTAAGGATTTGATCCTAAAAATTATCAATAAATATTTATGAATATTAAATACTCAAAAATGATTGTGAATTTATTTGGACAAGATATCAGATTGAAAAATTCTACAACAAGAATTAAATATTTAGATAAGAAGAAAGTAAATGAATTTTCAATTTAATTGATTAATATATTATCCCCAAAATTTTTTCAAATAAAAATATATATATAATGTAACCAAAGAAAAAGAGTTCTTTTTTGGACTCTATCAAATAATTTTTTAATGATGCTCCATCAGATGAAATAATTTTTAATGAAGCCACTTCCTCATTACCAATAGAAATTAAATAATCTAAATAAAGTTCATAGCAAAGTACAAAAGGAAGATCAAGCGATCCCAATGTTTTCAAAATTGATAATGAAGAAGAAGCAAATTAAATTTATAATGATGAAGAAGAAGATTCTGAATTATAAACAATGAGTGAAATGCAAAAAGAGTACACAATATTAATGCTTTATAACTTTAAATAAATAGGTAAACCATTAGATTCTGGGTATTAGAAAAAATAAATAATCAATTTTCCTCCTGGTAGTACATTTTAAGTTATTAAACCAATAAAGACACATAAATCATTAATGGATTATTTATCCACTGAAACTGAAAGGTATTTAGCTTTGGATGGAGGGTGGATTTACTTTTTTTAGTTAATTAGTAAAGATAAATATTTAGTCAGTTCTGCAAATTCTTTGAATAATTTAAGCTAAATATTATTAAAAAAAAATGAAGCTAAACCTACATTTAGATTTATTTTTAATACGAAATAAATAAAAAGATTTTATTTAGTTAATATTGAATAATAAGATTTATTATTTTTAAAACTAAAAACTGAATGCTAGAAACACGGAAGATCATTTAATTATTGAATAAATTAAATATAAACATAATCGATATTAAAATATTGACTTAAGAAACATTTTCAATTCAAAGAAAATAAAATTTAATGGCTCTAATTTTGGCAGTAAAATTAATACATTAAACAAAGCTTTTCATCTAAATTATGATTGTTTTTGATTAAACAATTTCATGATTCAGTTTTTTGGATGTAAATTCAAGTTCTTTAATACAATGCTTGTTTTTTGTCGATCAAATGTAGTTTAATATAGAAAATAAAAATTAGAATCATTGATATAAAGTTAATATATAAAATATCATTATTACAAATACTGGAGGAAATCTTAAAAAGTTATAACGAAAATTTCTAAGTTATATTATATATATATTATTAATATTTAATATTCTTTCTTTCTAGCTAAAGATATAATGTTGTGATTTTGTTTAAAATTTTCTAAAAATAAATATCTAGTTTATGAATAAATTATTAAAAAAGTAAAAACTAATAATAAATTTTTTGTTTGTTAATGAATAATTTAGATTAATCAATTTAATCGGAAATCAATGAGTTCACAGCATAATTTTAGTAATAGGAAAAAGTTATAAATAATCCAGAATCATTATCCTTTTAGAATAAGTCTCAATAAATTTAACAAAATTCATCAATATAATTTTAATCACCTGTACAATCATATCAATAGAGTATAATCCATTTTTAGGAATAACCTTAAGTAGAAATCCTTGATACATCATAAAATGAAACAGAACAATATTTAAATATCAGCTTTTAGGATATAATTTAGCTTTTATTTAATAATTAATGTCCTTAGCTTAACAATGTGCTTAAAACTGTTATTTTTAGAAGTTGTTTAATCATTAATGTGTTTACTATTATTAACATAATTTTCATAATTAACGAAGTAGTAGCCCTATATTTTTCTTTAATAACAAAGGATGAAATAAAAGAATTATTCAGTGTATATTTTGGATTTAATCTAATTTCAGATTGTCTGGTGATCTATATTAATTGTTAATTAAGATATATTATAAATGAAGCTGATCAAATAAATCATGGTGATATAACTCATCCAATTATTGAATACTTAAAATATACAATAAAGTTAAACAGTCCATTCGAAGACATTTTAGAAGATGAAGAATAAAATTCATAAGCATAATAAGTAGCTATAAGTATATCAGAAAAAATAACCACAACAAAATGGTTATCATATTTGCTTGAAAGTTAAAACTCTTAAATGTTCGCTATGAATCGAGTATGTGTTTTGGTGAAAATTATATTATTTGCTTGGGGAAATATTACTATAGTGTAATGGGCATTTTTAAATTGGAATAATAAGTTAAATGGAGTAGACTAATTTGAATCAATTTTGATAATCCTCACATTATTATCAATGCTTATAGGTTACATGATTATTACAATGGTAATCTGTATAATATTAATAATTTGTGCAATAATTCCTATAATAATAGGAGTAGCTATATGGTAATCATGTAGTTGGTGTACAGATCTATATAATGAATACAAATAACATAGAATAGAATAATTAAGGCAAGGATTTTTATAAAATTTAAGATCATAGAAATTTTAAGATTTAAAGGAATAGGATACAAATATACATGAAGAGTGTTCGATCTGTTTATAGACATATCAAATAGATGATGATTGTGTTAAATTACCTTGTAATGTAGATGGAGGGAATAAGAAAATCAATCATGTTTTTCATGACTTATGTATAAGAATTTGGATACAAGATCAAGGATCTTGTCCAATATGTAGAACAATATTTATCGAAAGACTTGAATATTGATATATTTTCTTTTATTATTATTTGTATATTCTTACTTTAATTAATAATTTTAGTTTTATAGCAGTTAAACTATTAATGTCTCTAAATACAACGATACCATATTATCGTAATACATCAAGAGAGATCAAAACTGTCAAAGAAATGATACAAGCTGAAGCAATTAAAAGTGCAAGGATATTGAGCAGAGACAAAGTTAAAGTTAAATAAAATACATCGATTGGAGATTGTAAAATTATATGCTTAATCATAAGTGAATAGAAGTAAAAGGAAAACAAATAATTCATTTTATGAAAATAGAAATACTTCTTAGAATGAAAATACAAATATACTGCAAAGTTATTTAGCAAATGCATTCTAAGAGAAAAAAGAGAATTTATAAAGAATTTAGATGCAAGAGATTGCAATTAAAAATAAGTTAGAAGAAAATAAGCAAAAAGAGATTAAATATTAAATGAGAATTGCTGCATTAGAAAAGGAATCATCTAAATTAACTGAATTGGTATCAAAGTTAAAGAAAGAGAATCAATTATTAAAACAATCAAGCTATAAAGATTCATAATTATAATAATTTTATGATGCATTAAATTAATCAAGAAATGAAAATTAGTTACTAAAAAAATAAATAACTCACTTTTAAAATATACATAATAATAATTTTAATAATGGTATTCAAAAAAAAACCGAAGTTTAAAAAGGTTTCGTATTGAATACAACATATACAGCTAACACTGCTAATACAACAAATAATACTTTTAATGATAATCTTAAATCTAAAGAGTATATACCGAGTTATTTACTTGCTTTAAGTTTAGCTGAATGAATTAATGTTGAGAGTAATTTTATATTCGTATTTCAAATATCTCTCATTTATAAAAATAATTTAATTATGATCTTAATTTTAAATATATTTTAATAATATTTTTTTTTATTAACAATCAATTCTAGACAAAATTTATTGTAAATTAGATACCTCATAGGGAATAAATATTAGATTTAAATAATTGATAAAAAAATAGAATAAGATTGAATAAAATAGAAAAATAACAATTATCAATGATGAGTTATTTTTATTGATTATTAATATTTTTAGAGATTTATAATTATTACGCATTTTATAATTCGATTATATTTTAAAACACATGTTCATTTGATTATTAATTCTTATTATTGTTAATTTAAAAAGTCATGAATATGTTCCAACTATTATTCACAAAATTTGCTGATATTTTATTATCATCCAGAACTTATCCGTTCTTGTAATGTCAGCCATTCATGTAAAATTAAACAAAAGAAATGGGCGTTATTTGGACAAAAGAAATAAATACTAACGTAAGACAGTTACTACAAAATAATTGGAGGGCATCTTAATAGAATGAAATGATTGTGTAATTTTTTATTGAAAATGATGGAAATTCTTTCTTGGTTGAAGAATGGTGTTTAATTCAATAAGAAGGCACAATTTCTAATCAGTTAACTGGTAAAAAGAGTAATACATTACTTAAATAATTAATGATATGGTTAAGATCTGCAATTGCAATGATGACTATGACAACTATATTTTAAGAAGAACTCATAATAAAATAATATAAAGTATCTCATAGTTTATTATTCTACAATAAGAATACAAAAAAAAGAAGTGATTGGATAGATGATTCAAAATTATAAGTTAAAAAAATCACAACAAAATTTCTTAACCAACAAAACTTTTAATTGACAATAGCTTAACAAGGATCATTAGAATAAGTATTATAAGAAAGAATGAATAGAATTGAATCACCTTTATATAAGAGATGTCGTTATTTAAGTGAATAAATTTGTGATAGAGACTCATAAGTATTTTAAAGAAAAATGACAATGGATTCAGAATAATGGGAGTAATAAAAATCAAACCTTATTGATAATACATCACCTTCATCTACAAATAATCTTAATAGATCATTTATTTCAGTCTATTCTAAAAAAGAAGAAGTTGAATTACTTTTTACTCCAGAAGAAGCAGTTTTAAAATTATAAGATAAAAACTTTTTAGATGAAGATTATGAAATAAACATGATGACAAACGATCATGTATAAAAAGAAATGTTTATTTCATAAATTATGATTACTAATAAACTTTCAACAGAAGAAAAGAATAATTAATAACAAATTTTGAATACTTTAAAGAATTTTCACAATAAAACTAAAAATAGAAGAACTAGATCTTTATAAATCACTAAATTATTGAGTTTCTATAGACAATTATAATGAATTTATTTGATTTACTTATTTTATAAATAAAAAGTTCTATAGATTTAATAAATATATTAGAATCAGTCTGGTAAAGCTGGATTATTAAATTCATATTTAATTAAATAATCATCATCCTCATCATAATTGTAGTATTCTAAACAATATTTTTAATCTTCTTCCAACTACAGAAATTTTATGTATTCTTCTTCATTTTCATTATACTATTATTATTGAAGAATCTAAAAAAGTTTAGGTTCATCAATTATCTCTCTTTAAATTGCTAATGAATCATCTGCTTCTATTATCATATTATCCCAAGAGTTTTATTCTTAATGAACTTCTTGTTCTTATTCTTATGTTATAGCAGATTAGTTTTTAGATTCTTTAATGATCTAATTAAGATAACCCATCTTTTTATCGAGAAACTTCATAATTTCAGTAGATTATGGGACTTTTCTAATTATAAAATAAAATTATTACTTAAAAACACTATAATATTATTCAAGAGATCTTTTAGGAACACCAACAAGATCAGCTGCTTCTTTCAAAGTTGGTTTTATGTAATTACCTACTTTATCATAAAAACCATTTTCAAACAGATCTCTCCATTTTTAAACAGCATTTAAAGCTTCTCCTACATATCTTTCTCTCTTTGATCTTCTTTAATCAGATTTTTCTGATTAGGTTTCAATATTCATTCTATTAGAATTTTATGAAAATTAATAAATTACCATTTTAATCTAATAAAAATCAATTTATGAAGTCTTTATAGAATAATAAAAAAATTAAAATGCAATATACAAGATTAAATTGTAAATTATATTCATTTTATATAAAAGACATTTATCAAAAGTAAAAGATATGTTCTTTTTACTTTATTCGGGGAATATTTGAAAATATCAAAATTTTATTTTAGAATATTATAAAATCATAATATATTATAATGAATTAAATGTAGAAGACAGATTCTGTAATAGATATTAATAATGTTTGGAATAATGAGGAAGATTAAAAATTAATGGATGCATACAATATTTTTGAAAGTTAATGGAAAAAAATTTCAGAAGCTATACCAGGAAAAACTGAATTTTAATGTATCTAAAGATGGGAAATGTTAATGAATGTTTTTATTAAAATATTTCATAGAATTTAAAAATTTCTGATTCTGAAATTGAAAAATAAGAAGAATTAGAGATTAAAACATTTAAGACTGAAGTTTAATGCAAATAAGAATTATAAAATATTGAACCTTAACCAAATAAAAAGGTAAATATATAATAATCAGAACAATAATAAAACGATAATAAAGTTAGTTATTTATGTCCAAGAAATTTTATTTTCAAATTTGAATAGCTGTTTGATTCTTCTTAAAATGAACCAAAAAAAATTGTTTGGATTCCTGTTCCAATCATTCGAATAACAAAAAAGACTTCTCCAACTAAATAGACTAATGATTAATTAGAATAAACTGCGGAAGACTTAAAAATAGAAGAATAATTAAAACCTTAAAAAAATTGATTGAATTTTATATAATTTTTGTTTTATTTACTTAGAATGATTAATAAAGAAAATTTCTTAAATAAAGCAATATAAAGAATTAGAATAGATGAAATCACTGTAAAAGAAACCTATTTTGAAGATGATTTAAACTCAGAAGATCGATTAAAGGAATTTGAATAAAAATATCATGGATTTAGAGATAATTTTATTGAATATAAACCAAACAAAGTATTTATTTAAAATATTAACAACAAAGTCTAAAGCAGAAAATATTGACAACTAACAGAAATTAATTCAAGCCTTATTTCCTGGAATAATTATGGAAGACATTACTGCAGGTATATTGGCTAATGTGACATTACTATATATTTAAGAAATAATAGAAACTGCTAAAGAGATTGCTGTAAAGAATGAATCTTTAAAAATATCTCAAAATGATGTAATAGAGGCTGTAAGAATAGCTGAATTTAAGAATTAATATGAATTAGAAGAGGAATTTTCAAGATTTTTTTAATGAGTAATATAATTATCATATTTCATAAAAAGACATTAGTATTTTTATTAAATATACTCATTGAAATCATCTTTTTTTACTAAAATATTTTTGAATTTGAAGCTCACAATTCTTTCAATGGATCTAAATTTTTATTCTTATAAAATGAATTTTTTAAATCTAAGAAACTTTAATAGGTTATAAAACACTGCTCTTAATACTAAAAGATGAATTGGAAGGAAATTCTATGATTTTACATTTAAATTAGAAATCAAATTATAGCAATTTTTATAGTGCTTATGATATACCAATTATTGGAAGGAGAAAATAGAAAAAATGTATTTTGAAGAAGCCTATAAAAATGAAAGATATAGAAAGTATTATATAAGCAAATAAGTTCTTAAAGCTTCATCATATTAGTATAAATGAAATTAAAAAAAATGATGAGATTTATTATCGATAAAATAGATTATGATTTATGTAGAGAAAGTTAAAGAATTTAAATTGGAGAAAGTTGATTTTGAGTTGAAATGAATTATTATTAAATAGAAAAATTTAAATAAATGAAAAAGATTATATGTTTTTTTGTTCTGAGATGCATTGGATAAAAATTTGAATATTATAATTTAAATATTATGAAATTTCATATTATTTATTTTAAATATAATAGTAAAGTAGTTTAAATTTAGAGGATGGGCAGTTAATGTTCGAATTGTTAGAGTTGTTAAAAAAAAGATGAAATATTAATAAGTGAATTTCATTAATAATCAATGAATCATTATTCACATAATGAGCGAGATAATGAGGAAGAGGATGATTAAGAAATTTCATTGAAAGAGTAATAATAATAAGAAGAATAGAAAGAATAGATTTAAGATTAAATAGAGCAGGATATTCAAAATTTATCTTAGGTTGGAAAGAAAATGGAAATAAATTTAACTTCTTGTAAATAAATATAAAAATAGTTAGAGTCTAATAGTGATAGTTAGAGAAAGAAAAATGAGATGGCATTTAGAAATCATGAAGATATCTTAGAAACATTAGGAAGTAGATCAAATTGTAAATAGAGGGAGAGAAGAAGCAAGCATACATTTAAGAGTGGAGCATATTATGAAGGTGAATGGGTGGGTTAATAAAGAGATGGGAATGGAGTTTAAGTATGGTTGGATGGTGCAAAATATGAAGGAGAATGGAAAAATAATAAGGCAGAAGGGAAAGGTAAATTNAAATATACTCATTGAAATCATCTTTTTTTACTAAAATATTTTTGAATTTGAAGCTCACAATTCTTTCAATGGATCTAAATTTTTATTCTTATAAAATGAATTTTTTAAATCTAAGAAACTTTAATAGGTTATAAAACACTGCTCTTAATACTAAAAGATGAATTGGAAGGAAATTCTATGATTTTACATTTAAATTAGAAATCAAATTATAGCAATTTTTATAGTGCTTATGATATACCAATTATTGGAAGGAGAAAATAGAAAAAATGTATTTTGAAGAAGCCTATAAAAATGAAAGATATAGAAAGTATTATATAAGCAAATAAGTTCTTAAAGCTTCATCATATTAGTATAAATGAAATTAAAAAAAATGATGAGATTTATTATCGATAAAATAGATTATGATTTATGTAGAGAAAGTTAAAGAATTTAAATTGGAGAAAGTTGATTTTGAGTTGAAATGAATTATTATTAAATAGAAAAATTTAAATAAATGAAAAAGATTATATGTTTTTTTGTTCTGAGATGCATTGGATAAAAATTTGAATATTATAATTTAAATATTATGAAATTTCATATTATTTATTTTAAATATAATAGTAAAGTAGTTTAAATTTAGAGGATGGGCAGTTAATGTTCGAATTGTTAGAGTTGTTAAAAAAAAGATGAAATATTAATAAGTGAATTTCATTAATAATCAATGAATCATTATTCACATAATGAGCGAGATAATGAGGAAGAGGATGATTAAGAAATTTCATTGAAAGAGTAATAATAATAAGAAGAATAGAAAGAATAGATTTAAGATTAAATAGAGCAGGATATTCAAAATTTATCTTAGGTTGGAAAGAAAATGGAAATAAATTTAACTTCTTGTAAATAAATATAAAAATAGTTAGAGTCTAATAGTGATAGTTAGAGAAAGAAAAATGAGATGGCATTTAGAAATCATGAAGATATCTTAGAAACATTAGGAAGTAGATCAAATTGTAAATAGAGGGAGAGAAGAAGCAAGCATACATTTAAGAGTGGAGCATATTATGAAGGTGAATGGGTGGGTTAATAAAGAGATGGGAATGGAGTTTAAGTATGGTTGGATGGTGCAAAATATGAAGGAGAATGGAAAAATAATAAGGCAGAAGGGAAAGGTAAATTTTGGCATATAGGTGGAGATTATTATGAAGGATAATGGAAAGAAGATAGAGCTTGTGGTAAGGGTGTATATATACATGCAAATGGGGCAAGATTTGAAGGAGAATGGTTAAATGATTAACCTCATGGTTATGGAATAGAGATTTGGGTAGATAATTCTAGATATGAAGGAAATTATAGTCATGGAAAGAAGGATGGTTTTGGTAAATATTTTTGGAATGATGGATCATTTTATATGGGTAATTGGTCAAATAATGTAATGGATGGGTTTGGAGTTCATAATTGGTTTGATGGTAGAGTAAATTTTGTATTAAATTAAGAAATATATTGGTTGGTGGAGAAACAGTTAAATGAATGGTAGAGGTACATATAGTTGGCCAGATGGGAGATAATACAATGGAGAATATGTAGATGATAAGAAATAAGGATATGGTGTATATGTATGGCCAGATGGTAGAAGTATAAATCAAAGAATTTAATTTAAGAGTATGAAGGATATTGGATTAATGGTAAATAAGCTGGAAAGGGTAGATATATATTACCAAATGGTAAGAGTTAATTGGGATTATGGGAAGCAGGTAGACGTATTAAATGGTTAGAATAAGATGAAAATATTAAACCTGTTGCATGGGATGAGTATGTTGATCCTATATTATATGATAGAACTTATGGTTGAATTTATTTGTATCAACTTTTATTTTTATGTATTTGAATATTATTTATATTAATATCTCAAAATATTCATTATTATTTAATATAATTATTTATATCTAAAAACTTAATTAATAATTAACAGATAAATATTATGTCCAAAAGACTTTAAGATCGTGTGATGTTAAAGAATTCAAATCCAAATTACTTATTAGATTCAAATTATCTTGATAGGAAAAAACAATTCAATTTTAATATTTATGACCAATAATCATCAGCTGAACGTAAATCTACTGATACTGGATTGGGAAAATATTACAACTCATATTACTAAAGACCTATTCAATAAAGATCACCTGATGAATATAAACCTTTTACTAATCATTAATTAAGTAAAATACCTTCTTTCTTGAATTTTGATAAAGATGATAAACTTAAACGTTACCCTTCGAATGAAATTTAACAATAAGTCAATTCATTTTAATATTTTCCAAAATAATAATATTCATCTATGCATGATAGAGAATAATCTTAAAAAAAGAAATTTAATTTTATTGATATGGTTTAAGTTTAGAAAAGATAATAAAGTCCAACTATTTTTACAAAAAAATAAAGTCTTGTTGATGTAGATAGAACATGGATGTTTACTAATTAATAATAAAATTCCTTTTTTAGTCCTAAAAATAATGAATAACCAAAATTATCCAAAAATGCTAGTGATTATATTTCAAATTATCGTCCATTTACTGCTTTTGAATAATAAAATGATAAAAATTTATCAAGAAATCAATCATAAAAATTTCAACCTTATTTGAATAATAATTCAAAATTTGATATTGAAAAACTAAGAATGGAATTGGAATAGTATAAAAGAAATAATAAAAGTAGAATTGGAGATGGAATTTCCTTTTTTAAAAATAAAGAAAATAATAAAGATTATTCAAGTAATTATATAAGAAGAGATGTTTCCCCTAAATTAAACTTTAACTATATTAAATCAAAAGGTATTGATTTATATAATAATATAGTTGAAGATCAAAATAAAGATATGTTGTTTAATTATAAATAATAAAAGCAGATTTCACCTTAGAAATAAGTTTAAAGTTTAAAAGCTTCAAGATCAGAAAAGATAGAATTAGGAAATCCTAAGAAACAACCTTTTTAGTTAATAAACCCTAAAAATGATTAATAAGGAATTTTATCAGATAATCAAAGATACTTATAAGATCGAAGAAAAACCCCAGAAACAAATAGAGTAGAGGAGTTAAGAAAATAGTTATATAGTACTTACAAACCATCTAATAGAGAATTATTTTTTGAATCACTTAATAAATCTACACCATACAATAAGAGTAAAAATTGAATATAATATTATAGTTGCAAATTAGAGAGAATAAAACTAACAATCATCAAATAATAGAGAGAAAGATTAAATAAAATACAAATTAGATAAAAAATTCATGTGATATTAATTATTATTATTAAATAATGCTTAAATAATCATAACCAATCCATCATTCTGTAATAAAATACGAAGAGGATGACGTACCTTTGATGTATGAAGTGTTGCCTTTTGAAGGGAGAGGTAACTACACTTTTGAAGAATTCTAATAACTATAAGAGAGAATAGTTTCACATTAATAGATGATGGAAAATTACAAAGTAAATACTTGGGAAACTATGCATTATTATGAGACAGTAACTGTTGATAAATGTAAATCAGCATTTTTAGATAATAATGAGGAGTACCAAGGTATGATAACAATGATAGAGATGTTTAATGCAGAAGTAACTGTCTTCAGTTCATCAGGTTCTAAATGCCTAGTCAAGGAATGCTAGAATACGTAATGGAATGTGGAGACTCTAATTTTTTCGTTCTTTAGCCAGTATTATAAGAGAGATATCATTCTTTACTCGTAATAGAGACTTATAGGCTAAATTCATTACTAGATGTTACAATTGGGCATTAGAAACTATAACCAAAGTTGATTATTAAAGTCGAAAACTTGATAGTGATTAACCACCAACAAGACCCCCTACAGGTTAAACTAAAAGACCATTTAGTAGTGCAACTTAACCTAAAAGACCTTAAAGTGCACTTACTATTAAAAGCGTGAGACCATAATCAGGATATCCAACTACAGTAATTGATGGATATGCAGAAACTACTATTGAATAAACTCATCCAGATAGACCTGATTCTGCAATTACTGGTATTATTCGTATCGATTAAATGGTATAATTATTAAATAAATATAAAAGAAAGAATCTTAATATAGTAAAGGAACATTACTTCCAGGAGATATAATTTAAGATTAATTATATGATTATTAAAGTGGGGCTCGAACAAAGCATGATTCAATGCCTCCACCAGAATAACGTCTTACAAATTATAAGAGAAGAATCATATAAAATTTTTAAGCACCAAGACCTTAAAGTGCAATTGATAGTTCCGGTAAGATTAAGATGAAATCAACATTTCCAAAACCAATAAAATCAGCTAAATAAGCAGCTATAGTGGAGGAGAGAGAAGAAGAAGTAATTCAAGGAGATTTAATAGATAATAATGATGAAATTATATTAAATGAAGAAGATTTGGCTGCAAGATAAGCAGAAAATGAAGCTAAGTTAATAATTTAAGAAGAGGAAGCTAAGAAAAAAGAAAAGACTCTTGAACCATAAATAAAAGTGTTTGTAAATGATGAATAAGTAGAAAATAATTAGAGAGCTAGAAACTTAGATTTTGAAACAAGAGATGGATTTCAGTAATATTAAAATTCGAATTAATCTGATGAGTTAAATATTTAAAAGAAATACTAAAAACTTAGAAATAAAGAAGCATAATAAAAAAGAGAAGATGAAGAAATGGTTGCAATGATGCATCAATGGTCTTCTAATAAAGCAAGAGTTGAAAGAGAAATGAATAGAAGAATAGAGAGTGCTAATTATGGTAATAGATTTAGAGAATTAGAAATGAAAGAAAGGTAAAATAAGGAAAAAGATTATAAAGAAATTAATAAAGTAAATAGATATTAATATAATAATTTAGATATAAAAGAATCATTAATTAAGTTTGAGTAAAAATAAATCAAAATGGGAAGATGATTTAAGTGATCTATCAGATGAAGATGTTGAAATGATAGAGAATAATATTGAAATTGATGGTTAAACTGGATTGATTGATGATGATGGTTAAAAAAGATAATAAAAGAGAGTTAGACCTTAAACTTGTTAACCTAGAAATTTAAATGAAAAACTTCCTAATTATAAAAAAGAACAGAAATTTATGAATAATACAGATTTCAGAGAATTAGAATCAAAGATTTCAAAACATAATATAAATAAAATAAAAAAATTACATGGAAATATTATAGGTTTATAAGAAGAAGATGAAGCAAATCGTCTAGCACCAGAATAAAGTATGTCTATTTATGGTAAATAATTATCTCTTACTTAATAATAAAAAAGACCATTGTCTGCAATATTAGCAGCTTAACCATTGGATTAAGTTCGTTATGAATAATTATAAGTAAATATACTTTTTTAAATTAATAGGAAATAGAAGAAATCAAATTAAGATTAGCTAAAAAAGGTGTTGCTGTTCCTGTTTAAAAATTAGTTAATGCTTTATTGATACCTGATCCTGTTAATTTGAAGGATCCTGAAGGAAATTCATTACCACCTCCAGGATTTGGAATGAAAGTAGATCCTTTTGCTAAAAAAAAAAAAACTAAAAAAAAGAAAAGAAGTAAGAAATGAGTTACTCTATAATATTATTTTAACAATTAATTTTTTTCTTAAATAAAACTATTAACTATTGATGATAGATTAACTATATTTATATACATTTCTAATCAATTTTATGATATTTCTGACCTTCCTTTAGGAGATATTCTCAAAGAAATCTAATTAGCATTAGCTTTCACATTCAAATATTTTATGGGACTAGTTTTGGTTCTATCTTCAACCTTATCAGATTATGTACTTGCTAGCACTCTTCTACCTTATCTTGGTTCTTCTTTAGTTTCTTCTTTTGAGGGTGGATTAGATTATTAATTTTAGACACATTGTTCTTTTGGGAATAATAATTTAGCCTATGATGTGTATATTTAATATATTTACTTATGATTGTTAAACTGATTAATTTAGTCTATCCTCTACTAATGTTACTTTACTCTTAAATTCACTAGTAACATCTTTTTAAGATTCAGGAAGAGTAGTTTGATTGTTACTTGTTAATAACTTTTTTTTGGCTAATCCATTCTTCAATCCTTCTAATTATTCTATTGCTTTTTAAAGAACAACGAGTTCAAAAGTGGTTGTTTTTAGAAGACTTTGATTTGGATGTTGATTAACCTTCTAGTTTAAGATTTGAATTTGGTTATTAGCATTTTCAAGTTATTTTTTGAGATTCTAATTCTCTTTCTCTAAAGTTTAGATTCTTAAGACCATATTTTCATAAGATTATCCATTAGGAAGATTGCTCGATTATCTATTTTTAAGTCTCGTATCTGTTTAGTAGTAGATATCATTTTCATATTCATATTTTTATTATGGTTAACTTTAGGTTGGTGTAAAGGGTTAAGCAGGAATAACTCTTTAATGAGGAGAATTAGAAGCATTTCTCTAAGATTATTGATAAGGTTAAGGTATAATTTGTTGGGAATAGTGTTGCTACATTAAATAAAAATATTAACAGTCAGATATTTTAAGATTTTTAATGAAAATTTGGCTATTTTTTTAAAGATTGAATAATTTAAGATAGAATTCAACCAAAAACTTTGACAAGCATAATTTCATAAAAACAAATAAGACTTTTTATTATTATATATAATAATTAATCAGTTAACATGCAATATTCTTAGTACAATAGAGTAAAAGCCCTTGGAGAAGGTGCCTATGGTAAAGCTTATCTTGTGAAAGATGTAAACGATGGGTATAAAAGTTTTGATAAATGTTAAGTTCATTTTGGGTTTAAAAATAAATCGACATTAATTTGATGACAGAAAAAGAGAAAATTGAGACATATAGAGAATTTAAAGTGCTTTAACAACTTTAGCATCCTAACATCATAAAATTCAGAGATGTATACCTTACAACGTCGGGTAAACTGTGCATTATAATGGAATATGCTGATAGTAAATGAATGTCCCTAGTCTACCTTAGGAGGTGATTTGGGTTAAATCATTAAGAGCTAAAATGGAAAGTAATTACCAGAGAATTAAATTTTGGATTGGTTTACACAGATATGTTTAGCCCTTAAACATGTTCACGATCGTAAAATCTTACATCGTGATTTGAAATGTTAGAACATTTTTCTTACCAAAAATAATCGTATAAAGTTGGGCGATTTTGGAATTGCTAGAGTACTATCCCATACCTTAGAAAATGCAAAAACATAAATTGGAACACCTTATTATCTCTCTCCTGAAATGATAGAATCTAAACCATATTCTTACTCAGTATTATAAATTATTAAACTAAGAGTGATATATGGTCTTTAGGGATTGTACTATATGAAATGTGTATGTTAAAACCACCTTTTGAAGCTGATAGCTTACATTTTCTTTGTCTTAAAATATGTAAAGGAACTTTTAGCAATATTTCTTCAAATTATTCAGCTGATCTCAATAACATCGTTAAATAATTATTATAAACTACATCAAATAGAAGACCAACCATTAATAAAATATTAAGTAATAAAAAATCATTTAATTTTTAGAAATTCCTCTTATTGTAAACAGAATCAAAGAATTTCTAACTCAAAGTATTTAAAAAAATGAATTCTCTCATACTATTTTGCATAAATAAGTAAAGTTAATCTTATAATAATAAGAAATTAAATATAGATAATAATGTTACTGAACTTAAAATCCTAGATGATTTACCAAAACCTCCTATACTTAATTCTTAATAATAAAGTGGACCTATTTATTAAAACCCAGCTCCTCTTATTAAAGCAACTAATTCTACACCAAATAATATTCAAAATAATCCAAAACCATCCTAACCCAAATAATAATAATAATAATAATAATAACCTTAAAAATAATAGCCTTAAAAAAGAGAGAGATCTTTTACACCATAAAAAAATTAAATAAAGAAATAAAATAATATTCAAGTATCAAAAAATAATCCAATAATTAATATTGCTAGAAATGACAGCAAAAAGAAAGTTGATTAAGTTTAATCAAATAATTAGATTCCTTAAACTAAAAGAGATTCATAAGTTGAATAAAATTCAAAAAAATCAAAACTTATTAATAATGTTAGCTCACCATCATTATAATAAAAATAACCTCTTTAAAAACCACAAATACAATAATAACCCTCTTAATAATAGTTAAAATAATAATAATAACCTTAGTAACAAATTGAAAGTTTTGAAAATTTAAATGAATATGATGATACTGAATAAGATGAACCATAAATGGATTTTGGTATTAAATTTGAATAATCAGATGAAAAAAATGCTATTGAAGATGCTAAAATTTGTGCGAAGATGGAAGAAGCTGTAATATTATAAATTAATTATTAGTTGATTGAAAAAGATGAAATTGATGAATAATTTGAATAAAAGAAAAAATAAATAATGGAAACTGAAGGATAAAGCGATATACGTGTTGAAGAAGACGAAGTAGAAAGTTCTTTAGAAACCTCTTAACCTGTAAGTGATTCAAGCAAATTATCTTTCTTTGGTAAAACCAATGGAGTGCTTTAATTAAAAACATTATTAGAATAAGCTTTAGGAGCAAATAAAACACAATAAGCAATTAAAATATTATTAAAGTAATTTTATATTTAAATAAAGTGAATTGAACACTAAACCTCTTGAAGATGTGGAAAAACATGGGTAAAATTATTATCAAAAATTGTTACCCTTCTTATCTTTAGAAGAACGTAAGAATTTTGTACCACTTCTTTTTTAACTAATAGTTTTAACAAAATGATTAATTTAATTTTCAAAATTAAATCAAATTTTTTTATCATTTCCTTTATATTTTGTTTGGTAATGAACTAGCTGGTCTTTTTTTTTATTTTTATTTTAACTTTTCTTTTTCTTCACTAATTTTTAAAGGTTTCTATTTTGATCCTTCTTTTTATTATTATAGTCTTAAAAATTCTTCCTACTTAATTAATTTTTCTTCAACTATTCTGCCTCCTTGAGTAATCACCCATTATTTTATATCTAATAGATTTGCTGAATCTAAATGTTTTATTATTATTTTATGTTATTTGATCTACCCTTACTTATTTTTAACAACATCAATATCTGCAATATTCATTTAATAAATGTTTAGTTGATTTGTCAATTTTTCCCAATTAACTTCTTTACCCATTCCTCGAATTGTTAATTCTGTATAAACACTTTTTGAAAATAGTTTTTCATCCTTCTCAAGTATTTTTCCAGGAGAATTCTAAGGTGATTTTGAAGAACTTTTTGGTTACTATTATTTAATTTAATGCTGATTTTGCTACTCTAACATTTAATCATAATATTTATGTGTGTCCATTTATGAACTCATACCTTTCAATAATTATCTTTAATGATATTTTACTCCATATAATTCACTCTCTTACAATTAATCTTAAAGAGTTCTTCTAACTTATGCTTACTATGGCTTCTATTAATAATATTTTTCTAATCCATTACCCAAAACATCAGAAAAATTTGGATTTCTTTATTTTAATTCTATATTAGGATTATTAACTTTATTATACAATTTTTCAGAATTTTATATTTAATTTGAAATTTATTTCTATTCTCCCTTTATAAATTACTATTTCTCTTATTTTTATTAATGAATATATTTATTCTCTTAAACCTTTGGCTATGCTGACTATGGTCTCTCATGAAATGATGCTGTTTCCATCATCTCTTTATTTTCATATATTTCATTCTAATTAGTTTGTTGTTAATATGTATTTTGATTCTATTGCTTTTATTATACCTTTTGTAATTACTAATTATTATGCTATTGTAAATTTTGCTACTCTTGAGATTTAGATTAATGCTTTTATTCTTGATAGTGTTACTGTAAAAATAATTAATATTATTGCTGTTACATTTATAAAAACTATTCTTCTGTTAAATCGGAATAATTGGGAATTTATTCTAATTAAATTCTTTATTAACAACCAGTTTGAGGTCTGCTTTGAATAATTTCAGAATTTTAAATTTATTAATTGAGTTAGTCTGATTTCTTATTATTTTTTACATTTTAACTATTCCACCAAAAAATATCATAAGGAAGTAGCTCTAAATTAAAATGCAATACTACTTTCAGCATTTAAGTTAGAGACAGCCTTAAAATCAATCTAATTTTTTTAAGGAAGATGAAAAATATTGCTTTGTTATTGTTTAGCCCTTAATATTTTTGACACATTAAAAGGTGATTCTTCAGATAGAGCATTAGATTGATTGTTATTTATTTGATGTTCTTATGGACATTTTATATCAATATTATTCTAATATCCTGCAGTGTTCTTTGGATTTTTCAGTTAAGACATTAATTTAAATAATAAATAAAATGTGTACTAAAAATTTAAAAAGTGTGTATATAATTTATTACTTTATTTTTCATACTTGATTTTATTTAAAAAATAATAAAATAATGATTTTAATTTATAACAGTGGCCTAATTTATTTAAAACTTTTTATTTGTTATATTTTCCTTTAAAATACTAATATTTATTACTTTAATATTAAAAAAGACATTATTTTTTACAAAGATGTGTCTATTTATTAATTAAAAAATAAATAAAAATTCCTTTTCTTTTGATGATGCATATAAATTTTGATTAAGCTCTAATTTTAATTTTTATAACAAAAAGCACAAAAAATAAAATATATTTAAAAAATACTTAAAAGATTAAATAGATTCTGTGTGTAATTTTTTGGATGCAACACATTCTTGATTGAAATGTTAAAATCACATAAAATGAATTGAAAGAAAAGAGAATAGAAAAATAAAAATAACTTTTTGATATTCGAAAATGCAAAGGAAAACATGTCAGTCTGCTTAATTATATTATTTGGATTGTTATGTCATAATTGTTTTAGGCTTATCTTCTTTGCATCTATTGCATTTATCTCTTCTGGCATAATTAAAATTGCCACAAGAATTACATTTCCAATCATCTGGATTTGGAACATATTTCTTGACTTTTTCATCCTAAGAAACGATTTAGAGAGTTAATGAATACTTTTCCAGCATATTCTCTACTTTTCTTACATCTATTACATTCCTAACGATGACGGAAATTGATATTTTAACAATATTTGCATTTCCAATTATCCTCATTATATAAAAAGGATAAAGGTTTTTCCTTTTTTCTACAAAAAGATTTAGATATATATATTTCATCATACTTTCTACTACTTTTGCTACAGCTACTACTAGAATCACTACTACTAGAAAAAGAACTACTACTACTGGCTTTGAAATATTAGGATAACAAATAAACCTCTCTTTCTTTTTTTCTTTTTATCTTTCTTTAATTTATCATTCTATTTTTTTTTCTTCTTTTTTGCTTCCTAATCTGATCATACGAATACAAAAATCAAATACCACTCAAACTTATACTATTACTTGTTAAACTAGGTGTTGGTTATTAAGGAGGAATATTATATTATGGCACTGAACTTACAAATAACTTTATTACTTTGTTGCTATACAAAAAAGCCATACCCATTATAATGCAATGGTTGGAATTGCTATTATTCAAATCCATATATTTATTGTTGTTGACTGTAATAGACTTATTGAAATAATGGTACTTGTTGCTACCCTTACGGACCTTAATTATCAAAAGGAAACTTTAAAGGATGATTTTGAAAACTCATTAATATTAATAAATGAATACTTAAAAAAATCCCCTTAAATTTCATTAAAATAGATCAAAATCTTTCACTTAAAATAACTCTAAAAATGATATTCAATAACTTAATTTATTCATCAAAGAATAATTGAATGAATTAAAAAGAAAAAGAAAACTTCCATCCTTAATTTAATAAGAATCAGATTATCTTATGGATGAGATCAATAAAATAACCAATATATACAAGATTCCTCATATTAAAACTCATTCTGCAATTCCAAAACTCATTACATTTCAAAATCAATAAAAGATATCTCATCATAATTTTAAACCTTCTACTTTACTCACAGAAAGAAAACATTTTTAAGTTAAAACTTTAATTCGGTCATCATAACCAACTATTAAGATAAATAATAATATTTTCATAGAAAATCAAGACTCAATTCATGTTTGATATTTTTATTTTTTTTAATTCAAAAATATTATTAATGTTCCAAGGTCATGAACCTAATGCATTTTTAAGAATACATTAGGGATCAAACGCTTGAATGCCGTATGTTTTTTCCTTCTAGTTGCGATTAAAGTGGAATATAATCCAATTTAATCTTTGATCAAAGAAGGTATAATAATCAATAATTTTTATATATTAATTTATTAATATTAATAAGAACTTATATTATGGGAATAAGTAAGGCAATCAATAAATTCTGTATTTTTTTATCAAATTTTATTTTTTCCCCCAATAAATCATATTTATAAGCCCAAAAATAATTAAGAATGGACCTACACAGAGACATGGTAATGTAATCACCAAAATTGGATCTGAAAATTAACCATTGTTATGTAAAAGAACATATTTTTTAGTTTAAGCAAAAGCATCATTAGTGTCTAATATGAATTAATAATTTACTAATTTAAATATTTACTGTGTATGTACCAGCTTCTAAATCTTAATCAATTCTTCCCCACAATTTTCTAAATCTACTTAAAGGAGATGGTCTCATCCAATTAATAAATCTTTCTGATTTAAATGAAAATAATCACCTGATTCCATATCTATCCACTGATTATCTAAATTTATATTGGAAAACTTTTCAATATCAGATTCCCATGCAATACCTTTATCAATGACTGAAATTTGAATACCATCTTTTGTCAATTAAAATTCATCTTAAATTTAATAATATTTTGAACATTACCATTCATATAAGAATAAGCAGCAATCCCACATGGTATAGCTAAATTATCTTATACCAAAGCTTTCCCTGTAACACTTAAAGTTTTTCCCATTTCCCTATTCGTTTTATATTGATCACAAATTGATGTATCGAAATCTAAGTCTCCATATAATTAATCGTAAGGAATGCTATTAAAGTATTTGTCTGTGTTCTAGAAAAAAGATGAAACCTCGTACGAAAAAAATACAGGAGATTTCATTTTTGATGGCACAGAAATTTTAATCTAAATTTACTCATTATATTTACAGAACATGAAATCTTATCAGCACAAATTTCATCATACCTAGTAGATATATATTCATAATCAATATCAACTGTTTGTGATACTATTCCAAATGCAATTAATATTAGTCCTTCTTTATTTTCAAAGTTATACCCATAAATATAAGCAATATTGGATTCAACTTTATGTATTTTAATTTCCATTCTTACAATTATTTTGTTTATTCAGAATTCATATTCATATTTTATGCAGTTGGAAATTTTAATTATTATAATGCTATGTAAATTTTCAATTTCAATTTGTTATGTGATTATTTCCTTAAAAATCAATTTAATTTCAAGAACAAATGAAGGCTGCTATCAAACTTACTTAAATTTGATATAAAATTAGTTTAAATATAATTACTTTCAAGAATTCGCTTTGAAAATTTTTTAATTGATATAATATTTTCATTGAAACAATTTACATAATTTATAAACCATAAAATTATTTATCTATTCCTATTATATATGGAAAAGGTTATGTGAGATGAGAATTTTAATTATGAAATATAATAGTAGTAAAAATGGTGTGCTACATCACAAAAAACATAAATTAAAGATTGGTTATGCAATAATAAGAATCTAATAAGTATTATTTTAATTAAGAAATTAGAAAAGTGAATTTTCTATTAATATATCGCAAGTTCCATTAGAATATATATTGTTTAAGTCAAGCTCGTCAGGAATGGGCTCATTTGGTTAAGTGAATTCTTTTATAAATAAATTTAAATATATTATTACCCTTATTTTGGTAGATTTTAGATAATTTTAAATATGAATTTAGAATAATTTATTCTAGCAGGCTATTCAGCAGGTAATAATATAGCTTTGGGCATTTGTTTTTTCTATATATATTGATATAAGAGTACCTATTAGACTATTTTTACCTTATCTTTTATAAATCTTAATTTTATGATCTGTAAACCTCCTTTATTTAATGGATTGATTAAAGAAAGAACTCTTATAAAAATATATAGTAGTAATTTTGAAAGAATATTTAAAATATGGATTGGAACATTCAGAATATGATCCATATCTTTGTTCTTTTATAGCTTATGATAATTTCTTAACTAAGTATTTTATAAATCATTTATTAGAATTCTTAAAATACGTTTAATTTATGCAAGATAGTAGACCGCCTTACTAGAGAAACTATATGATTTTTTAATAAATAATGATATCAAATTAAATAATTTAAATAGTTTATCTTAGGGATGTATGATTTTTGAAGTTCCAAATGGGTTCTATTATTAATTTTGGTTAAGAGTTATTTAAATTAAGTCAAGTATTATTATTATATATATAAAAATATATTATTAAATCATTTATAAAATCTTTCATCATATACGCAATCGTCAATTTTTTCAGGAGTTACGTGAAAAGATTTTACTTTTTATACTGTTGATCTATTCTAATGAATTTGTGGTTATTTTTTTTAAGTTGGTACTTTTTGAGGAGACTGAATATTTAAATTTATTTGCTGTAATTTCGGTTTGTTCATAGAAACTTTTTAATTCTATGCTTTTAAAAAGGGACTTATTGATTATTTATTTGAAGAATAACCATTTTTTGATTTATTTGCTTTCGTTGAAATATTCCATTTTGATTATTATTTTGGAACTATAGCTGAATTTCTCCTAAAATTATTTTAAGAAGAACATTTTTGTTATTTTATAGATTGAGCAGATGAGATAGATAGAAAATCTTATTAAGTTGATTTATTCAAATGTTGATGAAAAACTGATTATTCTAAAGATTCCATCTTTATATAATTTTAGAACTTCTTTGAATTTGTACTCTTGTCAATAGAGGTAAATAATTATTACAAGTTTTGCATTAAAATTTATTTGTTTTCTTCAGGAGATGGTACTATTCTTTTTGTTATACCAGTAAAAATAAGAGAGTTCTCATCTTATTCAGACATAAATATCTCAACACTAACTTTGTCACTTTCAATTTTATCAACCATTTTCAATTACCTTCTTTATTGTGGTTTTTAGAATATTTCCATTTTTGGTGGAGATTCATATGGTTATTCTTCAACTTATATTTCCTTATCTTCTTTCAAACCCATATATTATTAAGGATTGAATGAATGCTAATAATGATCGATGATTTCTTCTCCCTTTATATAAAAAGGTTTCAATTTTTGTTCAGGACTTTCTTCCAATGATCTTGCAGGTTTCAATAATTATTAAATATCCATCTATCCCAAAGTCATATAATTTCGCTTATCAACTGATGATTTATGACTCCTTCTAAATGAGCAATCAGGTAAACCTGGAGAATTTACTCTCTTATACTATATCTTAGGGGATTAATCAAGCAGATATGATTATGTGGTTTCAAATCTACAAGAAGTGGCAGTCTTCTGTTGACAAACTGTATTCATTTTTTAACGTAATTTAATTATGAGAATATATACATTAAAACTAATGGTTAAGACATTTATCAAATTACTTTCACCCTCAATATATACTCCCTTTTATTTCTTCTAATTTAAACCACTATCTTTCAATCCTATTAAATCAAAATCTATCAGAAGATAAAGTATCTAAACTAAAGATTTTATTTATTTATTATTTTCAGTTAATTTTACTACATCTTTCTTGCTCTACTCAATTTTAAAAAATAAATTTTTGAGACTGCTTAAATAAAAAAAGTAATTAATTATTGAAATTTTTTAATTTTATTATCAATATTTATTCATCATAAATATGAATATAAATTAATCATTATATACCCTAAAATTCTTAAAGAACCTATTTTTTATTATCTTAATTTTAAGAACAATAATTTGTTTTAAATCATAAAATTTTATTTAATCAATAAATTTATCTAAAAGCCTATTCATCTCCAAAATAGATATTTTTGAGTAACTATATTGATTATAAAAATAATACTTTATGAGTGGTAATTAGAGTCCCCTTATCCTATCAATTTCTTTCACTCACGGACTATACTTTTGATATATTTTGTTCATAACCATTGAACGATTTAATATAAAGAATATATCTCAAACTTTCTACTTCACTAATAACTTTAATTTAAAAGTGATTAAGATTATTATCTATTATTAAATAAATCTATCATAAATTTTTATTAACTTATAAATATAAGAAGATTTCTATTAATAAGTTTGATTATAATGAATAATTAAATATTATTAACACTAATAATCTAGTTAATTTCTATATTAAAAATAAAAATTTAATATGTTCATAAACTAAAGACGATCTGTTAGTCTCGAATCCAAGAAGCATCTTACAAATTCAACCTTTCGAACTACTTAGCTCTCAACTCCTAAATAAGATTTAAATATCTATAAACCATTTTCTCCATCAAAAGAAGCTAAACTCTAATTATTTAGAAAAATTTTTAATGTGAAAAAACCAAAAACAAGCACTGTTATGAATTTTTATGATATTGATACGGTTAAACCAGTGGTATGTTAATCAGCATAATTGGATAAATATGACTTTCCTAATTGGTTAAAAGGAAGAACAGATTTCATTAAGCTTAGAAAATCTAAATATTTCGATTATCATTTGAAAGTCTTTTCAATCTGTGAATAAGAGTATAAATTCATAATATATAAAGTCCTTTCAAGAGATCGGACGAACTTAAAGAAATTGTTGCAAATTATTTAGTGAAGTTAGATTTTTTTCGATTAATGCCAATGCAAATGTTGAAACAGATATCTGGAAGATTATTTGCAAAATCTTATGAGGAAAATGAAATAATTTGTAATAAAGGTGATAAAGGAGATTGCATGTATGTAATATTTGAGGGAATTATTGAAGTTGTTGGGAAAAATAAAAAACTAGGANCTCAATTTTAAAAAATAAATTTTTGAGACTGCTTAAATAAAAAAAGTAATTAATTATTGAAATTTTTTAATTTTATTATCAATATTTATTCATCATAAATATGAATATAAATTAATCATTATATACCCTAAAATTCTTAAAGAACCTATTTTTTATTATCTTAATTTTAAGAACAATAATTTGTTTTAAATCATAAAATTTTATTTAATCAATAAATTTATCTAAAAGCCTATTCATCTCCAAAATAGATATTTTTGAGTAACTATATTGATTATAAAAATAATACTTTATGAGTGGTAATTAGAGTCCCCTTATCCTATCAATTTCTTTCACTCACGGACTATACTTTTGATATATTTTGTTCATAACCATTGAACGATTTAATATAAAGAATATATCTCAAACTTTCTACTTCACTAATAACTTTAATTTAAAAGTGATTAAGATTATTATCTATTATTAAATAAATCTATCATAAATTTTTATTAACTTATAAATATAAGAAGATTTCTATTAATAAGTTTGATTATAATGAATAATTAAATATTATTAACACTAATAATCTAGTTAATTTCTATATTAAAAATAAAAATTTAATATGTTCATAAACTAAAGACGATCTGTTAGTCTCGAATCCAAGAAGCATCTTACAAATTCAACCTTTCGAACTACTTAGCTCTCAACTCCTAAATAAGATTTAAATATCTATAAACCATTTTCTCCATCAAAAGAAGCTAAACTCTAATTATTTAGAAAAATTTTTAATGTGAAAAAACCAAAAACAAGCACTGTTATGAATTTTTATGATATTGATACGGTTAAACCAGTGGTATGTTAATCAGCATAATTGGATAAATATGACTTTCCTAATTGGTTAAAAGGAAGAACAGATTTCATTAAGCTTAGAAAATCTAAATATTTCGATTATCATTTGAAAGTCTTTTCAATCTGTGAATAAGAGTATAAATTCATAATATATAAAGTCCTTTCAAGAGATCGGACGAACTTAAAGAAATTGTTGCAAATTATTTAGTGAAGTTAGATTTTTTTCGATTAATGCCAATGCAAATGTTGAAACAGATATCTGGAAGATTATTTGCAAAATCTTATGAGGAAAATGAAATAATTTGTAATAAAGGTGATAAAGGAGATTGCATGTATGTAATATTTGAGGGAATTATTGAAGTTGTTGGGAAAAATAAAAAACTAGGACCAAAAAACATTATAGGCAGAAATGCTTTAGACAATGATTAACCTAGAAATGCAACTCTAAAATCAATTGGAGCATCTCATTTATTAATTTTAAATCGTATTGATTATGTTACAATACTAAATAATATTATGAAAGCAGAAAGTGCAAAATAGGAACAATTTATCAGAAGTCTTTAATTATTTGCTCATTTTTCTGAAGAAAAATTAAAAAAGTTTTGTAATGCTCTTTAAGGCAAATACTTAACTCCTAATGAAAATTTATATAGTGCAGGTGATTTAGTTGATCATCTTTACATTGTTAAACATGGAGTTCTGGCAAAGACTGTCGTTATGGATTTAGAAGATTAAAATAGATGGCCTATTGTAAGTCTTTTTATTTAAATCTAGAATTAAAAAAAATGGATGAGTCAGACTATTACAAGAACTCTATCATTTAATATAGAATATAAAGCAGGATAACTAGTTGGTTATTATGATATTTTAGATTCAGAATTTGATTCAGATAGAAAAAGAAATGAAACAATTGATGCTAAAACAGATTGTTTTTTGTTATTCATCTCCAAATCTTAATTCTTTCATGGTATATTTGTTTTATTTATTTTTAGTTTTTCAATCAACAGATTTGCAATATTTTCATAATTACCATGTTTAGAATAATCCTATGACATTTGAATAGTTGGTTAATAGCACCAGATAAAAGGAAAGTGAACAAAAATAAAAAGTTTAAATAGTAACAGATGCTATTTATTCTCATTTAAGATAATATTCATTTGATTATAATACTTTAAAGATAAAAGAAAAAAAATATGATTAAGTAAAATAGAATTAAGAAAATGCTTCGAAAGAATTCAATAGTTAATATAAAATTATTAGAAGAGACAAACATTAAAAAATATTAACTTCGCAATATGAATGAGTTTCATTTATTTTTAATTTTTAAATTATATGCTAAGAGTATTCAAGGCTAAAACAAGAGAATATATTAAAGAGGCCATAGAATTTAATAATCTTCAATTTCCTTGGAAATTTGGTGGGTATGGTTATTTGTTATCATCTTAAGATTTCCTCATGAACCTAAAGATGGATAATTAAATGGTTTTACTGATTGGAGAAGAATTATTAATGAAGAAAAATTATAAGAACTCAGTACAGAATACTTTCAAAAAATCAATGAATTATAACCTTTGAGATTGGAAAGAATTGTTGAGCATTCTTTAATGTCACAAATTTATAGAGAATTAATGAGGTATAAACTCTAGGTATTTTATTGATTTAAGAACCATAAACATACATTAAAATTTGATATTAAATGCTTTGATTTTGGGGTTTACAATACTGAAAATATTTTTCGAGTGGGAGTTCATCTGGGAAGATAAAGAAATAAACCATTAGAAATCAGACGTATATTAAATGCTATTAAAATATAGATTTCAACTAAAATATTAATGGACATGATTTTCTTTGTGTGTGGAGGAAAAGACCATTTGTAACAGATAAAGCAACTCTTTCTCTTTTTATTGATGTTTCATTTAAAACTCAAGGAACTATCATGCTTTTGAATCAAAAAAAAGAAATTATCTATCAAAACGATTAAAATAATCAAGAATTTCATTGCATGAGACTTGAAAGTGAAATTATGAATTGCAATTTCATAAGTGCAAAAAATGAACAATCAAATTTGAGAGATATGAAAAGAATGGATGATAATTTACATATCATAGATGTTGATCATTATTTGAAAGGAAACAATTATATAAATTATATAGAGTGAAATATCCATATGTTGAATTATAAATTTGTAAATAATGTCTAAATTTTTAATAATCAATTGAATGAGACTTATTTAATTTAATTCATACTTTTCATTTATTTTTATCAATCTTTCTCATCGATTTCAATTAGATAAACAGTTTTTTTTGAAAATGATAGATCAAAGAAACCATTAGAATTTTCCACATTAACTCTCTTTATCATTAAAAATCTGAATCATTATTTTTCTTTGAAGTTTACAAAACACAATTTTCTATTCATTATTAATTTAAATCAAAAATATCATTTTCCTCTTATGATATATGCTTGTATATGAACTTCATTTTCATTGATTTAAAAATTCGTTTATGAAATGGCATTTATTAAAAAAATCCCTGTCTGTGATGATAGTTTAATCTATCTACTTCTTCTTATTGGTTTAATTATGTTCCTTCTTCCTATTGTAATTTCACCCATTTGATACTTTATAAATATTAATGTAATCCAAAGTTAGAGCACATACAAAAAAGTAGAGTTTAAACTAAAAAACAGATTTTTAGGATTCCTGACTGTGGAAAAAAAAACAAAATAAGTAATCAAATTTAAGATGAGATATTTTCGGAAACCATTAAAATGGTTAGTTTAACTAAATATGGTTAAATGGGAGGGGAGGGAGGTGGTTATAACCACTTCAAACCAAAACTATTTAGTTAGTTATCTTTGATAAAAGTAGCAAATTAACAAACATTAGGTTATTTAATATTTTCTTTTTGAAATAAAAGTTGAAAATGAAAATATTAGGTATTCATTATGAGCATAAATTTATGATATAATCAAAATTGATGTTTTTGAATTTAAAATAATGCTAACACCTGTAGATGTAAAAATTTTGTGAATTTCAGTAGCTATTCCCTTTAAATCAAATTGTATTTATTAAATTAATTCTAGTAAAGACAAAAATTCCTAAAATGCAAAAGATACGAAATTAATTTATTTAATTAGTTAAAGGGTAGGAAGGAAATAATGGGTTTTTTATTAGTTATTCACTTAGCCATATTTTCTAAAAATTATTTAGGAGAATATCAATAGCATAATTTTAACCATTTGAGAATTAAATAAGTAATCAAATTAAAATTAGTAAGACTGAAAAAAATACAAAATTGTTAATTATTTTAAATTAATATTTAGTAATTTGAAATAGATTTTTCTATTTGAATATATGATTTAAGATCTATGTTATAAAAAATTTATATATATATAATAGCTGTATTGTTTTAAATAAAAATATTATTATGAAGATAATAATAGCAAGTTCAGATTTATAATTCAGTAAATTATTACTCTATGACATATAATATATATAATTTATGTGATCAACTTTTAAATCATTAAATGGTATAAATTGCTATTTAATTCACTTAAATTCGATTGTTTGATACTATTGATCTCAAACTTAATTTTATTGTGATTAAATAATTGAAGAATATATCAACATAAATACTAAAACATTATAATGTTGCTATCATATAAATTTGCATTAATTTGATTAAACGTTGAAATGGCTCATGGGATCGTTTAAATTGACTTATTTTTTACAAGATATGCAAAAAGCTTTTTGTTGACATTTCACGCTCGAACATTAGATGATTTTATCGAAATATAAAAGTTGGCAAATCATTTTCTGTTTTGATTAGCAATTTGGACAAGGTATTTTGTTTTCTTTCTCTACAATTTGATCAACTTACTCAATTTATTACTTTGTTTCAGCAATAATCTTTGGAACTTTATCCGGATCTACCCAAGTTCCATTGTACCATACTCTACATGGACTGTTATATGGATCATTTTTTTAGAAATGTGATGAATGATACTAATATTATTTTTTTAAAATTACAGCTTCTATGAGTTCCACATCGCATAGGAAGCAAAAATTAGTTTTACATCTGCAATACATAAAATTACACCCAGAAATTTTTTCACACAGGTTTTTACATTTAGGACATCTACAAATTTTTAGAGTTTTTTTCATTTCAAAATAAAATCCATCTTTATGTAATTCTTTTTATTTTTCACAATCTATTCCCTTGTCTTAATGNTAGATGTAAAAATTTTGTGAATTTCAGTAGCTATTCCCTTTAAATCAAATTGTATTTATTAAATTAATTCTAGTAAAGACAAAAATTCCTAAAATGCAAAAGATACGAAATTAATTTATTTAATTAGTTAAAGGGTAGGAAGGAAATAATGGGTTTTTTATTAGTTATTCACTTAGCCATATTTTCTAAAAATTATTTAGGAGAATATCAATAGCATAATTTTAACCATTTGAGAATTAAATAAGTAATCAAATTAAAATTAGTAAGACTGAAAAAAATACAAAATTGTTAATTATTTTAAATTAATATTTAGTAATTTGAAATAGATTTTTCTATTTGAATATATGATTTAAGATCTATGTTATAAAAAATTTATATATATATAATAGCTGTATTGTTTTAAATAAAAATATTATTATGAAGATAATAATAGCAAGTTCAGATTTATAATTCAGTAAATTATTACTCTATGACATATAATATATATAATTTATGTGATCAACTTTTAAATCATTAAATGGTATAAATTGCTATTTAATTCACTTAAATTCGATTGTTTGATACTATTGATCTCAAACTTAATTTTATTGTGATTAAATAATTGAAGAATATATCAACATAAATACTAAAACATTATAATGTTGCTATCATATAAATTTGCATTAATTTGATTAAACGTTGAAATGGCTCATGGGATCGTTTAAATTGACTTATTTTTTACAAGATATGCAAAAAGCTTTTTGTTGACATTTCACGCTCGAACATTAGATGATTTTATCGAAATATAAAAGTTGGCAAATCATTTTCTGTTTTGATTAGCAATTTGGACAAGGTATTTTGTTTTCTTTCTCTACAATTTGATCAACTTACTCAATTTATTACTTTGTTTCAGCAATAATCTTTGGAACTTTATCCGGATCTACCCAAGTTCCATTGTACCATACTCTACATGGACTGTTATATGGATCATTTTTTTAGAAATGTGATGAATGATACTAATATTATTTTTTTAAAATTACAGCTTCTATGAGTTCCACATCGCATAGGAAGCAAAAATTAGTTTTACATCTGCAATACATAAAATTACACCCAGAAATTTTTTCACACAGGTTTTTACATTTAGGACATCTACAAATTTTTAGAGTTTTTTTCATTTCAAAATAAAATCCATCTTTATGTAATTCTTTTTATTTTTCACAATCTATTCCCTTGTCTTAATGGTATTCAAGAGAGCATTTCCTACAAAATTTAACTTTGCATGATGGACATTGCATATATTCTAAAATCATATTATAAAGATAACCTGCATCTTTCCATATTATAAATTTTTCAATGCATTTTTCATTCAAACAATTTGTAAGAAGTTCATGATCTTCTAATCCCATGATTTTATTAAATTGTAATGCAAAATCGCAATACTTTTTAAACAGATTAGGGGGGAGAAAGTTTTCAATAATTTCTGGATTAAAAAGTCGATTGCATTAAGGACACTTAAAATCTGATAAATCAATTTAATTCTCATTTATTTTAGTTTCAAACTATTGGCTCAAACAATCCTTACAAAATTAATGTAAGCAATTAGGAAGAGTAAAGCATTTTTCTTCTTCATATGAACAGTAACAAATATTACAATCAATCATTAAATTTTAGTAAATCTATTATACTTTTTAAAGATTAAAAATTTATATTATGAATTAAAACATTAATCTTTGAAAATACATTTATTTATAAAAAGAAATCCATTTTAAACTAATATATTTTAGCAAAAAATCTTTGTATTTTAAATAAAATGATTTCTTTTATATATTGTGTAAATAATAATTTTTCAATTTCATACTTTGCCTGTGTTTTTTTAACATTTATCATTTAATTTGCAGCTAATTTTTTCTCCATTCATATTAAAATGACTCATAATATCTAATACTGGAACTTGTCTGGTACAAATTGTACAAAAGGCCTTATTTTGGCATTTTACACTTTAACATTTAATTATTAGATCAAAAAAAACCTATTAAACAACATCTTTCTGTTTCGATGAACAGTTTGGACAAACCTTTAATTCTTCTTCTACTTTTTTTTTTACATCCACTTATTCAATTTTTATCGCTTGAACAGCAATGTCCTTTGGAACTTTATCCGGATCTACCCAAGTTTCATTGTACCATACTCTACATGGACTTTTAAATGGATCGTTATTTTGCCAGTGTGAAAAATGATACTTATATTATTTTTTTAAAATTACAGCTTCTATGAGTTCCACATCGCATAGGAAGCAAAAATTAGCTTTACATCTGCAATACATAAAATTACACCCAGAAATTTTTTCACACAGGTTTTTACATTTTGGACATCTACAAACATTTGCAGTTTTTTTCATTTCAAAATAAAATATATCTTTATGTAATTCTTTTTATTTTTCACAATCTATTCCCTTGTCTTAATGGTATTCAAGAGAGCATTTCCTACAAAATTTAACTTTGCATGATGGACATTGCATATATTCTAAAATCATATTATAAAGATAACCTGCATCTTTCCATATTATAAATTTTTCAATGCATTTTTCATTCAAACAATTTGTAAGAAGTTCATGATCTTCTAATCCCATGATTTTATTAAATTGTAATGCAAAATCGCAATACTTTTTAAACAGATTAGGGGGGAGAAAGTTTTCAATAATTTCTGGATTAAAAAGTCGATTGCATTAAGGACACTTAAAATCTGATAAATCAATTTAATTCTCATTTATTTTAGTTTCAAACTATTGGCTCAAACAATCCTTACAAAATTAATGTAAGCAATTAGGAAGAGTAAAGCATTTTTCTTCTTCATATGAACAGTAACAAATATTACAATCAATCATTAAATTCTATTATTATTTAAAATTATTTATCTTATTTATTTAAGTACAAATTACTATAAACTAATTAATATCTACTCAATACACGATTAAGCATTAGACTGATATGATCTTAAACCTTTCTATTACTCATTATCATAATATCATGAAAATATTTGTCTTACTCTCATAAAATTAATTCATATAATCTTAAAAATAGTTGTTTTAAACCATTTAATGTTCTTGAGCTTTTTTGGATTCATAGTATGAATAAAGTTTTAATTTTTTCAACCTAATTTATTTTTCTCATCTCATTTTTTGAGAAACTCATTTTATCAACTCTTGGTACAATTTTTTCACAGAATGATTTGTTGTTTAAATTCAAAGGCTCGTTATAATTATTAAATTATCTTGATTTTTGCAAAAAATTAATTTCTTGATTATCATTATTTTGATAATTTTATAATTTTTATAATGAAACAATCAACTTTTAAAATTGTTTTAGTTGGTATTAATTTTTGCAATTAAAAGGGGACCCTAGAGTTGGAAAGTCTAATACTCTAACTAGATTTGCTTTTGATAAATTTGAAGATGGGCATAAAATTACAATTGGAGTAATATTTAATATAAATTTTAGGTGGAATTTGCATAGAAAAATATATCAATTAATGGGAAGGAGATTAAATTAGCAATTTGGGATACATGTGGAGCAGTAAAATAAAAACATATTTCAGGAATAATACAGGGCTCTAACAAAAATATACTATCAAGGAGCTGCAGGAGCATTACTGATTTTTGATATTACAGATAGAAGTTCTTTCGATAATTTAGAAAAATGGATTAAGGTTAAGATTTATTTAAATATGCTAGGATATAGAATAAAATACTTAATCAATTATTATTATGTTAATTGCAAATAAAGTAGATCTATAAGATCAAAGAAAAGTTAGTAAACAAGAAGCCGCTTAATTCGCATTTGAGCATAAATTAGCATATTTGGAGACTAGCGCAAAGGACGGAACTGGTATATAGTAAGCATTTGAACAATTGGCAACAGGTAACAAAATTATAATAGTATATTAATAGAAATAGTTAAATTATCAAATTTAGCTGAAATTACTCAAAAAAATAATATAAAATTAACAGAATCCACAATTTCAAAGGAAGTGAATGTTAAATAAAAAAATTGTTGTTGATTTTCTAACTTAATTGGTTATAATCTATATATTTAAAATTTATAGTCTCAATTGTTTAATTTTTTTATCATCATCTAAATACTTCATGTTGTTTTTCTTGAATACCTTTCATAACTATACAACTCTTATCCTGAATAACATACTTAAACTTTAATGTATTGATATTCATATATGTATTTTTTAGAAAAAAGTAATTTAATGAACAATTGTATTTATTTTTGATGAAATAAATTGTATCTAATTTGGATATTTATTGATATAATTTTATTAAACTCATTTCCATAAACCATTGGCTTAAGCCCATTTTCCAACATTCACTACACATCTGAATTTGGCTTGGGCTTTTTCCATTCTATCAAAAGCTTTTGGAAAGTCTTCAAATTCAAAAGTTTCCACAATTGGATAAACATTATTTTATGCAGAAAATTCAAGCATTTCCTAAATTTGATAAAAGATATTACTTATGTCTCATCATAATTACCAATCAATGAACCAGCAACTCTGATTTAATTTAAGATGATATAGGCGTGGTCTAATTTGAAGTTTACTTTTGAAGGAGGTGCACCAACTTAGATGTATGTACCTGTTGGGGCAGTTAATCTTTAATGGCTCTTAAAAACATCTTCATCTTCAATATAAAGTGTGTTGATGACAATATCATATTTTCCTTGTTCAGCTTTCAAACTTTCAACATCAATAGAGCTGGAGAGATTTGAAGCACCTAATCTCTTAATTTCTTGTTCTCTATTTTTGCTTGTTGTAAAAGCTGTTACAGTCATGCCCAATTTAGCTGCATATTAAACAGCCAAGTGTCCTAATCCACCAATACCAATGACAGCACATGTAAAATTTGGTTTGTAAAATCTTTTTAATGGAGCATAGACTGTGACACCAGCACACAATAAAGGAGAACCCAAGGCATCATTGAATCCTATTGATTGATATTCTATATACCATCTGGAATTCTAAAGACCATTCTTTCAGCAACTTAGATGTGAGTTGAATATCCACCAAAATTGTTATCATCATATAAGCCAATATTTTGTGAACATAATTAATTATCTCCTTTCTTGCATTACTCGCATGTTTAACACATCCATCTCTAAGGATTGCATCCAACTTTTTCACCTACTTTAAACTTTGTGACTCCTGTTCCAACTTTCTCAACTACTCCAACAACTTCATGTCCTGGACAACTAGGGTATTTGCTAAAAGGATATTACTTTATTATACATGTATGGATCCCATAATCCTCTTGAATGAAGGCAATCACTATGACATAATCCAGTAAATAAAATTCTTATTCTAACATCGTCGTCTGCAATATTTGGGTATTTATATGGGTATTGCACAGGCTCACCAGTGTTTTAGAGGAATGCGTATGCAACAGCATCTGCTGTTTCCTTGCTTTCTTATACTTAGTAAACTGAATGAGCTGGTAATTGTTGCATATTTAAGAGATATTTATTTATGGAGAAAAAGATCAATCCTCACATTTATAAAGACTTTTCCATCTTGAGTTCATGAATCACTCTATTATTAGGATTTTAGAACATCACAAATTATTTAATAATTAATCATTTACTAAATATCTTTTAAGTTTATATTGTACATTCATAACATTATACACAATCCCAAAAATTCTTATAATATAACTCTTCATTGAATTCAAATCTATTTATATTTTACTAACTTTGATACTAATATTATTAATTACAATTTGCTTTAAAATTTTTAAGAGTTATTTGAATAGAAAAATAAACCAAAGTTCGAACATTGCATTAATTTATTAAGTAATTTTTAGACACCATTCAGAATCATAATTTCATAAGTGCTTAAAATTAAATATTTAATAAAATTATTATATTAATATTAATTATTATCATGCCTAAATCTCATTCATCATCTTCTTCAGGTTCATCCTCTTCAAGTGAAGAGAAGAAGAGAGTGAAAGATTTAAATTAAAAAAAATCAAAAAGTCAAAAGTCAAGAGAAAGGTCAAAAGAAAAATCAAAAGAAAAAAAAACTAAAGATAAAACCAAGGAAAAGAAAATTAAAAATCTTCTCCTTGTTTAGAATATTTCAAGGAATGTCACCTAAGATATTTTACACGAGATATTCTCAACTTATGGAAAGCTAACTAATGTAGAAATGTAGTTTGATGAATAAAATAATATGCTTCCTCTTTTATTTGCTTTTATTACATATAACGATGAAGGCGATGCTTCTTAAGCTACTTAATATATGCATAGAGCAATTATTGATGGAAAAAAGATAAAATGTTAAAGCCTTGGAGTAGATAGATAAAAGTAAAAATAATAATTAAATTAGATATTATACAGAGAAGATTAAAAAAGAAAGATTAGATAAACTTAGATAAAGAGAAATCAAAAAGGAAAAAGATTTAAAATAAAAGGAAGAATATGCTAGAGCGAGGATTAGAGAAGATAAATAAAAAAATGAAAATAAAGATGGTGAAAAAGATAAAGAATTATAAAAAAAGGATTAAGAATAATAATAAGATTAATAAAAATAAAAGGATAAAGACAAAGAAAAAGAAAAGGAGAAGGAAAAGGAAAAGGAAAAAGAAAAAGAAAGAGAGAGAAGAGAAAGAGAAAGAGAAAGAGAAAGAGAAAAGGAGAGAGAAAGAGAAAGAGAGAGAGAAAAAGAGAGAGAAAGAGAAGAAAGGGAAAGAGAAAGAGAAAGAGAAAGGGAAAGAGAAAGGGAAAGAGAAAGAGAAAGAGAAAAAGAAAAAAGGGAAAAAGAAAAAGAAAAAGAGAGAGAAAGAGAAAGAGAAAAACAAAGGCAAAAAGAAAAGAGAGAAAAGGAAAAATAAGAAAGGATTGAACGAGAAAAAAAGAAGAAATAGCATTCATCAAGAAGAAGATCATCAGATAGGCATCACAAAAGATCAAGTTCAAGAAAAAGACATTCAAAAAGAAGATATAGAAAAAGGTCAAAAACTCCTGTAAAAATTAAGAACTATTATATTAGAAAAAAAAATAAAATAGGAGGGAAAGTACTTCAAGTTCATCATCTGATTCTTCATCCTCTTCATCTTCAAGTGGAAGTTCTAGTAGCAGTAGCAGCAGTGGATCCTCATCTTCTTCACAATCAGATGATTAAAAATAAACAAACTAAAACTAGAAGAAGACATCTTCAAGTAGTTCTTCAAGTGACTCAGATAGTTCATCATGATTATTAGATTATTATTTTATAGTGTGAAATAAATGCAATTAGTTCACATAATGTAGCAACATTTGACATTTAAATTGCTAGAATTGGTTACAAAAATTTAAATAACATCTTATCTTTCTGAATAAAGGGCTTGAACTGAATCAGATACATTTAATCTTCTTCTTTAACAATTGAGCACATCAAAATCTTCCAAAGACAAGTTTGTGAATTAGAGAGTAATTAATATCTAATTTAGTTACATTATGCAATCATATACTTTCAACTCTTCTATTGTACTATTTGGTGAAATATCAATTTAAAAAGGTTTGATATTGATATTATGGTTTCTAAACTTTTCATCAAAAGTTCCATAAATTATCATTCTTATTAATATTTATTACAATATAAAAATATATTCCAGCCTACAAATAAATGATCAAAACAAATATTATTTAAAATTATCAATTAAAAATACTCTTTGATTTAATTACTTGATCTTTAGACACATCTACCATACTGTAATAGGCTTATTAATGAAGAAATTAATACAAAAAATGGGCCTTTTCTTAATAGAGATTAGATTTAGATGTTAGAAACAGAAAATTATGAGAAAACAAATGTGTCTGAAGATAAAATCAGAGAAAGTGAGTAACAATTATAATTTATTATATACTATTAATAATTAATTCAAATTCATTATATGATGCATTATCCAGCACATAATCTATATAGAATCTAATATTGTTATTTACCCTGGATTTTGAACTTTTTCTTCGGTAGAGATAGTCTTTTGCTGTTTATTAGGAAGAGTCATTCTTAAATTACTTTAAGAATAATGCTTTTCCTCTTAGCTGCCTCTTAATAGACTAGTTTTGTTTTTCAGTGTTTATAAAATCTAATAGATTTGCTATTTCTTTAAATTTAGAGTTTCCTGCAAGACCTCATACTCTTTCTCTGCTTCATTGATTTTTAAATCTAGCTCTTTATTTTAAGTCTACAATTTTAACTGCTAGCTTATTAATGCATTTAATTCTTCATTGGAATTATCAACTAAAATCAACTAAAATCGATCTACTTTACTTTTTAGTTTTCAATTTCGGTTTCTAGATCTTCAAGCTCATGCTATTTATCAATAATGGTTTCACTCATTTAAAACTCTAGTGATTCACTTTTCTAATTTTAGTTCCTTTTGAGCAGAGAACTTGCTTTCTATATTAAAGATATTTCTTCATTAAGAGTATTAATCTTTTCGTTAATTTAATTTAGCTAATATTCTTGCTCTTCAATCTATGTTTTGTGTTATTAATATAGCTAAAATATATATATGTGATAATTACATATGTGAATTTCATTTCAATTAAAACACAAACATCGCATTCCGATAATTTATTGCACAATGAGCAAACGTTTCGAAAGCATTTAGGACTAAATTTTGAATTTGAATATATGAATACCAAATTACAAGCTTGTCATCAATAAAACAAATTTCGCAAATAGGCATATGATAATTAATTAAAATAATTTATTTCATTTCTGCTTTTTAGATTTCTTTTCTTTCTTTTAATCAATTTTCTTGTGGGTATTTTTCAACGCATTATAAGCTACAATATTTTATTTTGATACCTAAAACCATTATGGCAAAAAAGGATATAAACACTGAAGCAAAGATTAGAATTGAAAAGTTTGATTTTTTGTCAATAGATTAACCAAATACTTTGGTTTCATATTGGTTCTCCATGTAATCAGGGTACTAGTAATAGTTTAATCCATCAAATTCATCATCACCCATAGCTTCCCTAGATTTTGCTTAGAAATCCTAGAATAACAAATTTAATTACTTCCATGATTCTCCATACAGATTCTTCTTCTGGATCAAAAGTAATTTTAACAGATTGATTTTGGTATTTTGACAAATCAAACTCATTCATTAAATAATAATACTTGGAGACATTGAATTGTCCAACTTATATTTCGTCATACATCTAAAAATATTTTACTAATATTTGAATTACTTATTAGGCTATCATCGCAGATTATCTAAGAATGCAATATTAAACAGCATCAATTTAGATTCTCTTACTAGCTTTTCTTTAAGTTTCGAATCTAACTTCTGATGATTCAATAGTTTAATAGGCTTCTATGATTGAATTTAATTAGTTCATTACTACATCATCATTATATGTCAAGTAGGATGATGATGTGATTGCACAAGAATAAAAAATGTTTTTAGTGTTGTTCATATTTTTTTCATATTCTAAAGGAATATAGGACAATATCAACCTGGAGTTTGAATTCTAATAGTATCATTATTAGAATTATTTCTTCCTTAAACAACCCCTAAAATCAACAACAAGTGGAGCATAAATTTTATATAAATATCAATAAATTTCATTCGTGTTTATTTTTTACTTTATCTACCTGCATTCTATACTAATTTATTCTGCTTATTATTACTTTAGTTGGTACACCAAAAAGGGTATCTTGTATTCTCTTTAAATATTAAATAAACATCTAACCATAATGTTTAAATCAAAGACTTCATGAGAATTATTCATGTTTTTGTAAATTAATTCAATCTCTTTTTATCTTAAATAAGTTCGATTACTCAACATGAAATCTAGTTCAGTTTCAAAAAGCCATGTACATAAATTTAAAAATCCTAAAGTTCAATTAAACAATTTCCATTTGGAATTTCTATAAAAATATTGAATTCAGATCCTAATTAAAATCTTGAATTAATATCTGAGATGTATTTAGTCTGGATATAACTTTTTGCATTGATTAGTGAACATAGTGATACTATTTCAAATCACATTTTTTAATTGATCGATAGTCATTGTCGAATAAATATTCCAGTATAAGTTCTATGGCTCATCTTTGAAATGTTTCATACGTTTGGTCAGTAATCATACAGTAAATTAGATACTAATCTATAAGATTTGAGTAATTTTAGCACAATTGCAAAGAATTAGTTCCATAATGCGTTCCGATCTCATATTTGTACTTTTCCAATTATCCAATAATTTTAAGACTTTCTTAATCCCTCTAATTCATATTTTATGCTTCAGTAATACTTTATATAAGAGAAACTTGAAATTAAAAAAATGCTATTAATTAAGTTTATTCCATTCAGCATAGTTTCTAATCTCTTTATGTAATTTTTATGGTAAATTGGTTGAGACTTCCAATTATATACATGCTTAATATTTTAGAAATTAAAGAGATTTTAATATTTTATATATTCTGAGCCTTTCAATTCCTAATTAAGTAATAGCAAACTTAAATGAGGCATCCTTATTGATTCTAATTTAAATAAGTATTTATTAAGTCTCGTTTATGAAATAAAATAGTAATGAAATATGATTTAAAATTAGTGAATTCAAACTTATTTTGAATTGGAAATTCATAACGATCTGTATTAATGAAATTCTCTTCTTTAACTAAATCACAAAAATTCTTATAACATATTCACATCATACAGTTCGTGAATAGTCTTATATTAAAGATATTCTCATAGTTGTTAATATTTGTCATTTTTTTAAAGAACAACGTATTAATTTGGTTAAGGTTTTAAAATGTGTATGATTTCCTTTATATACTTGTGTCAATAGTATATGTTAGAGTCTTATGGACTGTTATCTTTATTTGATTTTGTTGGTTTTGCTAAAAGTATAAAAATTTAAATTTAAAACTACATTTAAGTACTGGAGATTGGAATTTGAACCGAGAGAGGGAGTATTACTTATAAAAGTGGAATCATCTTAGGAGTGTTAATCGAATAAATAGAAGAACTCCTGGGATTTTCATAAATATATACAACTTTTTTGTTATTGCAAATACTTAGATTTACTTTAGATAATTACTCAAGTATTTGTTGTATATTACTCTATAAAAAAATAACTAATTCCTATTTAAATAATTTAAACGATAGAATTAATACATATAAATTGATATATCATCAAAGTAACCCAGAATAGGTTATTTGAAAATTTTAAAAATTGACTTGATTTTTTTTTTTAATTTTTAAGAATAATAGATGACCTTATATTAAAATCATTATTTAACTTCTTTAACTAAATTCTCGAATTTCTGAATCTCTTTTGATTCTTGTGTAACTGCTTTGATAACATAGTGATTATCACAACTTTAAATGTATTAAATAATTTATACTGAGGACAATATTCATCTGACTCATCATAATCAGTAATGTCTTTACGGAAAACTTTCTTGCATTTCTTACAAGCAAAAACCATCTCAATATTTTTCTATAATGGATGATTTTCAAGTTCTTAATGACATTCAGCACAATCAAACCATCTAATTAGTATATAATGAGTGAATTACTTTTTGCAACATGGAGCTCTAATAGCAACTTAGGCATTGAGAATATGTTTGCACATTTTTTATTTTAAATTTTAAATTGTATTAATAATTAAATCTTTATACATGTCGAGTGACAACCCAGATGGTCAGCCATTAGATTTCGAATACTATGAAACAAATTACCCATATTTGAATGTCAAGAAGAATCTTCTTAACAATACTTTGTCAAAATGGAGAAGAGCTATTGCTCCTTATAACCCATTTGCCATGCAATAAATTCCAAATCAAAAGAGAATGGGTATGGGTATAAGAAATGGTAATGGATTTTATTTTCCTGATCCATATCCTAACAGAGTTAATTGGAGTGTATTTTTCCCAACTCATTATGATCCATTGAGTGAATAACACTTTGGAAATCATGGATGGTAGACAAGAAAGTAATAACAAATTCTAAATGCAATAGAGATGCACCAATGTTTACAGCACTATCAATTAGAGCCTAAGCACTTCCAAGAGGATGTGTTAGATAAATTGAAGCCTTCAAAAGATGCTAAAATGTTAATGGAGCAACAAAATGCCAAGAAGAAGCTGATAACATTGTTTCAATCTGTCCTAAATGGGCTTTAGAAGGTTTGAAGGAAAAGAAGAAACAACTAGATAAAATTGAAGCTATTTAAACACTTCAATATCGTTCAGTTTTAGAAGTGTCCCCCTACAACAAAGTAATTATATTGTTTTATATTTTAAGGGCAGAACAGTAAAAGATGTTTCAGATAAGACCTGGGCTGATGGACATAGAGAAAAGTTGAGACCTGATACAATGTGGGCTGATGAGAGATACACAAACATTACATAGAGTGAAATTAATGAAGCTAAAAAACGCGTGGCAGCAAGAGATTCTGCAAGTGGAAGGTATGATTAAACTTATATGTTAATGTAGAGTTAAGGAAAAGGTGTATCCAGTACATCATCCAGATATGTCGAGCTCTCATATCAAAGAAGACAAACCTCTATATCCATGATTTATTATTAAATAATAAATAAAAATATTAAAACAAATCTTTAAGAATGGTATGTGTTCATTGTGAAATTAGGGGTTGTTAAATATCATTCGAAAGATCAAAAAAACAGCAAAGGAATTAAGAATCCTTGTCTTAGGATTAGATAATGCAGGAAAAACAACTATTCTCAAAGCTTTATCAAATGAGGATATTAATCAGATAGCTCCCACTCATGGTTTTAATATCAAAAATTTGTAACACGATGGATTTAAGCTTAATGTATGGGATGTTGGAGGTCAAGAAGTACAAATTTAATGCATCATAGAAACTACGAGAATATTGGAGCAATTTCTATGAAAATACAGATGCTTTAGTATTTGTTATAGATTCATCAGACTAAATGCGTTTAGAAGAGGGTGGCAAAGAATTAGACAAATTATTAGGAGAGGCTGAATTAAAGAAAGTCCCTCTATTAGTATTCGCAAATAAATAAGATTTGGTCTAAGCTCTTCCAGCAGATGAGGTTAATATCCTTACTTTATTCAGATCTCTGATACTTTGAAACTAAATAAAATTACAGACAGATAATGGTCTATTGTTGCATGTTCAGCTAAAACATAGGAAGGATTGCAAGAAGGAATGGAATGGCTTATTAAGACAGTCTAAGATAAATGAATAATAAATATTAAATATTATTAATATGAAATCATAGATTGAAATTTCTATTAATTTTAGCAAATTCAAAAACATTGATCTTTTAGCCTCTGGAATCTATTAAATAAGAGTTCACATTGTACTTAATCTCATAATTAATAGCCTCAAACTTAACCATACTAGATTATTAAAATGTCCATGCCAGATTATAAATATTCAAGTAATGAGATTGGTTAAAATTTTGTACTCTATTAAGAGAATATTTACGATAAGTATTTTTATTCGCAAGGCTTTTTGGTTCAATATGAAAATGAAGAATTTCATTTCAATATTGGGTGCTTATTCAGATTGTTAGAAACTCAAAATATAGAGATTATCATCGAATTGATGTTCCTGGATAAAAAACTTTTAGGAAATATTTTTGATGAAAATTTTTAGACTTTTGCTTTAAAAATTAAATAATAAATGCAAATAGTATCAAAAGCCACTCTAATAGTAACGAATTCACTAAAATTTAATTAAACATATTATCCAATAGAATTTGATCCTGAACATTTTTGTGTAATTGAAACTTATATTCATACAATACCAATTCAATTTTCATATAGCAAGCAAAACTTATCTAAAAATCTTTAAAATGGCTCAAAAAATGAATTATAAGAGTATCTGAACAAAACAATTAATTTGTAAAAGGAAAATAGAAAATAATTAATAAAATAACTTTCTCGTTTACAGAAGGAAGAGAATATTTAGTTCTTATTTTAAGAGAAATAAATGGATTTAAAAGATTAAGTGATAGAAAATGAAATTATACAAGTATATTCTTATCCATCAATAGAGTCTAAATGATCTTAATCATGATTTAGTAATTTTATGGCACTAACTCTTGGATGCAATATAAGAGCAACATTAATAACTTTAAGATGAATTGGAATAATAATTCTTATTTTAGATGATCTAAAGATGGTAAAATTGTGTTCTTTTAAATAAATCTGAAGTTAAATAATTAGACTAAGTTCAATAATAAGGTAGATACAACCATGAGTTTGCAAAACTGAAGAGAAATTAATAAAGATCTTAAAAAATAGATGGAATAAAATAAATCGAATTGCTGCAACCTTTTAATTTAGACCCATATATATTTAAATATACTTGTATTAAGAATGGATTTTTATAGAAGCCTTTAAATTCTTTTGTTCATTATGTTGTTCTAGTTCATGGATACTAAGGTAATTCATATAACATGAGATACTGGAAATATATATTGGCTCTTCGTTTTAAGGAAAAAATAAGATTCATATGTCCAACATATAATGATGACAATAAACCAATATAAGTACAAGCTAAAATACTTGCTGATTATGTTAATAATTACATAAGTGAGGAAAATATGATAAATTTTAGATTGTCATTTATTGGTCATTCTCTTGGAGGAGTTGTTATTAGAGCAGCACTTCCTGAATTAAGTAAATTTAACTAATTTATGCATACTTATATGAGTCTTGCATCTCCTCATTGTGGATATGCTTCATCTCAAAGTTTTTTAGTTGATGCTGGATTGATTTTATTCTAAACATGGAATTCATCTAAGACACTCGAAGAATTAAGTTAAAGAGATCATAAAGATGTTAAAAATACTTATATCTATAATTTGAGTTAAATAGATGGACTTAATTGGTTCAATAATGTTGTTGTCTTTTCTTCATTTTAAGATTTTTTTGTGCCTTACAATTCTGCCTTAATTTAGAAAATCGAAAATTCTAATGATCAAAGAGTTTAGGTACACAATGAAATTGTTGAGAATATTTTATCTAAGTGTGGTAAAATTGTTAGATATGACATCAATTTTTTATTAAACAAAAAGTAAATTTATCTGTTATAATAGAAAATTGGATTAATTTATAGGAAGAGCAGCTCACATTGAGTTCATTGACAATTTAGCATTCGTAAAAATGTTTGTTTATTTGCAGGATGAATATTTTCATTGAATAAATATAATACATAAATTGAAATCGTTTATCTAATGTATAACAAATCATATCATGTACCCAAAATAAAGATGAGATTATAATAAATAAAAAAGAATCAAGTAAACTCATAAACTCTATACATAATATAATGATCGGAAATGTAATTATTTATAATTTATAATAAGTAATTAGGATTTAATATTATAAATAGAATTTACAATTTTGGGATACTGGCCTTTATAAATTCTTGTAAATTATGCTTACATATTTTATAATTATAATAATTAAATAATAAATTAGATTGATGTTTTTGGATTTTTTCTTACTGTTTTCAATGTATAACCAAGGCAATATATATTTAGAAAAGCTTTATAAACTACAAAGTTCATTTGATTATTTAATTTGCTGTAATCGATATTGTTAAGGAAAAGGGATTGTAAATTATATTAAAATAGATCAAACTAATTTTAGCTTGTGAAAAATTGTAACTTTGAATTATTATCAATGCTCTTTTAAAATATTAAGACTCTTCAATTTTATAAAATATGTAAATTTTTAAGAGAAGCTCTAACTAAAAGAAAATTGAATAGAGAAATTCTTAATATAAAATAGAGGAAAAGAGAATTATGGAAATTTGTATAAAAATTAATTGATTAAAATAAATATTTTAAAAGTTTTGGTTTGCATTAACTGATAATGCATTTTAATTTATTATTTATTTTTTTACAATATAAAATGTCTATTAATATGGATGATCTAAAAAAAGTAAATGTCGATACACTTACAGCAAAAGAGAAACAGAAATGTTATGAAGCTTTTGTTGCATTTGATAAAAATGTGTCTGGTTATATTGAAAAAGATGAATTAAGAGCAGTTTTAGAAGGTAGACATTATTAAAAGGTTAGAAATGGGATAGAAGCCAACAGAAGAGGAATTAATAAAAATGATAAATGAAGTTGATGTATCTGGAAGAGGAGCAATAAGCAAAGAGGATTTCTTAAAAATAATAGCTTATCATAAAATGATATTATAGACGAGTGATGAGGAAGACATAAGTAAATGTGATTAGAATTATTAGAACTTGCATTTATAGCATTAGGAGGAAATGAAGATAAATCTGGATCTGTGGATAGATAAAAACTAATTAATGTTATATAAAATGAGTTTAATCTTTCAATAGATTTAAATGTAATAAATAGTAAATATGAAATAAGCGATTGATTAAAGAGTTATCTCCAAACCAAAATGAATTGAAATATGAAGATTTTCGTAATTTACTGTAAAACTGAATTATCTGATTATATAATATAAATACAATGAGTTCAAAGATATTGAATATTATGATATTCAAAAGTTCTAGAAATAATGATAATAACTAAAATAATGGTTGTAATAATAAGACCTTAATTATACATAAATTATGCTTAAATTAATTTGATATAAATAATAGTCAACTAAACATGTATTGTTCTTCTTCAATAATGAAATCTCCAATGTTAGGAGTAAACTATTTTAAGTAATCATAAGTAAATTTAGAAGGTTTCCATATTTTAATCATTCTATCTTGTCCACCACTAACAATAAGTGAGGTATCATTGATAATATTAAGAGAATTAATTTATTACACAGATGCACTAATATCACTAACAAGATAAAATTTATTTTCGCTGATTCTTGAAGCCTTAATTTATCCATCTTTACATCCTGTATACATGACTTTAAGATTTTTGTCAACTAAAAATATATAATAAATATATAATACTAGCCATAGTCAATATTGAATCTTTATGAATATCAGAATTAGCTTACCCTTATTATCCATTAACTTAATTCCACATTCTCAATCCTTTACCAAATGAACAACTAACGATCCAATTATCTAATAAACCAACTCCAGTAACTTTATCATAATGAGGAGGAGTCATTTAAGCAATCTAACCATATTTATTACTATTAATCATCATTTTTCTCACATTATGATTGAAAGTACCCCAAATCAATTCTTAAGTTTAATCAGACTATTGTAAACACATCACATCACTTGATTTTTCGAATTCATGAATTTAACTTAAAAAATATTACAATACTTATTATACTTATTTGATCTTGCATCCCAAACATTCATTGCATAATTAATTCCTTTACCTCCTGCTACTAATAAACCATTATGTCGAGTCATTACTCTTATTTCTTCAATTGATGATTTTAAAACACTCTGTAATTAAAATGAAGTCACATCATACAAAGATATTTAAGAACCATGAGATACTGCTATTGCATTTCTCTCTGGCCAATGACAAATTGATTTTACATGGGTATTTGCATCCAAAGATATTATATGACTTTATGCATCCATATCCCATATCTTTACAGATCTAAATGCACTTGAACATAACAGATTTTACATTGTATATACACATAATATTGGATTCTCATGACCAGGTATCGATTTTATTATACTATTTTTATTATTATTATTATTTATTACTCATATCTTAATTCTTATTCTTCTTATGCTTAACTAAATTAATCTGTATATCCCTCTCTCTCTGATTTACATCCTTTTGCTACTTTAAAAGCTGAATTTTATATATATGGCTTTTAAAAACTTAAATTTAATGATAACTCCTTTTATTTTGTTCTTTCTAACTTATATGCATCTCTTATTTATTGATAACTTTAACTCTGTGGAAGTTAAACTTAATCACTTAAACCTATACATTTATCTTTCTAAACTTTATTTATATGCTCTGTATAGAACTTCTTATAGTAATCCAAATCAGATATCATATTTTTATTTTCATTTTATAAAAACTAATACTTTCTTTTCTAATCGTTTAATTGTTTTCTAAGTTCCAAAGCATCACTAGGTTAAGAAGTTACTTGCTATTTTACAATCTTCTTCTTAAATGTTGGAGAATTACAATTAATCTCTTATAATGGTTTTTATAATTGTTATTGTAATTCTTATACTATCTGCTAAAATTCTTCATTTTATTAACTAAAATTCTGCATTTATAAATGATCTTTTATCCAATTATCAATCACATATTTAAATGATCTTATACACCAATTTGGTAGTTCTCTTAGTTCAGAATTTGTTAAAAAATTTGTATAAATTTCATTACAATTATTGCAACTCTTTCTTAATTACTCTATTTTATGTAATTAATAATCTATAGTCTCATTTATGTTTTCTCTTATTATTATTATATCACTCAATTCCAATTCTATTTAATTTAAACTATTTCTATTATTCTAGTCATATGATATTTGTTCCCTTTTAATTTATAATAAACAAATTTTCTGTTCAATTTAGTTAAGTTCTTCCTATAATTATTCTAACTTTATAATTTCTCTTTTTATTTATAATTCTGCCTATCCTCCACATATCATTTATGAAAATAAAGATTCTATCTATTTTTCCATCTAATCATAAGCTTAAACTTTCTAAGATTTTTTAAATGAATGTGCTGTCCCCTTATCTATTACTTTCTCATTTCTTTATTTTAATATTTCATCCTCTTTTCTCCTAAGAAGTACTTCTTTTTTACAATTTTCATTTTTCAATTTACTCAATGCAGCATCTTGTTAGATTTTAAGCTTTTTAATTAAAATCAATTCTTTTTATTTTTCCTCCTTATCTTTAATATACTTTTCATTATCTTATTTCATTTTCTTTATCAATTCTACTTTTTATTTTTTCATTTTTTCTATGTTAACTTTTAAATCTTTAACCTAATTTTCCTACTCTTCCAATCTCTTTTACATTTATCTCATATTTTATTCCTTCTATCTCATTTCAGCAATTTTAGATTCATACTCTTATAATTTAATTTTTAAATTATTCAATTAAGTAGCATCTTATTTTTAATTAACTTATTTCATAAGTGATGTTTTTTATGCTTCTAAAACAGAAATTTGTTATTAAAATTCTTTTTTCATATCTTCAGCTAATTGCCTTTTAAGTTCGAAATTTCTTATTGTCATAACCTAAAGGTTACTTTCAAATTCTTCAATTTATAAATTAGTCTCTTTAATCATAGAATCATTACAAATGACTTCCTCCTCACTTTCTGAATCTTAAGCTGGAGATTCAAAATTATCTTTAGTTTCTAATTTTTCAAGTTTCCTTTACAGAATCATTAATTCTTTCTATTTTTTACACAAGATGTATTGATCTCTGTGTGCATCCTATCCTAGTATTTAAAAAATAAAAACTACCTATAAAAGTTCATCTATTTCTTTTTACATAGTTAAAATTTTATAATCTTTTTCTTTTGATTCCTATCTTAATTTATCAACTTCATCATACAAATCTTCAATTTCATCATCTTCATCATAATTAGTAAATGGTATACTAAATTTTTGAAGTATTCTAACATAAAAATTTGATTTACTTTTTTGCATCTGAAAATTGTTTAAAAATAATATCCTTTTTCTTTTTCAAATTATGTAATTCTATTTCTAAATCATTTATTTATGATTATAATTTTTAAACCTCCTATTTATGTTAAGAACTTAGACGATCCCAAACAAGTAATGCTTATTTCTATTTTTAGATTATTTCTATATGTTCCTCACATGTATGAGGAATATTTGATGAATACTGAGAAACAGAAACTCTCTTTACTTAATCAAATTTAATTCCATTTACTGAAAGGAGATCTTAAAATTATTTATTTTATTCAAGCAAAGATGCTATTTCTTATTTCAAACCCATGATTTAAATAGTATGAGGATCCTAATAATTGTATACTTAAATATATATACTCTATTTTAAGTAGGTTTATTTTAAATTTCTCTAGCTCTTGAAGCATATTTAAGTGTATTCAAAGTTTCTTCATAATTACTTTCTGCAGGAGACACACAAGCTATCATGCATGTATTTGAATTACCTCCCAAAGAATCTTATAATATTCTATTATTATTATTATTCAATATATAAATACCTCGTTAATTTACTTTCTCTATATGGAATATGAGTTTGACTCTTCTTTTTCTAATCACTCAATGTCTTTATTACATTACCCAATACTAAAAGACTCTAATTTATATTGATTCCTTCTTCCATTGTTTTCCCTTATGCCAAAGTCTTCTTTAATCTTTCACTTCCTGCTAGATCTACAAAATGAAATTTAGCATTCAAAGTTCCATCTTCAGAATCATCCTTAGGATTTATTTTAAAATAGATTGTAAAAATTGCATGTGATCTAGAACTTGTCATATTCATTTATGTTGCTGCTGTTGTACGATGAGCAGCTCCTCTATTTAATACTTAAAGCATTTCATTTGGATTATTTACTAATATTGTAGTTAAATTTAATATCGTTATTGTACGGTCTTTTTCCTCTCTTATTGTAGGCTAACTAGATATTGATGTTTCTAACAAGAGATCAATTATTTATTCGTTATATAATTCCAAATATGAACAAGAAATCAAAATTTCTTATTCTATTTTTTCAATCTCTTCAAAAATTTATGTAATTACTCTTGGAATCATTCCCATGTTTATTTTATCTTCAATAATTATTTACTATACTTGTCTATTGATCTATTCCTGTTGTACCCATTGTATGTGTTTTCCCTGAACCTGTCTAACCATAAGCAAGAATTGTACTATTATAACCTTCAAAACATCTCTAAACCAAATTACTCACACACCTTTTATCATAATTATCATTTATTATACTTTCTATAAACTAAGTCTTGAGATGCATTTTAGTCAAAAACATAATCAAATGTAAATAAACGAGCACTTTGTAAAAGGGTTACTTATTTTTCAGATGTTTCCAAACATACACCTTCTTTCTATTTCAATTCCTTTTCATTGAAGGGTCTAACTCTAATTGCTACTTAAACATTAAGTTATGGAGGGATTTATTAATGTAATTCAACTTCCATTTTAAATTTAAATTATATAATTATACAATTTATTTAAGTTTGAATTTTATCATCTAACTTCGATCAAAATTTTTGTAATTCTACCTACTAATTTTTAATTCACTTTTTTTTATTTCTTAATAATTTTTACCTAATCCTCAATGTACATAACCTATATTATTTTTTAAAACATATTTTCCTAAATTTAAATCACAAAAATTAATTCATAATTCTTTATAAAATATTTATCATTGTCATTTATTTCATTACCATTTTATTTATCAATGCACTAAATGTTTTAACCATTTTTTTAAATAATATCTATCAATTTCCTATCAATAATTCGAAAATTAACTAACCAAATAAGGTAACGAAAATTAAATTATTGTATATAAATGAAATATATTATATTATTTCAGTCATGTTATAACAGATCAAAATCAAAATCCTATATAGATAACAAAATTATTTAATCTTCTTTAAATTATGTAAAGTTTATTTAAAAATAAAGATAATATAACTGTGGCTATCAATATGAAATAATTATGAAGGATAACTTGGAAATGAAAAATATATTACATTAAGAGATTTAGATGAATACGAATAGTAACGAAAACGCGTATAAGATTTAATTATCTCATAAATAAAAAATACAATCTTAAATAAAATTTGGAACTATTGTAAGAAATATTATTAAGAAGATTCATTCAATAATAAATTTTTACAAATAAATGGATAATTTTTTGAGAATTGTATTTTATTTCAAATTATTTATCCAATTTTTTTAGTTAAATTTATTCTGAAATGAGTTTATTATTTTTAAGTTACTTCAATATTACTATTATAATTATTTCTTGTAAAAGTAAAATTAAGATCTTTAATCAAAATTAAAACAATTTTTGGATTTCTAAAAAAGAAACCTTAATATAATTTACATTTATTTTGTTTGAAATAAAAGTATAAAATATTCTATGTAATTTAATTTATTGATTATAATGGCTATTAATTTTGAATAAATTTTATTTACACAAAAGATTAAATTAAAAATACATGTATAAAATTTTAGGTTATCAAAGAATAAATTAAACAATTTTGGTCAGTAAATATATATTAAAAAATCTAATTAAATAAATATATTCTAATTAAGTTAATCATTGAAAAAGTATGTATTAATAAAAATACCTATGATAGATTAATAAATGAATTTGTATGATAAATTAATTTTGAGAAAAAAGACAAATGAAATGTAAGAAATAAAAGAAAATGATGAGATAATATAAATTATGAATATAATATAAATAAAAAATATGATTTTATATACGAGAGAAATATTTTTAAAATTTAAATGGATATCGATAAATACTTAGAAACTCTGAAAAATGCTCGTTGTTTGCCTGAGAGAGATGTAAGGTTGGTTTGTGAGCATGCAAAAGAGATTTTTATAGAGGAATCAAATGTACATTAAGTGAAAGCTCCAGTAATAATTTGTGGAGACATTCATGGACAGTTTTTTGATTTATTAGAATTATTCAGTAAAGGTGGATAGATTCCAAATGCCAATTATATATTTATAGGAGATTTTGTAGATCGTGGGTATAATAGTTTTTGATAGTAGATACAATTCTGTAGAGACATTTGAATATTTGCTTTGTTTAAAACTTAAATATCCAGAAAATATAACATTATTGAGAGGAAATCATGAATCTAGATAAATTACTTAAGTTTATGGTTTTTATGATGAAATAGTAAGAAAGTATGGGAATGCAAATCCTTGGCGATACTTTACAGATGTTTTTGATTATCTTCCATTAGGAGCTTTAGTAGATGGAAAAGTATTATGTGTTCATGGAGGTCTTTCTCCAGAATTAAGGACAATTGATTAAATAAGAACAATAGGTAATATGAATAATAATAATTCTATAATAGACCGCAAAACAGAGATTCCTCATGAAGGTCCATTTTGTGATTTAATGTGGTCAGATCCAGAAGAAGTAGATACTTGGGCACTTAATACAAGAGGAGCAGGTTGGATTTTTGGTAAAAAAGTCACACATGATTTTAATCATATTAATGGTTTAGAATTAATTGCTCGTGCACATTAATTAGTTTAAGATGGTTATTAATATTGGTTTGAAGTATAAGAATTATAAATTATAAAAGGAATAACTAGTTACTGTATGGTCAGCACCAAATTATTGTTATAGATGTGGTAATTCAGCATCTATGCTTTCTCTTGATGATAATTTAAAAAGAGATTTTGTTATGTTTAAAGAAGTTCCAGAATCTGCTGCTAGTCAACCACCTAAAAATGTTTTACCATATTTCTTATGAAATATTTAATGAAATTTAAAATACAATATTCACTTTAACTTTTCTAAATCTTTTCTTATTTACTCATTTTAAGGATCTAATTTTAAAGCTTCTTATAAATCACATTTAGCATGATAAATCTAATTCTATTTTACATATGCATTTGATCTACGAACATAAAATCTTATTTAAAAGTCTTATAATTTATCTCTTTATTCCTTTGTAATCTTTTCGAAAGATAATATTCTTAAGTTATATTTTTATGTAATACTTATTTTGTTAAATTTATATTATTTTTATTCCTCTTGTACATGAACCAATTATCTCATCAAATTAATTTAAAAAATAACAACAAATACATCTATTTAATAATACAGCTAAGAAATCCATCAAATCTTCTTATGGATTTAATTTCTTGAGACATTCATTATACAATTCTAATGAATCTGAATACTTTTGTTATTTTAATCTCTCTGTTGCAATCTCTTTTAATTTAAGAACCTCTTATTTAATTAATTTATCTTAAATCTTATTCATAATACTTCTGGCTTCTGCATTTGTTTCATCAATAATTAATGCTTATTTAACTGTATTTAAAGCATCTTATTCTTAATTTAATTCAAATAAACAATTAGATTTTTTCATTAGATTTTTAAGTAAAAATTCATTACCAGCATATGAACTTTATATTCCAATATTAGGATTTAAATTAACATACTATAAAAAAGGTTTAACTTTTTGAATAGCTTTCTCAATACTTTCCAAGGCTTTATTAGTTTAATTTAATTTCATATAAGCTAAACCCATATTACTTAGACTCAATTCATTTTCTTCATCATTCTAGAGAGATTTTAAATACATTTCTATAGCTTTTTAATATTGAGAGGTTGTCATATATGCATCACCTTGATTTTTGTATTTATTAGAGTCAATTCTTTTTTAAATTATAACTTTGGCTTATTCTGGAATATTTCCATTCAAAGCTTCATCTAAATCACCTTTCCATGCTTAACATACTTTTAGTCTATTTAAACATTTATCATATAATTAATCTTTTTTATCCAAATTAATAATTGTTTAACAATCATCAATACATTCTTAGAAATTGAATAAAGCTAAATAACAAGCAGCTCTATTGGCAATACAAGTAAACATTTAATTATCATATTTGAAAGCAGCTGAATAAGCATTAATGGCAGAATAATAATCTTTATTTTTAAAAAATTCATCAGCTTTATCTTTTAAGAAGAGAGGATTTTCTCTTTATTCAGTAATTGGAATATTTTTTTATCTAGGAACAGGAGCATCTTTGAAATGTTATTCTCTAGCAGCTAAATGAGGATATATTTTTTCTGTAAAAGTCATTTATACTGCAGCTGCTTTTCTTGGTTCTGGTATTGGACCTTTAGCTTACTTCTCTTATTTTTTAATATCCTCATTTGTAAAAATATCATTATTATTTGAAATTGATTGTAATTATTTATTTGATGATTTTTATTTCTATTCTTATTATTATTCAAATTCTTCATATTATTTAATTTTTTCTTCTATTTACACTACATCGTTTGAATTTTGAGATGGTGATTATTTCTATGTAAATTTAGAATCCTATCCAATTTAATTGTATAGATCAGAAATTGCCTCAGTTTTTTATTATTCCTACTTTTATATAATTAGATTTCTTTCACGATCATCAACTTTAATCTATTCTTTTGTTGCATGTTAATCAAATTGATGTTTGAGTTCTTCTTTTTATTTTTTTTAAGCTTGAATTTCTTAATCTTTTCTAAAAAATGCCTTAGATAATATGTTTAAGTTACATCCTTTCTTCTTTAAATTAATTCTTCTTTAGAAAATGATGGACTCAATTAAGGCCATTTCCCAGGTTCCACTTTTATTAAAGTAACTTCAAGCACATCTGCTCCATATTTAATATTGCCTTCAAGTACAGGAAATAATAAATCAATAGTTTTGGCAAATTTCTTATCAAGTACATTTACTTTAACAACTACATCTGCAACTTATATGTCAAGATTATCGCTTTTAGTATTTTTTATTTCAAAGCGTAATTTTATTTGATTATCATCCTAAAACCATTCATAGTTCATTATATAAATATTTAATTTTATTATAACACTAATTATTAATTTTACAACTTTACTAATAACATATACAATAAATTCTTTTAACTTTATCATATTATTTCTGTAGTGTTAAGAAACAATCTAGAGCAGACAGCAAAACTTATTTAGTTCTTTACATTAAATATCAAAATTTAATAACTTATAAGGAGGCAATATATTATTAAGAAATAGTATAAGCAAAAAATTTGATGATAATTACAATTAAGATCAAAATCTGCATATCATTTATAATTCAACAAAAAAATTAATAAAGTTGCTATCTACAGAATTAATTTAGTAATGGTTACCTCATAATAAATGTAATATTATCAATCAATTCTTAAATTCATTCGAAATAAGAAGAGATATTTTTTATGATTTTCCTTTTTATTTATGTAGTTGTTTATTATCTTTCTTTCTTTAGTACTTCTTCAATTTATTCAATAATTTCTTTTTTTTTCTAAGCATTTATTTACAAAGGTTTAAATTTATATGAATTTACTTTCTTTCTACCTTTTCTACAGGTAATACTAAATTTATTAATTCTTATTTCATTTCTATTATAATAATTAATTTAAATTTATATTTTTATACATTTATTATATTTATTCTACCTCTGGAAATTCAAACAAATCATTTTTCAATCATTAATTTTCAACTTAGCTTTTCTTAAATACTTATTCATCCTCTAAAAGCGCCTAATCATATGTTCTTTTACCTATTATATAAAAATTTTTCTGCTATTTGCTAAATTCGTTTTCTTTCTTTTCAAAAAATATTCATAATCTACTTTTTTGCCCAAATAAATTCCTGTGTTCTTTTAACTTTCTTATTTTATTATTATTATTGTTATTCATTTTATTTTAGATTCTAATCAAATTTCTAAAGTCTTTGCTGATCAAATTTTTATTTATGAAAAGATTATTTTCCTAGGAGTTTATGTAGAAAATCGATATAAAGATGATTAAGTATGGATAACTGATCAAATAATATTCCTCAACCTTATTATTTTTAAATATAAAATATTATTAAATAAATGCAATAATCCAACAATCAAAACTTAAATAGTTATTATTAATTTAAGCAACTAAATTTACAGCAACAAATAAGCATATCAAATCAAATTAATCCTTAAGTTGAAAAATGTATACAATAAATGAAATGCAAAGAAAAATTCTAAATGAAAACATTACCTTAAATGATTGAATCCGCCTAATACTTACTTCATTAAAAACCATAAATAAATTTGTTACTATAAAATGCAACACTTTCATTATCAAGAAAGATAATATTCTCACTTTTAAGCCTTATGTATTTTGAATTAACTACTCAGTAACATATTTAGAACTAAAAATTTCCTCCTTATTACAATTTTTCTACATATTTTTAATAAGGTAGTCAAATCGAGAAATTTAAATGTCTAATCAATTATTTTAATTAATGTGTTGAATAGACAGAATATTTCAACTTACCAGATGTCAATTTTTAAAGAGTATAAATAATTGATATTCCAAAATGGAGTGATAGCACAAATTAATTGTCAAATTTTAAATTTGAAAAAAAAAGAAATGAAGATCATATAAATTGTGGGATAGTTGATTTTAGCGATCGTTTTTTTGGAGGAAAAGTAGCAGCAGGAAGAGGATGTGCTTAAGAAGAAGTTTTATTATTAATTAATCCTGAAGCTATTATAGCAACTTTATTCACTTCATAATTAGGAGACAAAGAAAGTATCATAATTTCTGGAATACTACAATTCAATGAATATAAAGGTTATGAGGATAGTTTCATTTGTATTCCTACAAAATTTGTAAATAAAGGATAAGTCTTAATTGCTATAGATGCTATATATTTTTCTACAAAACCATAAGGATATTAGTATACTTAAGAAGCAATTTACAGAGAATTAAATAAGTCTTTTTCTGGATTTAAGGGTAGTTAATAATAAATAATTTCAACTGGAAAATGGGGATGTGGTATATATGGAGGAGATAAATAATTAAAAACTTTAATTTAATGGTTAGCATTTAGTTAAGCTTGTCCTAATGGTACCATTATATTCAATGGATTAGATGATTAAGCATTTAATGATTTAGGAAAACGATTAGAGTTATGCAAAAAGCGATATTAAACTGTAGGGAATTTATTAAAAGCTATTTTAAATTTAAGTTAAAAAAATATTTTAGATAAACTTTGCTGATAATTTATTTTGCTTATTATACTTAATTAATAAATTGAATCTTAATATAGGTTTATAATTCAGGAAGTTATGCTTCTTGATTCTGTATTAGATTTATGTCTATATTATTAAATTTTAAATGTAAACTAAAAATCACTTAAATATTAAGAAGTTTACATATATTTTAATGTTTACCCAATTGTTTTATATATAAATTTGAGTTATTTAGAAGAAAATGAGATGGGGCTTTATATAAATCAAATCTCCCAAAAATTTTTATTAGGTATTACAATTACCAACATGTAAAAATGATATTAGATTGTTTTATACCTAAAATTAATCAACCCTTATTGAATAATAAGTGTTATAGATTTTTTATTATTTTGAATATATTTGATTTAACTTGAGAACTCTTTTTGTTCATCTATAATATTGTTTTGATAAATATTAAAAAAATTTTTAATTAAGATTTTAAAAAATGGGTGTAAGAGTTACATATCGTAGAAGAACCAGCTATAACACAAGATCAAATAAGATTAGAAAAGTTAAGACACCAGGTATAATAGTAAATCTACAATAGGTGGTAATGTTGTTGTCTAATATCCAAATAAAAAAACAAGTGCATCAACTTGTGCTGATTCTAATTTGAATGTTGTTCTAAATGGACTTAAACGAATTAGACCAACAAAACTTAAATAACTTGCAAGAAGATAAAGAACAGTATCAAGACCATATGGTGGAGTAATCAGTGCTGGAGCCTTAAAAAATCGCATCATTAGAGCATTTTTAGTAGAGGAAGTGAAAATAGTAAAACAAATCAAAAAGTGATTTTTAACATACATTAATATTTAATTTACGAGATAGTATTGCTGTAATTATGAATTAAAATAAAATACATAAGTTCAATAATATAATCATTCTACTCAATTTATTATTGGAAAGTCCTCTAAAATATCATAATCATGTTAGGAAAATTGATAAATGAAAAAGTAGTTGGAGTATGGCTGACCTTAATAAAATGTGCTAAGCCATCTATTAAGGCAATTTTTTAAATTGAAAGAAAATAAATTTATGAAAACTTATTAATTTGTTAAAAAAGAAAGAGATGACTCTGATCATAGCAGCATTTATTAATATAAAGACTAGATTGATAAATATTATATTTAGCATTCAATAAATAAAACAATTTCTTTTAATATTTAACTATTATGTTAAGATTTCGGATTAAGCTCAATAAGCTTTCCTTTAATATTTTCGATAACTTAATTCTAATCAAAATCCTATACTGCACTTGAAAACTTAAAATTAGTAAATAATTTAGTTAAGAAAAGCTAACTTAATAATAAATAAATTATATTATTTCTGTATATAACCACTATAAAGACGATATCTATAAGAATATTATTATGCCAAAATGTTACAAATGAAATTATTTAATTTGGAAAAATAGAAAAACGACAGATACAAATAATAGAATTAAATATGTCACTTATTAATTATTTATATTTATTAATGATTATGATAGCAAAATAATAAGGATTAACAGAAGATTTATAAAATATAAATTTTGATAAATTAAAATCTTTCAATCAGTATTTCCAGAAGCATATAAACATATCATAAACCAATTAATTTTGAAATTTATCTTCTAATTAAAACCATTTATTTATTTAAAAATAATAGCCTTAATTCAAATAGTATTATATCTTTTATGTAAAATGAATTAGGCATATTTCTCATAATATAAAAAATATTAATGTTCTAGAATAAAACAATTGAATTTAACTTAAATTTAAAAAAAAATTATTCTTTTTGAAATCAATCACAAATTTAAAGAATTTTTTGTGATTAGCATATCTTTAGTCTGAATGAATATTGTAATATTAATTTGTCAAAGATTAAAATTAACCGGCAAACGGTTAATTAATATATGTATTAGATTATTAGAAATCTCTTAATATTAGTGATGAAAATAATTCTAGATTTTTTAAAATATAGCAATAAAATAATAGTGAATAAATTTCTTTAAAATTAACCTTTCTGTACTTTTCAGATATTTAAGATATATAACATTCTAAATTATTATCTAAAGGGTTGTTGCTCTTGAAACATGCAGATTAGAATATTTAGCAATTTATTGATAATGTATCATTTATTCTTTTAAATATTTCTTTAAAAGTTGAGTTTAGGATTACTTGAAGGTTTAAGTTGTTAATTTACAATTGATTAAAAGGGATAATTCTTCTATACAATCTTATTCTTTAATCTCTCAACAAATTGCAAATCTTATAGTCTTTCTCTAATAATCTATTTGATTATCTTTTTGTTATTATCTAGTTTAGTAGGATATTAATAATTAACTTAAATATTTTTCTTTAAACCTTTTTTTAAGTTGATCAAATTCAGTATTTTGGATTAACATAATTACTTCTTTCTTGTTTTGGGGAAATTTTTTTATTATATAAATTTTTACATTTAAGAATACTTCTCAACGAGAAATATAATAATGTATATTATTACATTTCAAAATATTTTTAGAATTAAACATATAATTGCAATTAATTTTGAAAAATAGGATTAATTATCTCTTGATGTTTCTAAATGATAAAAAAAAGGAAATTTTTTAATTGATATCTTAATAGAAAAAGTAAGAAATTAAAATTTTTATTTGTTAAAGTAGTAATGATAATTGAAAATCTAAATTAATTAAATTAATAATTAAAAAATTATGCAAGAAGAAAAATTGAATGGGATTTAAGTGTCGTCATAAACTGCGGATAAATTGAAAAAGCAAGCTATAGAATACAAGAAACTTTAAGAAACATTTTCAAAGAGATTTTCATAAGATTCCAATACTTAATTTTACATTTTAAGTTAAAAGTAATTTAAATGGAAATTTTAAGATGGCTGAATTCATGGAAGAAGTATGTTTCCTATGATGAGATTTTGGCAAATAAAACACCAACTAAATACTTTGGAAGAATTATGCTTGAAAAAATTAACGATGATTTAGAGGATTAAGTACAGAAATGTTTTAAGTATTATCCAGTCAGCACACATCCTTGGAATACATTTATCAAATAAGATTTATAAGAAAATATTGATTATATCATAGTAGATAAAGATATTTGGGATTTCTTTATGAAAGAAAATTCAGGAACAGCAATATTAAGAACTTCAAACGGAAATGGAAAAGACAAACAAGTGACTGTAAATTTACTTAGAGTATATAAAATTATGATTTTAGTTTAAAAGTGTATTACTTTATCCTTCGATAATCAAATCAATATCTCTTGATTCAATGTACAAATCAACATTTGAAAAAGAAGTAATGCAAGTTGATAGAAACATGAAATTAAAAGATTATTATGCATTAATATCAAGAACAGTTCACACTTTTACAGGAAATTTTGCAAAAGATAACAATGTTAGAATTTGGAGATATGTAACAGAATAAAAAGATCCATTTAAAACTTTATTTAATGAAATTTAGAAATAAGTAAGTGAATTAGAAACCTCAGATCATATGTGTTTTGATTTTACAGGAGAGTTACTAACACATTAATAATATGAAAATATTGAAGATATTGGTGTTAGTGAAAATAATATAATTATATTTGAAGTAATTATACTATTTATTCAATCAGTTTAAAGATGAGTATAAACCATGGTGTATTAGAAATAAAGCAGTTTAAATAGAAGGGAAATGTGAAAATTGTTAATTTTTTAAAGTTTTATCATTCCCTTGTATTTGTAAGAAAGTATCTTATTGTACAGAAGAATGCAAATAAAAAGATTTCAATTTTCATAATGCAAGATGTGAAAAGATTGGTTCAGATGATGAAAGTGTTAAATAACTTACTTTGACATCTAAATCAGTAAAAGGAATTGTAGGTTTAAGTAATTTAGGAAATACATGTTTTATGAATAGTGGAACTTAATGCATTGCTAATTCATTTCCTTTAGTTGAATATTTTTTGAAGAATTAATATTTTGAAGAGATTAATATGAATAATCCTTTAGGAACAAAAGGAGAATTAGTAAAAAAAGTAGGATCACTTATTAAAAAAATGTGGTGTGGAGATAGATAAACAATAACTCCAACAAATTATAAAAAGGCTGTAGGATAATTTTAACCAATGTTCAAAGGGTATCATCAACATGATTCATCTGAATTAATTACATTTGTATTAGATGGAATTCATGAAGATTTAAATAGAGTTAAAAATAAACCATACGTTGAAACTAAAGATTATGATGGTCGCTCTGATTTTGTTGTTGCTAAAGAAAGCTGGTAAAATCATTTGGCTAGAAATTAATCTATTATTGTTGATTTAATGCATGGATAATACAAATCAACTTTAAAATGTCCTAATTGTTAATAATTCTCTATTACTTTTGATCCTTATTTAATGGTTTAAGTGGGTATTCCAAGTTAAAAGAAAAGAACTATTTCATTTAAATTTTATAAAGATTTATTTTAAAACACTTAAATGACAATACCATTTGATAAAAATTAAAATATTTCTTTAAAAGAATATTATAAAGTTATTGCTGAAGAACTTAATGAAAATCCACAATATTTATTTGCTTATATTGCTAATATGTATACATCCTTTGAGTTTTTGGATGAAAATAAATCTATTGTAGAAATAAGAAAAAGTTCAAAAAGATCTTAACTTTGTTTTAGAAAATTATCTTAAGAAGAATTTTAAATGAATAAAAAATTCTAAATTTAATTTTCTAACAAATATTTAGAATAATAATACAAAAAATCATATTATTAAACAGGTGTCTTTGTTGTAGATGGATCAATGACATTAAAATAAGTCCATTTATAAATATTTAGTAATTTTAGATAGTTTTTATGTGATCAGAATAAATTAGATTACGAAAAATAAATCTTAAATTAAGTATTTAATAATTTAATATTTTAGTATTATAATTTATATTATAAATCAAATTAAAATTACTGGACTCCATGTGCTTTTTGTAATTCTAAAATATGTAATGATTGTGAAGTAAAGTTTGATGAAGAAACAGTTGAATAAGTCAAGAATAGAGCATTAAAAATTGATAATTAATGCAATTTTGAAATTATTGTTGTTTGGAAACAAAGTCCATTTAAATAGGTTAAATTACCAGATATATTCGATCATTACTTCAAATAAAACAATATAGAAAGTAAAATTCAATTATTATATTTAAGTTGAGGATAATTCAAAAAAAACTAATATGTCAAGTCCAATGAATTATAATATCCAAAAAGAAAGTGTTTCTTTTTATGATTGTTTGCAATATTCTCAAATGCCTGAATAACTTAATGCAGAAAATACTTGGTTTTGTAAAGTATGCAAAGAACATGTTTAAGCATTTAAAAGTATGCAAATCTATAAAGTATTATATTTTTAATTAATTTTAAGGCTCCTTAACTATTAATTTTTACATTGAAGAGATTTAAGGCTTCTAATAGATTATTTAAATAAAAACTTGAAACTTTGGTTGACTTTCCTATTAATGATCTTGATTTAACAGAATTCATTATTAATTCAAAGACTCCTTCTGAATATAAAAATGAAAATGAAAATAATAATGGAGAAAATAATAAACAAAAATTAATCTATGACTTATATGCTGTTTCTAATCATTATGGAGGATTAGGAGGTGGACATTACACAGCATTAGCAAAAAATAAGGTAAAAATTATTAGAAAATAAATTAGTTTACCAATAAATGGTATAATTTTGATGATTCAATGGTTAGTGAAATAAATGAATCATCTATTGTTTCAAAATCAGCTTATGTGTTATGTTATTAATTGAGAACAGGTGTTGATTTAACAGAAAAAAAAAAGTAAATCATTCAAGAATGAGGAGTAGAATTAACAAGTATAATAAATAAATTTTTCACAATTAAATCTAAAAATTAAATTCTATTTTGTTTTTTTTCTTTCTCTCAAACTATTTAAAAGAAAATTTTACAGATTAAGATCATAATATTAAATCTTTAATTATTTATTCAGTATTAAAATAATAAATAATTTAAAATCAATTTTATTTTAAGTCATAATTTTTCAAATAAATAAAATTTAACTTAGTACAAATCAGCCTCTAATGATGTGGTCAAGGTTTTAAATGGACCAATCAACCTAAGTATTTTATTCATTACAAGGTGTCCTAATTTTAAATATTTTTCTTTATTATTTTATTCAATAGTTAATGGATCAATTGTATTTTAAATAATTACAGTAACTATTTATTTATCAACATCTTTATGATAATTAGTCTAAATTTCTATTTTTAGTAAATCTTTTCCAAATATGATAGCATTTTCAATAGAATTGTAAAATAATTGTTTTAGCAATATATCATTACAAAAGACTATTGGATTTTAGTTATTCCTGTTAAAAGAGACTTTAATAGATTTTTAAGTAAGTGTGTAACTAAAATGAAATAAAATTGAGTCAATTAATTGAATTAAATTTTAAGATTTTTTTACTGAATAATTATAGTTATGAGAATTAAACAATATTTTAGAATTTGCAAAATAAATGTTAAATTAAAATATTTCTTAGTCCAATCTTTAAATTATATGAAGAGAGTTGTTGTTTTTTTAATATTAGTACAAAGATTAAAAGCATTTTTATTAATTTCCAGTTTTAGTGAAAATTTCCTATGCACATCTTTTAAGTAGCAAATTTAAAATATTTAATTTTTAATTGGTCTTCTCGATATAATCATCAAAATTCCTTTAAAGATATATAAAACACTATGGTTATTTTTCATTCAATAAAATTAATTAGCATAAATATTCTTTAGATTTATGCTTTACTCTACATCTATAAGCTGAAAATGTGTTTTTTAAGTCGTTTTCTTCATCAATTTATTTTCTAAAGAATTTTCTAACCAAAGCTTCTAATGATTAATTGATAGAGGATTAATTGATAGATTATTATTTTATGAATGAAGAAAATGTTTTAGTTTATATTACATTAACATCTCTGGCAAATTTTAGAAAAGTGTTTTGATCTGTAACTTTGAGAAGACTTTAAGCACATTTGTTTGCTTCAGTAAAAACTAATTTTAAATCAGATTCATTATTATAACATGTTAGAATTGGTATCTCAATTAAATTTATTAAGTTTTCTTTAATCCTTTAAGCATTTTAATGCAAAGTATATTTTTACCTCTTCTCGTATTCTTAATAATAAATGAATTAGAATGAGAAAATAAGTGAAAAAAGTGCAAATCCAATCCAAACGAAACTTAAAATTTCAATCATCGAGCTTAGCAATATTTAAAGAGAGATTGAGTAAAGGCTTACAAATAATTTTAAGTAAAATTTTGTTCCTATAGAGAGACTATTCAATTAAAATGTTATATATACCATATAGATAATTAAAAAGCTGCTGATGTTATTACCATTACAGTTCCTCTTTGTAATGTACTATCTAATTATGTGATTAGGACTGCAAGTAAAGTTTATATCTCCATTTGGTATACAAAAGCTACAACATTCAAAAATTATATCGATTTTTTTGAGAGGAAAATTGCTAAAATAGTTTAGATGAACATATAAATTCCTAATACTATATACATATAGTCTTATGTTATAAGAAAGTATATAGAACCAGAAAATGATCCAATCATCATACTGTAGAGTAGTCTTTTAAATAAATTCAGCTCTATTTAGTGACTATAAAGACCATAATTTTTCTCTTCTTGAGGATCCAGAAAATTTAATGTAATATCCATTTGTATTAAATATTGATTTTCAATTTTTTAATTGATATGCAGAAATAAAAAGGGGCAAAGAGAAACAAACAAATTTCAGTAGTTTTATTAGTATTTAATTCAAGGTATTCTGAATTACAATATTAAAAATCGAAATATTAATTAATTGATTTTATGTAAAAATATAAATCAATAAAAACTTGGGAGAGATTAAACAAAATAAAAGCACCAGTCCCTAAATATGAGTACGATAACTTTGAAGAAATTGATGAAAAGTTTAAATAATTTGAAGAATAACAAGCTGAACCAGATTTCAATAATGCACCAACAGCATTTGGATCTATTCTTATTTAGACAGCAGTTTAAGGATTATAGATGACAAATTTATTTCAGACTTAAGGATAACCCTTAAATAGACTAAGTTAAAGGTTTTTATTAACTTATAATAATTAGCATCTTGAAGGCATTTGATATTAATCCCACTCAATTGAATTAGATGAAGACATCTTAAGAAAGACAGTAATTTATACTTAATAAGCAAGTGAATACATTAAGCTTTAAATGAATACTACCATTGATACATTGTTAAAAACCTGGTCTGATAAGATTATTCTCAAAGAACAAAAGTATAAAGAGACTGATTTATAAATGAAAAAGGAGAAGATTCATAATTAAACAAAAAAGCATTTTAAATGGTTATAATTGAAAACTAAATATGAACAATTAAAAAACAAATTAAGATAAATCGTTGTAGACAAATTAAATGATTATGAGAATTAGCAATTAGCTGCTAAATCTTCAAATAAACATTTGATGTTAAAAAATGTATAAGTAATTACTACTAGAAATATATTTGAAAATATGGAAAAGTATGGCCATTCTAATGAATTTCATTTCTTAAAATCTTTAGGATAAGATAGAATAAAATAGATTAAAGAAAGATAAAATAGATAAATGACTTAATAAATTGATAATATAGAAGATGAAGAATAAAAATAAACATATCAAGTTGTTTGGAATAATTAATCAGAAAAAATATTTACAAAATAAAGAAGTTAGACTAAATAATTATTTACGTAATTTAATTGTGTAATTTTTTTAGAAATGAAATAGCTTGTTCTAATTGGAACGATTTAGGATTTTTACCTATTTTATAGTAGATGACCTTGAATGAGAAAAAAAAATAATAGAGAGAACACATTCTCAATAAATATACTGATGGAGAATTTTTAACAGCTCAAGAATTATAATTTTTAGCTAATACAAGTGAATTACTTAATGCTTGTTTGGATAAAGAATTTTTTTAAAAGGCAGCTAATTAAGTGAATCCAGATTTATTGTTCAATATGGAATTATCTTTAGCAGAATAGATATTAAAAGATTATGGAGAGATGAAATCTGCAACTATAAATGCTAGATTACAATATATTAGAATCAAAATTCAGAATACGAAATAAAAATTAGCCAAAAGATAAAAAATCTTATAAAAATAATCAATAGATGACTATAATATGGAATTAAATAGAAAATATATTAAAGTATGTAAAACAGTTGTAAAACATATGGAAAGGACAGGAAAATTTGAAGAGAAAATTCCAAGTGAAATTCCTGGGGCTACTTAATTAAAAGAATATTTAATGGGAAGAATATCAGATAAATAATTTATAACCAAATTATATGATTATGTATTTGAAAAAGAAAGAAAAAGATAATATATTGATCTAAATGATGAAGATAATTTATTATTAAATTATCCATCAAAATAATAAATATCAAGCTCAAAATAAATTCAACCTCAAAGTCCAAGGTTTAAGAATGAAAAAAATAAAAGATTAGAATATTTAAAATAAATGTCTAGACCTAAGAGTACAATAGGTGTTTAATTCACTTAAAATATAAAAAGACATATTTTTCATCCTTCAACAAAATTGCTTATTGACAAAAAACTTGAGTGTGAAGATAGTGAATTAGCTTATATAAATCCAATATCTGCTTAATACAATAAATAAGAATAAGAAAAATTTAAATTAGGTTTAAAGAGTCATCCTGCTTTAAGGTAAAGAAAGAATTTTAAAAAATTTCTTTCAGGAGGACCTCCTAATTAACCTGAATTAGAACATTGGAAAAGCCCTAATTATAAACCAACTTAGAGAGAAATAAAAGCAGCTATTATGATATAAAGAAAACTGAGGTCATTATTTAGAGAAAAAAAATTAAGACAAAAATTAGAAGAAAGAAGAAAACAAATTTATTATTTATTCAAAGATAATTGTGAAAATATGATTCATTAAATTGAATTAGGATAAGATTAATCAGTTTCTAATTTTTATTTAAATAAATAACTTGAAAGATGTAAAAATATAGCAAAAGATTAAATAAATTTTGGTTGTATAAAAACTGAAGAAAACACTCGTAAAAATACAGAAAAAAAAAGTTTCCTTTTAAGCACAGGAGCTTCTACGCCTACTGCAAAAGGATCCTAAAATTTAAGAATTCCTATTTAATCAAATAAGATTAAAGTAGATTATTTATTTGAAGCAGTTTAAAAAAATAGAATTATGATGATAAAATAATCACATTTTGTTTATTCTGCAAATGATATTAACTCATAAAATTATGATGGAATAACTCCTCTTCATGTTGCTGTTGTGAAAGGAAATTGGGATTTTGCAGAATGGTATATTATTTTTTGAATTTAGGTTATTGTAGAATGGGGCAGATCCTTATATTATGGATTAATAAAATATTACTCCAATTGATATGGCTAGACATTTAAAGCAAACAAAAGTAATATAATTAATATATTTATTAGATTATTAGACTTTTTGAATAATACAAAAAAATATGAGATCGTTTTAATTAATATATGACAAAATCATATTTTAAGTGGTTTTTATTCAAAGTTTTTGATAATTTCTTCTATTTTTCTTTTTTTTCTTTGCTTTCGACTAATAATTATTAATTTATTTTCTTGCATAATTTTTCTAGTATTTCTATACTTTATATCATAAAAGATTCATTATTTTCTTCAATTTAATTGAAGGATTTTATTTTGCTGAAGTCTTGATGATATTTTTCAATTTTTATCAAATTTTGACTAAATATGATAATAAAATAGATAAAATTATTTTAGATTAATATGATTGAATTAAATAGTATTTGTGAATATAAATTGAATAATGAAAATATTTTCTCCTCATACAATGAGGATGTTTATCCCTCGATTTAGTCGTACTTTCTTGCAGAAAGAGGTTTTAAAAGATCCATTAGCTACTGCTTCTAAATCTGTTAATGCTCCTAAAGTTTACAGAACTAAAACAGGATAAATATCTATGGGATTGTATGAAGTATTTATAATGTTCACAAGCTTAGAAAATGCTTTAAGAAGCTAAAGAAAAATCTTTAGCTATTCCTTCTCCAGATGCCGATATTCCTTACAATTTTGAGGGAATAGACTAAATTCCAGAAACTAAGGATTCTTTTCTTTTTTAACAAATTCTTAATGAGAATGAAATAAGGGAAAAGACCCTTATATCCCATCTTATTAAGATGTATTAAGCATTTTTGATGTCTTTGGAAGTGGCTGATGAAACATATTTAAATGAATATTGTGAGAAAGGATTTGCTGAAAAAACTTTAGAAGCTTTAGAAAAACTTAAAATGAGAGGTGAAAGAGTTGTTGCATTTGAAGATTTTTCAGTAACATCAGGACAACCATTTCCTTATTAAGGATTCTTTATAGATTAAGTATTAGTCAGAGGTTTATCTACAAATAGATCTGATAATCTTCCTAAATCTTAATATCATTATTATAATGATTTAGATAAATTAGGATGTGTTGTATTTACTCCATTAAATTTACAAGATCCTAATAATTTTAAGACAAAAGAATAAGGTGATAAATTATATGAAGATTATAAAAAAGTTTTAGTTCGTTGCTTGTTAAGAATCTAATCTCCTATGAGATTAAAACTTATCAAACCAAATGGATAGGAACTTATAGAATCAAATGATAATTATTCATATAATCATCTTGTTTTATTTGAATCAGAATGTGAAATACCTCCTAAAAAGAAATAAAGAAAGGATGCTTATAGAAGAGTCTCTAAATTTTAATTAGAAACATACATGGAATGGATGAGAAATTTTGTTCCTTAAGTTTGGAGAATAGCTGATGTTGATAACTGGATGAAATGTAATCCTTTGATAAAAGAATCTCACAGAGAATTTTAAGATGAAGTTTTCTAGGGATCAAAATATGATGAAAATGTAATCGACATAAGAAGAATTTGATCAGTTTACAACAAAAATATCATATAATGAATCATCTACTTCTCTCAAATAGTCCCTTTCCTTTTCCTTTTTTTATTCTTTTTCTTTAATGTGGTTTAGCAGTTATGTTATCCTTTTTAGAAATTAAATTTAAAGATTTACTTTAGTTTTTGATTTTGTAATGGCTACATAAAATCGTTTCATTCTCTCTTTTTCATATAAGGTTTCAGTTAGTTTATTTATTTTTTAAGCTAATTCAGCATTTGGAGCAGATTATTAGGCTTCAACTTGTAATTTTTCTTCAATTTAATCAAAGCTCTTTTTTCTTGCTTCTTTCAAAAAGAATTTGTGTGAAGGTTACTCAAATTATACCATAGCTAATTCTTCCTTTAATTTATCTGTTAACTATTAGTTGAATAATATAAAAGTATTACTTTAGTTTTTTATTAAATAGATGCTTTAAGTAAATTTTAATTTTGAGTTTTAATTTATTTAAGGATTTCTTATTCATCTCCACTACTTTCATCTTGATCTTCATATACAACACCATCCTTAACTTTACTTTTGAGCATTCTAAAGTTAAATTCATCTTTATTTTTTAAAGCAGCCTTTAATTGTAATTTTTGTAATTATTCTTTCTTTCTTTAATAATTTATAGCTCTCTTTTTATAATCACCATGTTTTTCTAAAAGACCAAGAAATTACCTAGAAGTCTATAAAATTGATATTTAAAATTACAGGTTATGCTCTTTCACGATATTTCCTTTAAGGCTTTGCATTTGTAAAGTTAGACATTAATTAATTTTATAATGGAAATTAAGTGTGAATATAATTTATAGCAATTATTCAATAAAGGACATTTAGCTGTAGGGCTTAAAGTAATACTATATTTTGCAGACAATATAAATGATCATGCATTAGATATCATAAAATAGTGTTGTTTAAATATGATCCAAGCATAACACCAATAAATTGTTTTTGACATATTTTATATACTTTATGGGCTTTTTATAAAGGAGAATTACACAGGCCCATAATATCATTATTAGAATGCTGATAAAAAGTTACATATTGAAAATTTATTAACTAAATAAGTCATTCCAAAATGTTAAATAAATGAAATTAGTAAAGAATAATTACAAGACCTTGGTTTGATTGAATTAGTACCTCTCATTAATTAGATTAGTAGAGTTTCAGAATATGAAATCTATTATTCATAAGCTAATCAAGAATGTAAATTTAAAGTCTATATTTATAGATATTCTAAACAAATTATAATGTTGTGGTGAACTTTTTAAAAGAGTGATTTAACTTAAACATTTATTTGTAGTTTGCAAATAAATTCTTGAATTATTACATAAAACTAATCCAATTTATCAATTGTGGTGGGCTAGAATTAATTTTATGCATAATTAATTCTTAGATAATCCTGTATAAATATTAAAAGATGAAATTTTAAATTCATTCAAAGAATTTCTTGATAATTATCCAATAAGTTGTATTGATTAAGCAAAATTATATACAGAATTATCCTATATTTATAATTATTATTATAAATATTAGGAAGCAGAAGCTTGCTTAGTAAAAGCATAGGTATTAAATTAATAAAATATTAGTAATTGCTTAAAATTAGATTTGAATTAACTGGTAAATTAGGAAAGAAAACTAAATTTCAAGAAGAGAAACTTCCTTAATTAGTTGCATAAATAATAGATGAAGAAAGTGTTTAAAAAGAAAGTATTTAATAATATCTATATTAAAATTAGTTAAAGAATTACCATAAGTATAAGAGATTCTTTAATAATATGCTCCTTAATAAGTAAATTTAGAAGAGGAATCAATTTTATTTGATAAACCTATGATTGATGGAGAACTCAAATAAGATGAATTAAAATTGGAAGAATAGATTGTTATGTTAGGATTGATTCATCATTATAAGAAAACACTACCAAATGATGAAATACTTTAATAATAAGTTTAAGCATATTTAAATTTAATGCTTGATAAATCTAATAGTTGGATTGTATATTCATAAGGTTTAATGTTGAGATCTTTAAATGAATTTAATTATTTAAAAAGAATGGAGAGAGCATTAATTTAAATGTAAACTTTAGTTGATTAATTTATTGATATATAACCAGATTCTGATTTAAGAGCATTGAATTTATTTTATTCAAATTATCCTGATTATTATAATTTAAGTGGAATGTTAGGAGAATAATGGATGAAAGTTGGAATGATGTCAAGCGGTTATGAAATATTTGCTCGTTTAGAAATGTGGGAAGAATGTGTAGAATGTATTATTGGTACTGGTGATACATAAAGAGCCTTAAAAGAAATAGAATAAATTACAGCAAAAGGTTTAGGAACTATTAAAATGAAATGTATTACAGGAGAAATTAAATAAGATCCTAAAATCTTAAAATAAGCTTGGAAAGATTCTAAAAAAAGATTTGCTAGAGCTCAAAGATCTTTGGGAGATTATTATTTCTTTAAGGAAAAAAATTATGAAAAATCAATTAAATCTTATAGAAAGGCTGTAAAAATTAATTCATATCATTAAAAATCATGGTATATTATGGGATGTGCTTATATGAGATTGAATAAATTAGAAGAAGCAATTAAATCTTTAGGAGAAGCTGTTAGAATTAATGAAAATGATGGTGAAATTTGGGGTAATATATCTTCTTGTTTGGTTGCTTTGAAAAAATTTAATGAAGCTTAATCTGCTTTAGAATAAGGAGTTAAATATGCTAGTACAGATTGGAGACTTTGGAGTAATTTAATGGCTGTTTCTTTAAGAAATAAAAAATTTGTTCGATTTTATTCATGTATCGAAAAGCTTGTGTAATTAGATCATCGAGAATTGATAGATGAATAAATTATACAAAAAATAACATAAACATTTGCCTATTAAACTGATTAATTAAATTAAGAAAATATTATTTAATCAAACATTAATAAAAATAGAATTCTTAAATTATATGAATATTTAGCTAAAGAAATAGGATAAAAATATTATATATGGGAAGGTTTAGCAAAATATACTGAATTGCTTATATTTTATGATAAAAAATTGGCATAATTATAAAATTAATAAGTTTTAGACTTTCAACCTTATTATAATGATATAGTTCAATATAGATTAAAAAGTTGTTAAATGCTTTAAATTCTAAATTGGGAAAAAGATATGTAAATTTATTTTTTTTATTTCAAGGTAAATTTGTCAAAATCTAGTCAAACAATTAACATCCTTAAATTAAGATATATAATTGATAAAAGATGAGGACACTATTAAAAATGTTACTCTATATATTTCCTAATAAAAGAATAGATTAGAAACAATTTTAGATAAAAAAATAAACTTTTGAATAAAAATATTTAGGATATACAATCATTTATTTAAAATATAAATTTTCATTAATCATTCTAATTTTAAAACATAACAACTTTATTAATATAGTTTAAGTATTTACAGTTATCTTCTTTTGAAAAAAATATGTTAATTTCCTATACTAATAAACATAATTATATTACTAATTAATTAAAATTACTTAAAAGCTATTTCATTTTATCACTAAATTACTAATAGAATTTTAGTATTTCTTTTTCTCCCATTCTTAGAATCAAGCAGTTTCTTTAATTTGTAGTCAATTCGCAAATTTTAAGGATTTCTTGGTCTTACTATATAATTTAAAAAATAGAGTCACTTCAAACGTAGTCGGATATTGTTTGAGAGCCTTTTTGCAAATTCTACCAATCATTTTCCACATATCTAATTCATTATAAATTCCTATAGGTTAAGTTTTAGTTGGCTTAAAATTTAAGAAGCCTTTTTAATTTAATAGTAATTAAAGTTGATTTTCATCATTAATAACTAAAAATCTGATATAACTCATAAATTCAATAACAGTATTTTCTAAACGATAATATTTCATTATTATTACCTTCAGTATCCATGACCAACCGAAAAGTTTTAGGCCATTATAATGAATCTTAAATAGTTTGTTCTTTTAATTTAAATAGTGGATGATGTTGATCAGATTCAACAGTAACATTGACTTCATTTGCATCATTGTCTTCAACAACAAATCCATAATTTAATAAAAATCTTGAATTGCATTTTCTACCGTAACTATCAAATATCATTTATCCCTTTTCTATTTTTTCATCTGTTTCAATGATAAATCCTTATTTTTCATCAGAATAACACCAAGAGGTCAATTTAGGTCTCTTATGATTAAGCATATCTGCTAAAGGTACAAATGCATCAGTTTTAACACTTTTAATATTTATTCCAAAAATTCTACTACTTGCTGTCATTCTTGCCCAACAAAATTCATTGAATAAATATTATGAAAATTCTGGAGCAATACTACAGATGTCAGTATAATCCTTTTTAAGATCAGAAAGTTTATCTTTGATTTATTCTAATTAGTTTGATAGATTAATTACTTTAAAATGGAGAACCTTTCAGCCACTCTAAATCACTATTATTAAAAAATATAGGAAATGAGGGATAAGATTATGGTAAGATATCTATATATGGTTTCCAAAATGAATTAGGTTTTAATTTCTCTTATAATAAAAATGTAGAAAGAAAAGAATGTTTTGGTGAAAGTAAATCTAATCTGAATTATATCATTTTTTTAGCTACAGAGGTTTCTTTTGCCATTTCTAAAGTTATCATATGAGATTTAGGGATGAATAGAATCATCTCTTTTGCACTTATAGTTTATTTAGCATTAACACCGCGATAATTCTCTGAATAACATTCAATTTTAATTTTTGGAAAGATTGCCTTTCCTTGTTTCAACCATTCTAATAGTCTCATTTATCGTTCTAATTCTTCTTAATCTAATAAAGTCTTGATGTGATATCAGTTTTACTTTGAGAGATTATTATTAATACTGATTTAGTAATATTTCACTTTCAGGTGTATGATTATTTATACTCTACAAACATTCAATAGCTTCCTATGAATAACTTTCGAAGTATACTTAAACATAACCCATTTCATATAACACTTATGCCTTGTTAGTCATTGCTTTAACAAAACCTGGATTTAGTTGCAATGCTTTATTACAATCAAATAAAGCCAATTCTAGTTCCTCTGTCTAAAAATATGCTTGTGAACGATTGTTATAATAAATTGGGTTCTCTTCAAGCTCTATATTATCATTTTTATAATTAGTTTACAAAGAGCTTTCGTATAAAATATTATTGCTTTATTATATTATCTATTCAGAAATGCAGTATTTCCTTCTTCCTTTACTAATTATTATCTTTATTTACCTTCAATTGATTTGAACTTAGCTCTGATCTTCTACTTTTAGGTGGCATAAAAAATATTAAAATTAAAATTTTGTATAATATTAAATTCTTTATGTTATTAACCAATTTTATTTCTTATGAATTCTAATCCTGCTTTCTAGAGTTTATTACGAACGAAAATTATCATTCATCTATTGTTAAAAGATACATTATGTTTAAATATATTTAATGTATAAAACTTGATGTAACATTTTTTGTTACTAAGTCACATCATTGTATCATATAAGTTTAAAAGATAAATTATTGGTCTAGAAATAATCATAAAAGATCATTGATGATTGTTCATAATTTAAGAGAAATCATTATAAAAATCATTATAAAATTTGTTAACTAAAAAATAATTAACTAATTATTTTATAATTCACTAATTATTAATGGCATCAAATAAAAAAGAACAAATAAAAGTTGATGGAATCCATAATAGCAGATATGGACGATTTAGAGATAATAGGAATTAAAATGAAAAGGATAAAGTAAACTTAAAAATAATTTTAGCATTAAGTACCTTTTTTAGTAAGAACACATTGGAAATATGGATAAATTACATTAGAAGACTTTAATAAAAATTAAACTTAAGAAATATTGCTTTATTTATTGTAATAATTATCGCTATTAGAAAATGATTAGTTTAAGTTCGAAATTAAGAGATATTGTGGATCAATTAAAATATTAATTGGATGGGGTTTATAGAAGAGATATATCATTTAAAGTTAGTAATGTCTATTTGGATTAACATGGTGTATAAAAGAAAAAAGATCTAGGGATAGTCCATTCTGTAAAGTCAGGAAAAGATGATGATACTGATCTTAAAGAACATGGATTTAAGATTGGAGATATTTTAATGGTTGAAATAGAAACGAAAAGTTAAAATAAATAGCCTATTTCTTAAATAGCTAAAGAATGATTAATTTTATATAATAAATTAATTTAACAGAGTACAACTATGGAAGTCAACTAAAATAGAAAATTTTTCAAAATTGGAAATCAAAAACCAAAATAGTAAAGGTCTTAAGAAATTGTAGCAAGAACTATTTCTTAAGAAGAGGATATGAATGATTTAGGTAACCAACTTTAAAAAAAAATGCACTTAAATGAAGATGAGTCTTATTTTACTCAAGAAATTCTATATACTGATCCTTGTGAACCTGAAACAAACTTTGATGAAAAATTCTTGATTCATTAGGAAGTCACTTTTAACCCTCAATAGTATTTAAACAATGAACAATCGATTATGGGATGATATATTTAATTAAAATGAATGATTTTATTTAACGAATAGAGAGAGAAATCATTAAATTTAATGACATCTAATCTGTTCTAATGAGGTTGGTATAGTCTAAATTCATGATCTAAATAAAGTCTCTCTTTGAATCAATCTTTTAAAATGAACGTTCACATATTATGAATGTGCTTAACAAATAACAAAAAGACAAAATAGTTGATTCTTATGTACTAAATTTAAATATACTCAAATAAAATTTGAAAGTCATTACAAATGTGGTTATTGATGATATATATTCAGATTTTAAAACATAAGTTACTGAACTAAAACATTCTTCTGTAGGAGTGAGTAACAATAATAATACTCAATTATATAGTAGACTTGAGTAATCAGATGAAAAGGATTAAAAACAGATAAGTTTGAGATGCTAAACTGATACTAATTTAAATAAATAATTCTAGCATCTGCCATTAAGTAAATTAACACTAAAATGTTTGTTAAAAAAGTGATTTATTTCATAATAATATATAAAATGAATGAAACTTTTGAATAATGCCTGTCAATGCAATCAGGTAAAAACAAGCGTTAACGAAGTCCGTTATAAGTCAAATTTGTAACTTAACGTAGTTTCTAAGCAACTAAATAAGCTAGCTCTGAGAATGAATAGCAACGATTACTCTTGGATTATTCAAGATAAGGATTAGCAAATTTTAACGTAAAGTTTGGTTTATGATAAAAGGATTCAATGATTTGGAATGGTCTTTTATATCTAATGTTGAATGAAAATAAACTAAAAGAGTTTGATATGAATATTTTGAAAAAAATCCCATAACTATAAAATTTGTCATTAGAAGATAATTAACTTTAGAATTTTGGGCCAATTGAATATAATGATGTTCCAAAATTATCAATTCTTAATTTAGCAAAGAATTTGTTAAAATAAATTGATCCTTCTTTATGTAAATTACATCTAAAGAAATTGTTTATATAATAAAATTAGTTTACTATTATAACTAAATAAATATTAGAGTTAAATAGTACTTTAGAAGTATTAGGATTAGGTTGGGGAATATTTTGTTAATCATAATTTGATTTTCTTTTGGAAGATTAGAAATTAAAAGTATTTTTCACATTGGTAGAAGCAATTTCTGATGAGTTAACATTTGAATCATACATAATGAACTATAAATCAATCAGTAATGCGATTACTGTTACTTAAGGAGATATTCTGAATGATAGCATAAGTACAAAAAACCTTACCTCTCAATAGATTCTCAAAACGAGCAACTCCTGACCCAAATTAAGGAGTAGCTGAATTACCATTCACTTGAGATTGAGACTTAATTGAATTACATTAATGATTATAAATAAGTATCTTTATGGAGAATATATTTAGAATCTTATGCATTTGGCAGTAGTATATGATGAGATTGGAATTTTAGAATATCTATTAAATCATCATTTAGATTTAGCAAATCAAATTGATCTTAAAGGACATACTCCATTAAGTTTAGCTATAGAAAAAAAGTATTATAGATTGGTTCAATTGATTTTAAAATATAAAATAAATGTAAATTTAGGTGGAGGATTATAATCTTCTAATTTACATATTGCAGCATAACACTGTTAAGTCGAATTATTATAAGATTTGATTAATTTAGGAGCTAATCCTGCTTAGTATGATATTTTTAAAGATACTCCATTACATATAGCTAGTGCTTTTGGTGATCATAAAAGAGTCAAATAATTTTATTAAGTTTTATTGTAATAACCATTTGATGTAAATCACTAAAATTTAAAAGGATAAACTTGTTTAGAGATTCTTATTGAAAAAAATAATTTTATTACTTTATAATTTTGTAGTGAATGGAATACTGCATAAGTAAGATAATTTAATGATTAAAACCTTTTTAATTTTTGTAGTATCAATCCACACACAAAATTATCATTATTAGATAAATCAGTATTAACTAAAAGTTTAATGATTCAATAGTTTCTTATTGATTTTCAACTTGTTCCTATTACTTATTAAACTTTAATGTTATGTTTTTTACCTAAAATTCGTAATGTTTTCTTATATAAATTATTAAAGAAATAATAATTGATATATATTAGAAATATAATAATCTTTTAGGAAAATAATTTCGAAGAAGACACTGATAGAATTGCTAATGTTTCTCCACCAATAAAAGCAGTTGAGAAATTAAATTTAAGTGATGAAAATAGTTCTTTTGATGATGATTAATTGAGTAATACCAGTGATAATGCACCTTGCTAAGTATCAGAAAATTTAAAGTAATTAAATAGTTGGACACCTAAATTTCAAAATATAAGAAATGGTAATGTTAATTTTAAAAAATCATTTTATGATATAATTTCAAATTTAACAGAATGTATACCAGATGATGAAATATCTTTAATACATTTAAATAAAGATATTATTAATAATGGAACAAAATTAGTTACCAAAAAGAATATGGATGAAATTTATACTTCAAGATTAGAACATAAACTATCTAAAGGGAATAAATAAAATTTGAAGTAGCATAATTATTCTCCAAACAATATTCGAATGATAGAGAATAGAAATTCTATATTTAAGTATGATAACTATCACTAAAAAAGATAGTTAGCAATTTTATAAAAATAAATGCGTTAAATCATCGTCAGTCTTCAGAATCATTTGAGAGAGTCCAATCAATAAAATGAAGAAGTTATAGGTTAATATTGTAGAACTCAATTTCTCATTTTAGACTAATTTTTAAGTTCTAAGATTGGAAAAGAATTAATTACAATTGATAAACCTCTATAAATGGAAATAAGAACATTAAGAACTTTAATAGAGTAGGATAGATTCAAAATAAAAACTGCCAATCAAGTACTTGATTTGTTTGATTTATTGAAATGATTATTAATAATAAAATGAAAAGGTAAATCAACTCAGCTCTTAAATCTCGTTAAACTCCATAATCAATCACTAGATTAAAGAGTGCAGTGCAATTTAAATTTTAAACTGAAACTCCTTAATGTAGAACATCTATTGCAAATATGGACAGAATATAAACTGGTACTACTATGCATACATAATATAAAACTAATTTTTCAACAAGAGAAGATGAAGTAATTAAGACCTAAGTTTCAGAAGGTAATTTAAGTAAAGTTACTAATCTCAGGATTAGAATTGATCCTAAAAGTGAAACGGATGTTAAAATGCAAAATTATTTTTACAATAATTAGCCTTTTAAAGTTCAAAGTAACATGAATATGTATATATCAATTATTAATTTATAGCATAACTAAAAGCTCATAAAAATTGGTTGTTACTTCAGATAATTTATAAACTTTGGAAGTTAAAAGAAAAATGAAATATGATCCTCTTATTAGATAGTAAGTTTTTCTGTTCAAAATAAAAGCAATTAAGAATCCTTTACTTTAAAAGTTCCTTCGATTTTTAGTCAGCAAGGAAAAATAATTTATTGATATGATTAAATTCAAATAAAACTAATAAACCATTGATATAATTCAAGATTTAATTGAAATGGCTATTGGAACTTAAATAAGCTTAGTTGTGGTAGAGGTTTTATTATTCTGTTCATAAGCTTTAGAACATTCAGGTTTAATTGAATTATCTATTCACTTATATAATTAAACTAGATTGTTATGTAATCATTCTAAATAACAATATGACATTTAAAAAATGAAAGCTTTTATTGGTTTATCAAATTGTGCTGTTACATATGAATCTTATGAAATTGCAATTAAATTTTTAAAGAAATGTATATAATATGCTTGGCTTAATAATAATTTAGAAATTGAGAATTAAGTTTATTAAAAAATGGGTATTTGTTATTTTTATATGGGAAATATAGAAAAAGTATAATGATTATAAATTATTTAGGCATCTTTTTATCATGAAAGAAGTATTACTTACGATTTTGAAGTTGAAGATTCTCCTTTAAGAAAGTTAAGTTGTGATACTCTTAAAATATATTTAAATAAGCATTACTCAAGAAATTATGCTGAATTTGTGAATAATGCCTTACTAAGTAAAATGAATTTTTAAATACCTATTGATATTAAATAATGTTAAGAAAACTTAATGAATTTAACTGACCTTACTTAATCACCAAGAGTCCATTTAAGTACTGAAGGATCAAGAAAAATGTCAATTTCTGGAGAAAATTGTGAATTATCTTGTCTCAAAATAAATGGAATGAGATTACTCAAAGATATATTATCATAATAAGAATTTGATTTTTAAGTATATACTCCAAAACATTCATGTATTATTTTAATTTTATAATAGTTAGGACTGAAAGCAAATGTTTTGAACATTTAAACAATAAAAAAATCCATCCAAAAGATATTTATCATGATGCAAAATATAAAACTAATCCTTTCGTTATTGATGATCTTGGAATTATTAAAAGTAAAAAATCTAGTCAAGCTGAGAATATGAGTAAATATAAACTACCACTTGATTAACAAATAGAAATTAGATTATAATAAAAATTTGAATTAAATTTATAAGAAAAAATTCAACATTTTGTTGGAAGTAGTCATTAAAAAATGGAACAAAAGAATAAAATTTTAGTAAATAATATTTTTACTATTGTTTAGTTAACTCATAAAAACTAAGAAAATAGTAAAAAAAACAAATAAATGGATGAAATAAAGAAATTTAATGCAGTCGCTTAACTATACTAAAATTTGATTAGTAAATTAATTGGATGATTAATATATTATTATAATCTCATAGTTTTTTAAAAATGTTGAGATAATTCTTATTTCAATTCAAATCTATGATAGTTGGAACTGAAAACCATCATTAATAGATATAGTTTCCCTTCTTTTTTTAGCATATTCATAAGCTTAATCAAAAGTCCATTGTTTAAATCTCATCAAAAACATTAGTACAATAGTAGCTGATCTGCTTTTACCTTATGCACAATGAACTAAAACCTTTTAAAAATAATAAATTTTATTGATACCTTATTTTATTTTTGATTTAATGCTTCATTAATAAAAATGTAAGCTTCATCAAAATGATCAGAAATTGGTTCTTCTTCTAGATCTAAAACAGGAACTTGAAAGTATTTAATTATTTCCTTATTATCTTATTAGGTATCACTGAAATAATTTGGTATTTCTTTAGCACAATTAACAACATGAGTGATTCCTAAAAGATTCAAAGCTTTTAGATTCATAGCATGATTACTATTTCCTAAATATAGTTAATTTTCGATTATTTCATTAGGAAAATTGAAATCAAAGCTCTAATAACAAAAAGGAACTCGAGAAACTAAATTTTCCTATGATTCACATATAATATATATTTCTCTCACTAATTCCTTACACAATAGATGAGTAAAATTTTTCAAATTTTCCACAATATTATCATTAATGATATGCTTTTCTAAGTCTTTGTATTCGAGTAGAATATCAAAGAAATGATCAGGTTATAAATTCAAAGATAAACCATCTGATTATGCTATCAATTAAGTTAGATGAGCTGTGACGTAATTGGATTGTTTGAATGGAAGAATAAAATTATAGGCTCTTCTCTTTTTTTCTAACAATTTATTTTGTTCTAGTCTTATATAGAATTAAGTCATTTACGTAATTTCGAGAGCATGTTCTAATTTACTAGCACTTTTTAGTTTATTTTAATCAACTTTTACTGCTTTGCATTATTTGTTACTATAAATATGTTTTTGGTTTACTTGTTTGGTAAAGAAAAATCATATAAAAGATAATTATTTTATTATTGGACATTATAGAAATATGAAATGGAGCACAATGTTATTTCAATCTTCTTATGCATTTCAATTAAATTAATTTATGGCATTTTCAATACTTGATACCTATTTTTTATATAATCTGTTAATAACTAACATTTTTAATTTCTTATAACTTAATTGACATACTTTATTAATAATTTTTGGAATTAAGAATGAAATCTCTCTATTTAGTTTTTCTAACTCAAATAAATGATTAACAGTAAGTATTATTATTTCAAAATACTCCATAACAAACTTTTTCTCTTCCAAAAACAGAAATTACAAAAGAGGATTTCTTAAGTGCATCAATAGCTGGACCAAAGATAATATTGGATTAATTGAAAAATATTGAGTTATAGAAATTTACTTTTTGTAAGTAATAATATTTGGATATGGTTGATTTTGATAGTTACAAATACAAAGAATAACATGTGTGGATTCATAGTTCTTAAAAAGAGAAAGTATAAATCATATAAAATTTAATAGGAATTACTAAGACATAAAAGAAATGTTTAAGCTTCACTTTGGACTTAATTTTTTAATAATTGTCCATTATGGAATGATGATGATGAATAGAATTTTTATTACATAATATAATTACAAAAAAAGGACCTTGAACATATATAATCCTAATAGGGTTTAATTATAAAGTATGGATAATAGTTATAAAAATAATAGATAAATAAATGTGTAAGAATTAGAGTAAAACTTTTAAAAGGATTCATTAGAGTAGAGATAAAAGTTTAAAGACTTATAAAATGCATTGATAAAAAATGAACATTTAAGGATTGATGGTAGAATTATTCTTCACTTTAATTTCAAGACTTTATAGCATTCAATTTATAATAGTTCAGGTTTTCAATTAGATACAGTTTCTGTATATAATGGAATATTTCGTAGAAGATTTGATAATTGGAATCAATATAATGTTGCTCAAGGACATTATCCAAGTGATGATATTATTAAGAGAGCTGATGCAATTATTATGCCTGGCAATAGAATATCAGTTTATGATCATTATTAGTGGATTGAAGATGTTAAATAGATTTTAAGAAAGGGATATGAAACTAATCCAAAATTAAAGATATTAGGAATTTGTTTTGGCTTTTAAATTCTTACTGTTGCTTTAGGAGGCAAAGTTGAAAGAATGAAAGATTAGTTTGTTTTTGGAAATACATTTCTCGAACATCAAATTAATGTGATGAAATAATTCAAGTTATTTTAAGGAATCTAATTAAAAGAAAGGACTGTCATAAACTAAGCTCATGGAGATGAAATCACATAACATCCAGATTTCTTATATTTATTATCATCTAGTGATTCTTGCAAAGTAACTTTTAAATAAATTTATTGATAGAATGAAATTATGATTTCCAAAGATGAAAGAATTTTAGTATTTTAAGGACATCCAGAATATTCAAGTGCTGGAATGAATATGATATCACTTACATCTAGATTACCATCTGAATATTCTACCTTAGATTAAGTAATCAAAGATGTTAAAAGATTGTATCCTTAAGAATAAGATCCTTTTCATTTAAATTTATGTTTAAAGTTTCTTAAAATTGAAAAATGACTAAAAATTATTGAATATTTTCCTTTGGTTATAAAATAAAAAAATTAGATTATAAAAGTTTTATAAAATGAAATAATTAAAAGTTGTATGTTTAAGTGACACTCATTCAAAATTTGTAGATGTATAACATGGCGATGTACTTATACATTGTGGTGACTTCACGAATTGGGGACATGACTATGAAATCAAAGATTTTATATCATGGTTAAAAGCATAACCTCATAAACATAAAATAGTAGTACCAGGAAATCATGATATCACTTTAGATATTGAAAAATACCCTTAATTGAAGAATAAATTTCATAGATATAGCAATTATAATCCTGAAAAATTGCTTTAAGATTTAAAAGAATGTTGCCATTTACTTATAAACTCATCAGTTACAATAGAAGGTTTCAAATTTTGGGGTAGTCCATATACATTAGAATATTGTGATTGGGCATTTCAAATTACTGGAAGTAGTTAATAATTTTGGGAATAAATTGAAGAAGGATCTGATGTTATTATAACTCATGGACCACCATATTATTATGGAGACAAAACATATAATGGACTAAGGGTGGGAGATAAATATTTAGTTGAAAAAGTTTAGAAAATCAGACCTAAGATTCATGTTTTCGGAGGAATTCACGAGGGATTTGGAGTTTATGAAGAAGATGGAGGATATTTAGTAGATAATTCTATTACATTTGTAAACTGTTCAATTATGGATAACTAATTTAAAATCTAGAATAAACCATACGTATATTATCTTTAAAAAGATGAATGAAATATGTTTAATAATATTTAAAATTGAATTCATATAAAAATAAATCACTTAACAAATTCCCTTCATTTTGTATTTACTACAAGGAAAGATAAATTTAATAATTTTATTCATATATTAATTGAATTAAGCTTATATAATCTTAATTGTTTCATTTATTTTTCAGACTTAGATTGGTGATATATCATATGAATAAAAGTAGCTATCAATTATTAAAATATTTTAATTTGAATTATATTGATATTTATCATAAGAGAAGACTCTTAATTTTATATATTTTACTTAATATAATTTTAAACTAGATTAAATAATATATGATTAAACTTTATATTATTTAATAAGATAGAATTGTACTTCCATTAAATTAAATATCATTTTATTATATTCAATTAACAAATTTTGTGAAGTCTAACTTATTTTTTTTTAAATAATGGAATTTCGAATTGATCAAAGATAATAATTTAATGAGTTAAGTTATTAATTAATATGAATAGTTTTAGTAATATTGATAATATATAAAATTATATATAAATGATATAATGTATTAAAATTAGTCGTTAGAATAAAAAGAGAATACAAATTAATTTAAAAATTGGATATTAATGATAAGAGTATATTAATTTTTAAGTTTTTAAAATAATTAGACTGAACAACATTTAATATTAATTTTTGAATTTAAAGAAGAATTAACAATGTCAAACCATCCCTAATCCTAATAACCATAATAATAAGCTTAAGCTCCTTAACCATAAGCAAGAACAGTAGCTCCAACATATCCAAATGCAATGTTACCACCAACTTATTATCCAGCATCTCCAGTTAGACAATCATATGTAGCTCCAATTTAATATGCACCAGTGGCTCAAATGCCTGTTGCTCCAATAGCATCTGTTCCTATTTAACAATATGCTGTTGCTCCAGTTGCACCTGTTGCTTAAGTAAATTTTGAATTTATTCTTAGCACTAAACAATCAAAGGGGAATCAAGAATAGAATATGTACCTTATTAGAAAGCTGTTGTTGAATATGAAGAATAAGAAATAGTTTCTTATGTTCCTAGAGAAACTAAAGTTACAGATTATTATGCTGTTGAATATTAAACTGAATATGTCCCCTAAGTTTTCTAAGAAAAATATACCGGTAATTTTTATAAATATTTTTTAGAGTATGTACCTGTTGATAGATATTAAGAAAGAGTAGAATATTATCCAGTAGAAAGATAAGTTGTACATCAATAACCTACTTAATATGTTTAATAAGCAGTCTCTGTAGTTTAATAACCATATGTTCAACAATCAGTTCAATATGTTTAACAACCAGTTTAATATGTTTAACAACCAGTTTAATATGTCTAATAACCTCTGATTGCATCTAGAATGGTTCCACAATTTGCTTAACCACTTCAACAGTATCCTCCTGTTCCTCCTCCTAGACCTTAATAACCATTATAATAATAATAGCCATAATCCCATCAACCATCCCATTAACCATCCTAATAACCATAATAAGTCCCATCTCAATAGCCAAGATCATAACATAGCTAACAATAACAGTCATAATAACCATGATATATATATATACATCATTATTATTAAATATTAATAAAATAAATTATTATTTCTAAATTATTTATTCTTAATTAGACAATATAGTATATATTCATTCTCATTTTTTTAAACAATAAGCAAATAATTTTAATGGCTTAGAATCCTTACTAGGTTTTAAATGCTGAGATAAACGATCCCATTAGAATTAAGTCTTCTGATATCCAAGTTACATTTCCACTGCCACAAAAATCGTCAATGCTATCGTTGATTTCTTCATACTTAAAAATCGATCATTACTTAAACTAAGTTCTGCCAAATACCTTTTTACTTTCATTCAATAACTTACATAGATCTTTAATTTATTAAATCCATAAATCTTTTATTACACCCTAGTAGTTCTCCTATTAATTGCAACCAAATTAATGTATTATTACTTGTAACATTAAAGTTTAATTTATAAAGTATTAGTTTCTCCATTTCAATAACTTCTCTAACTCTAAGTTTTGTACCTCTAAGTAATGCATCCAAAGGAGGTGGGTATATTTCTTCATATTTAGTTGCTATAAATAAACAAGTTATAGCAATGAGCTCCATTTTTTCGGCCTCTGGATTTAGATGTTAAATTGCTTAATCTATCAAATCGACTGTTTGAAATAATGTTTCTGATTTCATATTGTATAACTTGGCCTACTTAATTGCAAACCTAATCTTTCCTAAAAAATATAAATACTATTGTATTTCGCATTGTTTCATTGATTTTCCTTTCATTAATCGATAGTTGAAATCCATAGCTCTCTTATTCACGTTAATTAAGAAACTCATATATTTCTTATTGATATTCCAATACCTTTTAAGGACAACCTTTATTAGACTAGCCGTCCGGTGTTCGAACAGCATCATTAATTATATTTTCTTTCCCTCCCATTTAATCATTTTAGCCATTTCTTTTGGTTTTAGCATCCTTTAATGCCTTCTCAACTTAATTATCAAGATGTCTCCCAAAAACTCTCCCATCATTATTTTCATACATGTATTTAAATATTATATCAATTTTATAAATTTTTTTATTTTTGACTTTTAAAAAACAGTTAATCTTAATTTAAATGCTATAATCATCAAGTTTTTATTATTTTAAATATATTTCTTTACTTTTAGAAATCTGTCTACCCGTCATAATTTCTCTTAATTTTGATTGTCTCTCACTTTTTATATAAAATTAAATAATGAGTAAAATGGATGCATCCTCTTTAACTGATTAGGAAATTAATGATATTTATACATGGGTTGATACCTTTAATCTTTCAAGACCTAAAAAAAATATAGGAAGAGATTTTGCAGATGGTGTATTAATGGCTGAAATTGTACATCATTTTTTTCCTAAATTGGTTGAATTGCATAATTATTCTTAAGCTAATTCAACATAAACTAAATAATATAATTGGAACACTCTAAATACCAAAGTATTTATATAATATTATTACCATAAAGGTTCTAAAAAAATTAGGTTTCTAATTATCATAAAAGGATATTGATTCAGTAATCCAGGTTGAAGAAAAAGCAATCGAACGTGTCTTAAGATTAGTCTAAGAAAAAATAAAATTCTATTTGGAAAATGAACCTTAAGTAATGGAAACGTAAAAATCTGCATCTACTCATAAACCAAGTAATCTTTAATAATCTATGCCAAATGAATAAGACTTAATAATTTAAGAATAAAGAGAAACTATTGGGATACTTGAACTTAAAATAACAAAACTAGAATAATTAGTGAAGTTAAAGGATAGCAAAATACAAACTTTTGTGCAGAAGTTGTCATAACTTGGATATAAATTTTGATTTAAAATATATAATCCAAATAAATATCTTATTAATCTAAGTTGTATCTAATAATATTAAAAAAATAATGATTTATAGTAAATAATATTTTTTTTAAAGAGCCTTAGCTAAGTAATTTTAATGAATCCTTTGCTTAAACTCTTTTATAGGTATGAATATTATATTTAGATCAGACAGGTAACTAACATCTCATTGACATAAATGTCTCTGAAGGTGTCCTAAGAGTGTCATCACAATTAATTTTTTTATTTTTATTAATTAAATTTATCAATATATTTAGTGCCTCAAAAATACAAAATTTGATTACAAATTCATAAAGTACAAAATATGAGGGTAGTTTTAGTTTAATAAATTCATAAAAAATCATCAAAATGTTCCATATGCCAACCTTGCCATCCTTTTAATTCTCCTGATGGTTCTTTTTTATTTTCTCTCTTCTATAATATTCTTGATGAAGATGTATTATTTTTAATTTCTTATCTACTTATTGAATATTGTGTATTTGATCTAGCTATACGATCTGGATCAGTTTTCTTTTTAATTACTATTCTTTTTTAAACATGAACTGTTAATGGTTTAGATAATTATGTTGGTATCAATTAATCTGGAGATAATTTATGAAATATTTTAGGATGTCCATAATTTAGATTTTCAAAAGGATCAACTTTCTTTTTTATTTTTTTTATATTAAACCAATTTGATTCTAATGATGGTGATCTGCTTTTAGATTCAATATTTTTTTTGTTTTTAGAACTATTCAAATGAATTGTTGGACTAACATTTGTTATTTATCTAGCTAAATTTCTTGGAGATCGATAATTAAATTTTGGAATTTAATCCAAATTTATTGCACTACTATATTTAATACTAACCTTAAGTTGAGCTTGCTTTTTGGGTGATTGTATGAGATATTTATAATTATAATTCATTTAATAATAATTAATGTCTGATCACGATACACATATTCACTAAAACATTACAATTTAATAAAAGAATGAAAGAATAAAGTAGTCAATTACAACCTCTATGAAATTGTCATTGATGAATATTTACTCAGTTTGTAGCAAATTTTGTATCAAAGATTACAAAAAAAAGGATCTTTCTGATAGAGAAAAAATTTGTCTATCAAGATGTTTTGAGAGAAAAAATGAGACACTTTAAACAACAATGGAGTTTTTAGGAAAGTTAGAATAAACATCTGATTGATTTTGCAAGTTATTTATGCATTAATAAATACCCTTATTAATTTTTAATTAATCATCTATAATTTTTAATAAATTATACGTTCTTATGATTAAACTATAATCCTAATCTATCCTAATCTTAAATGTTTCATATCCTATTCTAGTATTAGTGTTTTAATATTGTATAATAATGCTAAAAAACAAATTATTCTGATATTATTAACTAATTAATCGAATTTTTAAACCATTTTAAATTTAATAACTATACCATTATTCTTTCCAATTTAATTTATAGTAGAATTTCTAATTTTTTCTTTTTTATTTATTTTTTACATGATAATTAATTACAAGTAAGTTCAATTAATAAGATATTTATTTAGTTCTTGATAAGATATATAGTTAATTGGAATAAAAAATTTTCTTTAACTTAATACATTTTAAAATTTAAACTGTTTTTATTTTTTGAGATTGAAATAGAAAAAATAATAATTGAAACAGTTGCAATACATGAGCACTTTTAGATAGTATTAAATATATTCAAATTTATAATTGCAAAAATTTAAATAACTTTATTATAATTTGACATATTTTTAAACAATTTATTAGATTGAATTAATTATTCTGTAATTGAAATAGGAAATCTATTTAGAAGAAGAAGAATTAATAGATTTTAAAGAATGTCATTATTATTTTATTAATATTTTGAACATTTTGAATATATTTGAATAAAAATAATGTGGATTATCTGAAATAATAGAAAAATAATATTAGATATTTTTCATTCAGGAATAGATATTTCTTATTTTTTTATAGGTATCCCGATAGAATTATCATTAGCTATTTTTTTAAGTATTTTCTTATTTTGAAGTAATTCTTATCCCACCATTCCTTCATTGGGACTTGATTTTCTTTTAGGAGATGTACTTAAATAACCTTTTGCCATTTATTTTTTAAGTTCTTCAGCATTTTATATATGCATTTATCTGATATTCTATTAAAACAATAGTATAAATCAAATACATTTCTTCTTTCTTGATCTTGTTTTTTCAATAATTTTTATTCTTGTATTTGTTATTCAAAAAAGATTTTTTTTTCTTTTACTTCTTATGTATATCTTCGTTTTTTTTCAAGAATTTGATTCTATAAATCATAAGAAACTTAAAGCTATTATTCTTTTTTATTGTTTTTGTTTTTAAAATCTAAAAAATTATTATGTTCACTATTTTTTTTAGTTTATAAATCATCATCTTATGATTTTTCATCCTTTTTAGATTTCATAATAAATTCACTATAATTATTCATCAATTATTAAATCTTTTGTTCTTTATCTTTTTTAAATTTCTCTTTTTTTTCATTTTCAAGTTGTTCTTTAATTACTTATTATTCTTATAAAAGTTTTTCATATTCTTTGCTTTATAAGATTTCTTCTTGGGCCTATTTTTCAAATACACTTTACTTTTTTCCTCAAGTTTTCATTCTATTTTAAAATCTATTAGAATTTCTCCTTCTATTCTAATCTCTTACGCTTCTATTATTAATCTTCTGCTTTTAATTCTTCTTTCACTTTATAAAGCATTTCTTCTTCTTATTATTTAGTATTAAAATTCTGCTCTTTTCTATTTTATATAATATGATTACTTCTTTCTTTTATCAACATAAACTTATTAATCTCTAATAATTTTTTCTTATAGTAATTATTTCTTTTTATTTTCTTTGATTATTTCTTCCTATTTTTCAAATTCCATCAATTATTATTAACTAGTAAAATAATAATTTTGATCATCCAATTTTTCTTTTTATTTTCGTTGTTCTTTTTCTGCAACTTATCTATCCAATTCATCTTTTATTTTTTATTTATTAATAAACATAAGTTTTTTTTATTCTTCCATTTCTTTTTAAAATTACAATGTATCATATTTTATAATAGCAGCCCATTCATCTACAGAACCATCAACTTAATAAATTGATGTTCTTCTTTACTCCAATAAATCAGCTGGTAACGTGTTAGCTAATTTAATTTATGAATTATTGTCTGTTTTATTTTGCAATCTATAGATATTTTTTTCCTAATCTAATTGTTCAGGCATAGATATTCTAGTCTTTGGATTTGTCAATAATTTTAATTATTCCTCTTTCTACTTTCCTAACATAATGATATTAAAATTATACGAGAAATTCGCTGATTTAATCTTGATATCATTAATTGCTTTTCATTTTCTGGTCTTAAAATAGCCTCCTTTATTTCTTCTTTAAGTGCTCTTACAGCTCCTTCACTTGCTTTATAACAGGCAAAAAAATCTTCTACATAAGCCATTATTAACTAATGTTTTCACATAAGTAAGTTACATTCACATTCAATTAATTCTTTTTTCCATAATCTTAAATCAATTTGTCACTTATCAAAGATTTAACAGAATCATCTTTTTAAATATGTTTTCCAACATGCAAAGTTCTATTAATCTTTTTAGGGTACATAAATAAAATATATATAATTTATCATCCAATATAATATAACAAAGTATACTAAAATTTTATACGTTAAGATTATTGTTTTCCAAATTTATTATCTCCATTCAAAATTTTTTAATCATTCAATTAAACAAACTAATCTTCTTTTAAAACTTTCAATTATCATGTTCCTATTATATTGCTCTATTAGTTTAACAGAAAAGAACACTTTAATATCATAACATTAATTAATAAAAATTTAGCTTTGAAAAGATTATAATTTATTTATCAAATGTTACTTTGATATAGATGGTTATAAATAATAAAGATAACTACAAAAGAATAAAAATAATTTAAGAATATAATTATTTCTCTATTATTTTGATTTATTTTATAAATAGTGTTAAAATTTCAGATTTATATAGGAGTTTTTATTATTAAAATTAAATAAATATGGATAACTATTCAACAATTGTATTAAATCAAAATTCAGAAAGAAACTTTAAATTGATAAAATGGACTGGCAATAATTAGCATGTTTCAAATTTACTGAAATTTAAAAAAGAATTGATTATTAAGATACTGAGATAGTCAAATAACCCTTAATTATAGTGATTTAAAAAATAATGTTATTGATTATAGTATAATTATCAAAATCCATTCTATTTTCCATAATTAGAGATTAGGAGTGATCACATTTTAATTTTTATTCATTTTATTTGGGTTGTTTAGATTTAACTGCCTAGATAAGTAATGACTATAAATAAGGTCTTAAAATCAATTAAATCAGAATTGTGTGGAATAGATGAGGAAATAAAACTTTTGAAAATGGAATAGGAATTATATTAAAGTAGAAAATTAAAACAAGTATAATCAAATTAATGTTTATTTTATAAAATTAATTAATATACATGCAATACAAGTCATAAACTAAAAACAAATTGAAATTCATAGTTATTTAGTTTTATTGATTTGAGATTTCATACAAGCTATAATAAATAGTAATGCGTGTAATGTCAAAAATATAAGTGTTAATGATTAAAGATGATGGCATTAGAAACTCTAAATATAGGCAATCTTAATAATATATTAAATTTACCAAAAACGCAATCAAAAATAACAATCTAATTAGACCTTCTATTGTAGTGATGGTGTTGAATGTCTTATTTCCAATAAGGGTTATAATGGATAAAATAATGCTGCAAGAGCAATATAATGTGAAATATATGCCAGTTTGTTTTAACAATGTACATGTATCATTATTAGTATTAAGAGAATAGTAATAAAATAAACTTCCAAACAATACATTAAATGATATTGTGAATGAGATATAAATGCATTTATCATCAATTTGACTAGATTGACCTACTTATTTGCAATCCTCATCTCTCCTTTCCATTGTTATGGTTATTTAATATAATAATATAAATAATAAAATTTTATCACAGTGAATGAGCGTTCCAATCAAAAAGATTATGATTTGAGTAATTTATTCTTATATAGAGATCTTTAAACAATTTTCTTAGCTTAAAATAATTAAGTCTTTCTTTGAATTTTAAGCTTTTGACATAGTTTAGATATAATATAAAAATCATTCTTGCATTATTAATCTTTTTTATCATGTAATTTCAATCTATACCATTATATTCATCTACTCAAAAAATAAACTAAGCAGTTTCTTCTAAATAATCTTTTACATTGATATTGATAACAGAACCTATATCTTATTTTTAGGAACTGATGCTTTAAAGAATTAAATAGAAAGTTCAGGTTACAAATTATACAATTAACTAGGCTTAACATTTCTAGATTAATATATTAAGCTATATAGATATGATATGGGCATCCCAGTTAAAAATTTATTTAGTGATTATTTTGATGAGATTGGTTTGGAAATTCTGAATTAAAGAGTTATACTTGAGATAATAAACAATTAGTAGTAGATTTTTTAATTCTTATAATATAATTAAATATATCATAATCAATTTAAAATTTTTAGGACTTCTTCTTTAAAAGAATCTATGAAATCTTTTTCATCTGGAAAGCAAAATGAGTTTTAAAGCATTTTTTATTTAGTAAATCTGGTTCTACACATAGGGCAAGAATCTCTATCTTTTACACTAAACCATCCTTCTATACAATTTTAACAATAACTATGACCACAAGGCAATAGTTTATCTATTTTTTTTTCAAAACAAATTTGACACATCTCATCTTCATTGTTTTTCATGTACAAATATGCTAAATCTTGAGTTAATTATTTTAATTTATAGAATGTTTCTTAATTGATCAATTTTTGTTTGTTATCAATTTTAAGTATGATTGCAAGATCAGTTTTGTTTTTGGATGAAAGTAATTGTTCTGAAAATGTTAATTTATTCTAAATCAATTCAGCTTCTATTTTTTTACTTAATTCTTGTTATATAGGAGTTGACCTGAAAATAAATAATATAGATTCTTACTTGATAACTTTATTAAAATATTCAATATCCTTAATAAGAACATGAATTGGATATTTAGTTTATTATTATCCCATATTAATATTATATTTATTTATATGATATCTGATCAGAATCTTCCTCCAAGGTATTATGAGGTAGCGGTTAATTTATCAGTCAAGTGTTCTAATATTCTTTCAACGATTTCTTATTGTCTTTATCTCTCAGTTGATTGAGTTGAATATGTATTTTCTTAAGAAGCACACCATTCATTTTCTGCATCAAGAGTTTCTTAGGCAGATTCTTATTCCAACTATAATATAAGAGAATAAAAAATACAGTATGAACTTCAAAGAAATGAGTAGCTGTTTCAATATTGGTTTTGAATGTTTAAATTGATTATTCTAATTAATTCTTTCTTTCTACTAATCTATTATGTTCATTGCTCAAATGTGTTGAAAACTCAACCCATCTTTAAGCTTATCTATTTTCAGTATCCTAGATTTTAGATGATTAATAATACTTCTAAAACTGATCTAGCTTCAACTAATTATTATCTAAGTTATGATAATAATTAAAGTATTCTTTAAATAGCCTTTTAATCAACTTTAGAAGCAAGTTCGGTAAGTGCTGTAACAATTGGTTAGAATAATGCACCATGACTTTCATTTTCAATCAATCTCTTTTGAACAGCTTCAAATTTAGGCTTAAGTTCAGCAAATGTGGCACCTAATGAAAGATGTTAAACCAATTTAGTAGCTTCATCTACAGCAGCTATAGCATCATCATGTTCTCCATTCTTTCTTACCCATGTTTCATGTGCTTTATTTCTATTTGCTTCTTCTTAAGCAAATGTTCTCTCATTACTTTCAATATCCTTTTTATATTTAAAAATATGCTTACTTAAATTGTTTATCTAACATCATTTTCAGCTTCTGCCAATGCTTTCTCATTGTCTTCTCTCATTTAAGCATTTGCACTTACTTAAGCTGTATGATAAGCTATTGAATTTTCAAGATCTGTCACTATTCTTGTACATGCTGCTCTGTCAACTCTAATTACATTGTCATGTTTATTTTAATCATCAACTAATCCTGCAAGTAATTGATTCAATAAAACCAAGATCTCTTCTGCATTTCCTTTTGCCTATAAGTACATTTGAACTGTTGACAAAATTGAGTTTCCAAAGTTATCGGCATCGATTTCTGCCAATACTGTTTTTGTATCCTTTTAGACAGCCATTACTGTTGAAGCAATCAATGCGAAAGCAATGAATTTCATCATTTTTTATTATTATATTAAGCATATTCATAAAACGGATTCTAATATATATTCATTACAATAATAAAACCTAATTTATTTCTTTAATTTATGATAAATATTATTTATATCATTTCAAATTTGTTAATTGTTTGAAATGAAAGATAAACCTCAATTTAGATTACATATACAGTTTAATAAAAAGTGAATATATAATTTTATATAAATTATAAGATGATAATAATTATTTTCTATATTACCAGTCAGTATTTATTTTAATGTTGTTTTTTATGTATATTGGCTGAAGTCTTTTAATAAATCATATACATTTTGATATTCTTAAGTTTTCAAAATAGAAATACAGATAAATTGTTTCAAAAATTAATTAATAAAGTAGTCATTTAAATCCACTCTTTAATTTTTACTTTAAAATTATATGATTGATAAATTAGATTAAGGATTGATTAATGGGATATTAATGTTTTTAAGTAGATGAAAAATTTCAACTTTTCTCATTATTATAAATATTATGAATATAGATAATCATTTATTTATTAAAGATTGATAGATTATGTTATAAAATATGGATGCCATAATGCTCCAAATACCTTCCATATGAGAAGATAATTATCTAGATACAAAGAATCCTAAGGTAATCCAAGCAATTCAGAAATATCATAATGATTATCTTATTTATTTATGAACTTATATATGAATAAAAAGAGCAAATATAAATGTTCCTAACCTTTAAAATTAATAATGTTAAAATAATACTTCTCCGCATAAAGCTGCTAGCATCCATTCAATATTTGTACTTTATATATTTGGAGATATTACTATTCCTAAATTTAAAATGCTCTTCAAGCACCTAATAATTATGCGCTCCAATAAATTCTTAAAGTTCATGTAGTTATAGTTGCAACACAAAAAAACTCAAAGACACTCCTGGATTAACATGTCCTCCTGTAAATTTACGAATCAAAAATATTGCAGAAGAAAAATATGCAGAAATTAAAAATTTGATCCATAGGATCCTACTATACCATTTGCGAATAATCCTGCGTCATTGTTTCAAAAATAAATATTATTTTTAAATTACCAAACGTTTTAATTTCTAGTCTCTTGATTATATTTATTCTAAATTTATAAGACAAATTTGAGGTTATTAACTCACAAAAAACTCATCATTTTATTTTATCTTTTGTTTATCAATTTTATTAATAAAATGAACTTATTAAATATTTTCAATTTACTAAAATAAGAATCATCATTCTTAATTACAATAATTAAATAACTAAATTTATATTAAGCTACTTCTTTTTACATCGAAAATTTAGTATATAAAAATTCTCACATTCCCTCTTAAAAGTCATTTTTATTAGTCTATCATTTTAAATAAATCAAGAGAATCATAAAATAAGTTAACAAAGTAATCCTTATCATTATATAACTCTTTTTATAAATTTGAACACTTTAGAAAGTTATATTGTTTTGATTAGTTCAATAATAAATAATGAAGAAAATAATTTTTATTGTCATAAAATTTTATTAAAATATTCATTTAATTAAATAGAGAATCAGTTAATATATTGATATGTAGAAAATTAAAACGCATAATTTAAATTATTTATTTTCAATATAAATGATCAATATATTACTAGGATTAAATGGAATTAGAATAATTCGATTTAGATTGAAATAAAGAAATGAGAATTCTAAAAAATTAATGATGAGAAAGGTAATTTTAATGAAAAAGAGAAACTGTCTCATAATAATATAATAGTTATAATTGATTAATAATAATATAATATTTATATTGCTACTCATCTTTTACTGTGTACACTTAAGGACTAGAGTTCCATGAATTTCTTTTAAGATTTACTAAGCAAAGTTTAAGTTTCCTGAAATTTAAATAAAGTATGTTTTACTTAGAGACGACTTTGTAAAAATTGTTCGTCTTAAAAGAGCTTTTCTCTGGTTTTTTTCAGTTTTTCTTCAATCATTTTTTCATAGGAAACTCTTTCCTTGTAAAATTGTTATGATTTGATTTCATCTAATTTTTTGGCTTCTTCCTTCTTTTCTTTCCTCTTTTTTTCTTCTTGATATAGAGTCTCTCTAACTTTTTAATTCTCCTGTAGTATACAATCTCTTGTTCTTGATAGAGTCAATTTAATGGCACTCTTGTACTCCTTAACTGATGATTACTTCATGGAATCGCTAATTACACCCACCAGGCATACCCAATCTTTTAATTAGCAGCTCGTTTTAAAATAAAGTCTTCTTCATGTTTTCTAATCTATTTGATTTGATGTTTTCTTTTTCTCATATCATCTTCCTTCAATTATCGTGCTTCCTCTCCTAGATTTCGTAATTGTTTCTTCACTGATTATCCATTTTCTATCTTGTCTGCTGCCATCTCATATAATTTAGCCTATCTACTTCAAGTTACATAATACAAGATGTAAATTCTTCTATTGTGTTTATTTAAGCAATGTAACTCTAGCCATTTGTTTCTCATATGCCAATTTCTCTTATCTTTTCTGTTCAGTTGCTTAAGGTAATGGAATCAAAGGTTTATCATCTTCATTTTAGCTTCTTTACATTTAAACAAATTTATTATAAAAAAAATCAATATATTAAATTTTATTATATCAATATTCACAGTTACATCATATTTTCTTTTTGTACCTGAAATCCTTAAACATTATTATTTAGAAAATATTAAGAGAAGTATTAAAAGTATATTATTTTTATAAATTTTATAGCACATTGATTTCAACTAATAACTATGTAAATTATATATAATATTTTTAATATCTTTTTAAATACATGATATTTTAGTGTAATCTATTATATAAATCATTCTTTCTTTTGAAAAATTCAAAGTTAAAAATGTAAGTAAACATTTTTACATTAAATACGTTTTGGCTATGGCACACAAATAAATAAAAAAATGTAAAATAGTGCGCATATTTATTATAAATTAAAGATTTGATAATCAATCTCTTCCTGAAAATGATTGATTAATCCATTTTCTTTATTTTAATTGAAGTTATTAGATTTTATAGGACATATCGATTATTACATCTGTTATAAATATTGTAAATAAAATCATTAATACTCTTTGGTACTTTGGGATGATTTATTTGGTACTAAAAACAACTATTATTAATTAAATATTACATGATAATTATGGTATATTGAGTATATATATGTTATATTAAAAATAGAATATAATGATATGATATAATTAAATTATAAAAGTAAAATCAGCAAAATTATAAATTTTATTATGTTTATAAATTAATAATGAAAGATAAAATGAATAGGAATTTTAATCTATTTAAGTTATAAATTGGAACTAGTGATTGATTAATAATAATTTAATGAGTTCAGAATAAAGAGTGAAATTATTGCAACAGCAATTTGAAGCATACAAAGAAATGAATGAATAGTATCTAATCCTTGTGAATCTCTTTAACATTATAGAAGGTTGAATAATATAGCTATTGATCTATTCTATGGTAATAATTGGAAATATCGATAGAAGTTATTTGATATAGTGAAAGATAATTAACATGTTTTCAAACATCAGCATCTTGAGGAATCTACAAGAGAAGAATAAAGATATTATTCCTTTTAAGCTATGAGACATTTTCATTAAAAACTTGGAGTAACATATGACTTTTTTTTATCTGATCCAAATATAGTAACAATAACATCTGTTGCAATGTATAGTTTTGACCCAGGAGTTTTTGTTAAATTTGGAGTTCATTTTTCACTATATACAAAAACAATTAGGAACAGATAAACATAAGTAATATTTTGAAAATGCATAAACACTTTCAGATATTGGTAGACTGAATTAGGACATGGTTCTAATGTAAGATNGTACCTGAAATCCTTAAACATTATTATTTAGAAAATATTAAGAGAAGTATTAAAAGTATATTATTTTTATAAATTTTATAGCACATTGATTTCAACTAATAACTATGTAAATTATATATAATATTTTTAATATCTTTTTAAATACATGATATTTTAGTGTAATCTATTATATAAATCATTCTTTCTTTTGAAAAATTCAAAGTTAAAAATGTAAGTAAACATTTTTACATTAAATACGTTTTGGCTATGGCACACAAATAAATAAAAAAATGTAAAATAGTGCGCATATTTATTATAAATTAAAGATTTGATAATCAATCTCTTCCTGAAAATGATTGATTAATCCATTTTCTTTATTTTAATTGAAGTTATTAGATTTTATAGGACATATCGATTATTACATCTGTTATAAATATTGTAAATAAAATCATTAATACTCTTTGGTACTTTGGGATGATTTATTTGGTACTAAAAACAACTATTATTAATTAAATATTACATGATAATTATGGTATATTGAGTATATATATGTTATATTAAAAATAGAATATAATGATATGATATAATTAAATTATAAAAGTAAAATCAGCAAAATTATAAATTTTATTATGTTTATAAATTAATAATGAAAGATAAAATGAATAGGAATTTTAATCTATTTAAGTTATAAATTGGAACTAGTGATTGATTAATAATAATTTAATGAGTTCAGAATAAAGAGTGAAATTATTGCAACAGCAATTTGAAGCATACAAAGAAATGAATGAATAGTATCTAATCCTTGTGAATCTCTTTAACATTATAGAAGGTTGAATAATATAGCTATTGATCTATTCTATGGTAATAATTGGAAATATCGATAGAAGTTATTTGATATAGTGAAAGATAATTAACATGTTTTCAAACATCAGCATCTTGAGGAATCTACAAGAGAAGAATAAAGATATTATTCCTTTTAAGCTATGAGACATTTTCATTAAAAACTTGGAGTAACATATGACTTTTTTTTATCTGATCCAAATATAGTAACAATAACATCTGTTGCAATGTATAGTTTTGACCCAGGAGTTTTTGTTAAATTTGGAGTTCATTTTTCACTATATACAAAAACAATTAGGAACAGATAAACATAAGTAATATTTTGAAAATGCATAAACACTTTCAGATATTGGTAGACTGAATTAGGACATGGTTCTAATGTAAGATAAATTTAAACTACTGCAATATATGATAAAGATACTTAAACTTTCATAATTAATACACCAACAGATTTAGCAACTAAATTTTGGATTGGAGCAACTGCCAATTTAGCTAATATGACGTTGTATTTGCTTAACTATATATTGATGGCAAATAATATGGAGTTCATGCATTTTTAGTTGAAATCAGAAATAAAACAAATCATAATGTAAAAAGTGGAATCGCTATTGGAGATTGTAGTCCAAAAAATGGATTGAATGGAATTGATAATGGTTTTTTAATATTTAGAAATGCTAGAGTTCCACTTGCAAATATTTTAGATAAATTTGCTACTGTACAGTCTTAGAAAGAGCATTTTAAATTTAGTCTTTGACTTTATTAGAAAATGAGATTGAACTCTATAAAAATAATGGTAATTATTATCTTATATCTTAGAATTTTACATTTCTGAAGCACTATTAAAAAATTCTTAATGAATTAAAGTCTTTAGCTTCACCTGATGAAATCTTAGGTTCCATTTTTGGATCTATTGATGGAGACATTTACAATAAATTTATCAAAAAAATTTATAGTGGAAAGAATACTTTCTAAAAAGTACCTTGGTGGGAATAAATAGATAGCAAATGATAATTATTGTCATATTTTATTGATAATAATAAAAAATCTAATTATATTGTCAAATGTTTTAATATACTACTTATACTTCTTCACAATTTAATATTACCATTCTAGAGTAATCTAATTGAAGTTTCAAATTTTTGTATCTAGATTTAATATTCTTGTATTTTTAGATTTAAATATTTGTTTTTTAATTAAAAAATAATCAAAATTGATATTATTCAAAATTTCTATTAAGAAATGAAAGAGATTATAAAAATAGAAAATAAATTTTTCGATCTTTTAATTTTAATGAATGAATCAATACTAGACAGATTTAACTTTAAGTTTAAACCTTATTTTAATAAGATGCATAAATAATGATTTCAATTATATATATCCTCAAAATTTCTTGATAAAAATTCTTTTGAAATTTTTATTTACTTGAAATAATTATTAAATTAAATTGTTATCAACAACAAACATTTAAGAATCTGTTATAATGTAGTATAAAAAGAAGATATAAAAATATTGTTATTTATAAATATTAAGATATATGCATTATTGTATTTGTAATTTAACTCATTAACCAATTAAGGCAGATGCAGTCTTTGAGACACTTTAATATTAAATATTATAAGTACTATTTCCAGTTAGATGGTAATTTTTAGGTTCTTCTGTAATATCTACTGAGTCTATGAATTCTGCTTTCAACCAAAATCAATCTGAATTTGCTTGTTACATCTCCTCTATTTTTTTCTAAATGTTTTCTAATTTAAACAGCCTTCTTAATCAAAGCATATAAGTCTTCAGGGATTTTAGGAGCACATCCTTAGAATATAGATTTATAAATACCTCTCTTTTTGAGGATTCTTAAAATCTTTTGACCTGTTAAGAATCTAGTTTAAGGAATGCCTTATTGATCTCTTAAATAAACACCAATTTATGAAGCATTAAGACCTAAAGGAAATATTAAGAATTAATTAAACCTTTCTTTGCTAAATTAACAATTTGATCAACGATTGATTTTGAACTTAATGTCAACCATTTTGGTGCTTTTCTCTTATATGGAAGGGCTGATCCAGAGATACCCTTTCCCTTTCCCTTAGCTTACATACGTCCCATGAATTAATTTAAGATTTAATTTTATTTAAATTTTTATTAGTCATTTCTTTAGTCTTTTAGGTTTCTTCTTTTTACTATCTATATCATATAACTCTTTTCTTTTCATTTTTTTCATTCTAAATTAATTTAATAGTATTCTCCATCTTTTATTATTAGCTTTTTCTTAATTTTTAAAGCTTCTTATTTTTTTTATTCCTAATATATATTATAGAATACTTTTATTTCTCTAAATCCTCTTTTACGAATATTTTATTGAATTCATCTAATTCTTCTAACATAATATTTTTTTATTCTTATAAATTATCAAAATTTCTCTTCTAGTTCTTATTCCTTTTCATTCACATATTTATGATAATTTTAGATCCTTTCTGCATTATTATTTTGATATTACTTCTCTTCTTATCAATGTTCTTTCACTTATTTATGAACTCATTTTTTCTATATTAATTTCATTACTAACATTAGTAATTTATGTATCAAAATCTATTCAAATAAATTCTAAAATTCTCATATAAGTATTTTCTTTTGAGTCTCCACAATTTTTTTGTTATATTTCTTTTTTAATTCAACCATATAAGTCTTATAAAAAAATTTTTTTCTTTTAGAGATCAAATTCTCATATTCTTTTGTTCCCTCTTAATCATCTATATCTTAAATCTTATTATAAATAATTTTGATTAAGATAATTTTAATTACTACAAAATTTATTAGTATGCTTAATAATGAAATAATGTTCTAACTTTTCTTTCTTTCAATTTTTAAGCAAGTTCTTAAACTTATTTTTGATATCACTTTATTATTTTAGTACTAAAATCCTACCAAAAGTTTAATACTACATATTAGTGATTTCTAATTTTTATTAATGAATTAATAATTTGCTTTATCAGCTAATTCAGATAATGAGGTGTTATTACCTGCAGTGAATTCTCAAAATAAATTTCATTTTAAGATAACAATCCTTAAGCATGAACTATAATTTATGTTAATCTATGGAATTCATTACTAATATTTTTATAAATTATATATAATATTAGTTTTTGATAATTCTTATTGGATAATTTAATTAAATTGATACATTAAGTTTAATCACTATTTTAATTAAAAAAATGGTTCACTACTAATTACAATAAAAATTATCATGTAAACAATTATGACTGAATATGCCATTCCTTTAAACATGTTTGATTAAGGGTCAAAATTTTTAATCCACAAATAAACAGGTATACTGATACATGAAAAACCAAAACAAATAGTTTAAACACTGTATGTTAATGAGAAAATAAATGATTTAATTTGTGGAACTGTAAAGTTCTAAATAAAACGTCTGCATATAATACATATACATATTTCAAATACAAATATACCAGCAGCTATCATATAAATTTACTTAATTTATTTTTTATTATCTTTTTCTGTTGCCGTTTAAATATTATCTTAGAGTAGTTCTTTATTCAAAGTATAATTATGTGAATAGATTGAAGTTATTGAGATGGAAATAAGGAATATTAACAATGAATTTAAGGATTATAATAATGGCTAATAATAATACTTCATCTTTTGTTAACTAATTATGATGCCCCAAGTAGTAATCTAATAAAAAAATATAACAGACCTTAGTAACCATTAAATCCAATAGCATTACTAAACCTTAGCATATCCTTTTTTAGTTTCTCTTTTTAGATAAAAAACTTCAAAGAATGGATATGAAATGCAACAAATTTAATTAAAGCTATAAATTATCCAATCTGAAGCTTTTTCTGATTTTTCTGGATCAAATAAACTAATATAATAAATGAAAATATATACTTTTCGTCCATTTGTATATATTCTTAACTTGCATCAGGTACTTCATAGTAAATAAATATGAATATTAATGTATTTAAAAATAATTTACCTACAAATGATATTATTAATCTATATTAAATGTCATAATAGTGTTCAAAGTATGAAAATTTATAAAAACTACAAAATAATAGTAAAACAACAGCTGAATAACATATGATAGTGGGGAAAAATAATTTTCCTTGTTCTGAAGCCATTAAATCATGGAATTCAACATAAAACCATCGATTAACCTTAGGTAGGCTATCACCCAATCTTACAATAATATTAAATAATCCAAGTGTATTTATTATTAAATTACAATAGATGAATGCTTTGTAAATATTGATAGAATCTTATTTGATTATATGTGCATAAATGGGATTGCCTTCTTATTTACATATTTAAATAACCAAATAGCATGGTATCAAAATTAAAAATGATAGCAACCAATAAACAATGACTGAAATAATCATTTTTAAAGGATTGTCAAAAGATATTTCAATAAAAAGTTAGTTCATATTAGGAATCAACATAGTATTAGCCATATATAATACTGCTAAAATAGAAGATCCAAACTGAAAGAAATTCTCCTTTCTGTATTGTACCACTTCCATAGTTTTGTCATCATAATTCATTGATCTATAAGATTCTAGAGTATCAACATCCTCTTCATATTATAGTTAGTTTTTTGATTTCATTTATTATTTTATAACTATTTCATATTATATCATGCTTGACATCTTTCAATTTAAAGCAAATTTATTTTAGCCAACTGTTTCTAGAAAATACATCATTTCCTCTAATTCATCAGATTTTTTAAATTGAATTAGCAACTTTTTCTTAGAATCCATTACTAATCCAGGAATTACAAATTATATTTCTAATTCTAAAGCATTTCTAGTATTCATTTTCATTCCATCAAGTGGATATTTATTCTCAGGCCTTGAAAATCTAGTTGGTTTACCATCAAAAGTTAAAAAATAATGATCAACTGTAATTATTATCCCTGTTTCAATCCAAGTCTTTCCAATAGTTCCAACATCTCTCTATGCTGAAAATTACTTTAGAATTAAAGGATGAGATAATTCAGCATATTTATCAATAACCTATACTTTATTTCCAATATATTTACTTAGAAATTTTAAAAATACTTTACTAATTCCTATTATTATTCTGTCTGAATAAATTCTAATTCTTATTTTGTTAATACAAAATCAGGTGAATACAATGTTTAAACTTCTTATTACACTTTTACTCCATTCAATGCTCCAATTATTTAATCAAATTAATTAATCTTACCATAAACATTCATTATTTAATTTTAAAATTCTATTAATGTATGTGTGACCAAATCTAACCTCTGTGTTTCTAATAATTTTATTTCATTCCAACTATTTAATAACCATGTCCCAAATTCTCTTTAATATACTATTACTCTTTATGCAGCCTAAATATATTTATTAATTACAACTTACTTATTTATACTTTAATTCTGCTCTTAAAAAATCTTTTTATGGTTTTTTTCCCTTAACAGTCATATTTTAGTACATTTTATCATATTTAGTAAAATATTTTAATACTTCTTTATCTAAATCCATTAAAGTCTTTTTGAATCTATTATATGAATTTATCAAGTCTAAATGATTATAAATTTATACCCTTATTTTAGTTTGTAAAATTATTCATTTCTTATTCTAATCTTTCTCTAGTTTAATTTTACATCCAAACTATAAAAATCTTAATTTAATCTGTTTATCTTTCTATTGCAGAATCCATAGTTCTAACAGCTTTAGAAAATTCAGGATAATTGCATTACATAATCTTTCCATCTAAAATTATTATAATAATTTACCAAAATCTTTAAACAATTTATTTAATTAAGCTGTTTAGGAATATTTTAATTATTATTCTTCCTATTCAATTCTTAATCTCATATAGGAGACTAAAAATTTCATAGATTCATCTGATGAAGTAACTACCTTTTACAATCTTGCCCAAACAGAATCAACTAATTGTCTATGTTAATAAACTTATGTAGATCTATGAAGTTCATAACCTTTTGTTTATTCAAATGCTTCTGTCTTTCTTTCTAATGCTGCCTAATGTACTATTCTTTTAGTTTCTGCTTTTTTTATCATAATAGTCTATCAAAGATTACTAATCTAAGTTACATTCTTTTTATTCTCTTCAGGTTTCAAAACTTCTTGTATTGCACCAATAGGTTGATTTTAATCTTATTCATCCTCTTCTTCAATTTAAAAATTTTGTTTTTTATCATTATTTTATCTTTGAGCAATTTAATCAAAAGGCTCTTATTCTCTCTATTCAGGAATTTCATTTTAAACGAATCCTTCCTGTAATTAGTCGAATTAATCAGACATAAGTAAATTCAAATTAATTAAGTTTATTTAATATTCAACTTTGAAATTACGTCTTTCTTTATGTAATTATAAATTATATCTTAATATTGCATATTTATATAAACTCAATAATCTATAAGATGAACTTTAAACTTTTTAGTTGCATACTCCCAAATGATTAAAAATTTACCATCTTTTGTCATAGTTCCATAATTCCATGGATGCTAACAATCAATTGGTTCACAATCTATCTAATATTAAAGTTTATTTTATTTAATTAAATACACATATTAACTATGTTTTAATACTAAAATCTAATTCTTTTTATTATAAATAATAGGAAAAAAACATTCTACTTCTGGTTCCTCATTATTTAAGACTAATCTTAAATCAGGTCTTTCTTAAAACTTAAAATTCTGTAATTTAAAGAAATGAGTTTAACTATTTCTTTTTTGTTAGAAAACTATGGTATCATCTCCAAAATAACTAATTCGATATCCGACATCATTTATTTATTTATCAATAATATATTTAAATTCCCAAATTTGAGTTTCATTCTTCTCCCATAAAATAATTTATCTTTCACCACTTGATGAAACAAATTAATTCTCTTTAGAATTTAAACTAATGCAATAAACTGGTTTTTTATGTTAATCTAGTCTATATGAATCTAAAATCTTATTTTATTCAATTTTAAAGTTTATTATTTTAATTGATCCATCAAAACAACCCACAATTAATTAATCTTCAATTTAATTCATAACCTAACATAATAGATAACTTGAATTGATCTTATATTATTATGCAAACTGCCATTTATTTTAACTTATCTCTTACCAAAATTTCACTGTTTCATCTTTACTTCCAGAAATAAGATAATTTTCTTTTTGACTAAAATTTAAACAAACTACCTAATCATTATGACCCTGCAGTATTATATTAGTTTCGTATAATTATCCTTCTAAAAATTTCCATATTTTAATATCCTTAGATGCTGCTGTGGCTATTATTGTATCATCCCCATTCAAAGCTAAAGCATTACAAAGTTCTTCTTCTTTATATTCTGAATTCAATTAACAAGTAGTATTCTTCAATTTATTATTTTAAAAGTGTTCATAATTATAAGCATTCTTTACAATTTAATTTGCCATTCCTTAAAAAACTGAAAATGCTTTAAGCTTCTCTCCAACATTCTTAATACCTGCATATACTTTATATATATTATTCTCATTTATGCTATGTATTTCATAAATATCAAAGGCTAATCTTTACTCTTTTATTTCATTTTCTGGAAAACTTAAATGTTCAATCTCATCCAAAAAATTATATTTCGATTATAAATTTACATAAGTATCCAAATAAAGTATCCAATTCTTACAAGCCTCAATTAATTTAATAGTTAAATTTTGAACCTCATTTCTAAAATTATCTAATTTTTCAATAAAATTTTTAATTTGATGAGTAAACTCTCTTGCAGCGTTTTGTGTTCCATCAAAGCATTACTATTTTAATTATTAAACTTAATCTAAAGCATTATCTATATATAACAAATTAGGTGGATTATTAAAAAATTCAATACACTTCTAACAAAGCAATCTTTCATGTGCTCTTAAACCATCATCTATTCTAATAAATTCAATAGGTCTGTCTTTATGATCATTTGCACAAATTATTTTAGTTATGTCTTCTTTCATCTGGACTTTTTATTGATTTTGTTAATACATTTCTATTAAAAATATAAATAATTATGAATCTCTTATCTATATGTAAAAAATTTATTTAATATCTCCTAGTTATTAATATTTAATTCTGATTTTTTAATACAGAGAATCTTTGTATTGTTATTTTTAATTCAAATATAAAAAATATAGTAAGATCATAATAAATTATGGACGCCTTATTGAAGAATCAATGTTTTTTATCCATTTAGAAGTAAATTTATTAATTCAAACAATCTTATATCACCATCAAGTCTTTATGTTTTTATTATTCCTATTAAAATATGTAACTGAGGATCTTAAAGTTCTGTCTAAATATTTATTTAAATGTACTTTGATTTCTTTATTCTATAAATATTAAATGAATCTGTTCACAAAGTTCTTTTATAGTCATAAAACATGATAATTTCGATAAATCAAATTTAAATTCATACTCTTATCCTTAACTTATTACTATGATATCAATTATATATGTTTATTCCTAAATTAATAAAATAACGTACTAATTATGATTTCTAACATTTTGTTACAGTTCTCCATATTTTGTATTGCAATTCAGTCATACATATATGTTTTTTAGGACTAACCATATTTTGTAGAATTACTCATCTATGTTTTTAATTTCCCTAATTGACAGACGTAAATCATTTGATTCAAAAGTTACGAAAGAATTTCTTCTCTGTAAATTAGGACTGATTGAATTTTCTCCTTTTGAAGAAGTAGACGTTCGTCTATATGATGTTAAGTCCATAGATCTTCTGAATTGACTGGTTTCATAACTTGTAGTTCTTTCTATATCCCAAAAAACACCCGAATCTTTATTAACTTAATTGTGATTCATAGAAACCTTTTTCAATTATAGTAATTCATTCACTTTCCTCATAAAATTATTTTTATTTAATAAATTTTTTTAATAACTGTATGATTTATTTTAGATAATATCAGAATTGTATCTTTTTATGTATGTAATTTTATTTATTATTAAATGCTTATTAAATCAACTTAATCTTCAGTAGATAATGATTATTATTTTTTTTTAATTTTAATATCAATTCTTTTTAATAAGGCTTAAAATTAATAGCTAAACTTATAATATACACTATTAGATTGATTATTCTATATCTCATAATCAAAAAAAACCTTAATCCATTGAATTAATCATTAATCTTAAAATTAAGATTTATATTCAAACTCAACAAATAAATAAACACTTAAATTTTCCCTTATTTAAATATACTATATTATTATAATAATTTAAAAATCTTTATTTTGAATTAGTATCAATAATATAAAAATATAATGATTAAATTGATTGATGATATTACTTTATTCATTAAATGAAATAAGGTATAAGAATTATTTTTTTCCCAAAATATGATTCATTTATTTACTGAATTTTTTTTATTTTTCATATCATTTAAAAATGATTATTATTTCAAAAAATGAAAATAGACTTTTTACAATTTATTTATATTTACAATTCTTCTTTAAGTAAACTAAGTATGAATTCTTTAGCTAAATTTTTTGAAATCAAAGAGTTTATTTTTTAAAAGAACACTTTTTCTTTTTGGATGAATTAATAGGGATAATCTATTTTAGTAATGATTCAAAATAAATTAGGTTATTGATGAAATTATGCTGTTTAACTTATTAATATTTACAACACATATATTTTGATTCTACTCTTAATAAAGAAATTCTCAGTTAACATTCTACTTGAAATTTGCGTAAAAATTTATTAATAATATTTTAATTTGATAGCAAATAAGAATTACTTTGTTGATTATGTATTTTAAAATAAATGTTAAGTGATAAAAATAAGAAAATTTTCGAATTTGACATTTTAGAAAATACATGAATTGTATATTAAATGTTAATGAAGTGTTATTTGAATGAATGTAAAATAGAGGGACTAAACTAGAGAGTGTATTTTCTAAACAAAATAAGTATTTAGAAAAGAAAGTAGAGGATTTTGGAGATAAAACATATTAAAATAAGATTTAAAAAAATTAAAAAAATTTATTGACGAATGGTGAAAATGAATGTCTTGAATGATTGCCTCCGTTCAATTGTGAATGCTGAAAGGTTGTAGTTGTTATTCTAACATTTTTAAGATAAGGAAGAAAGTAAGTGTTGATTAGACCTACATCAAAATTGGTTGTGAAGTTCTTATAAGTTATGCAAAGACATGGGTACATTGGTGAATTCGAAATTGTTGATGATCATAGAAGTGGCAAGATTGTTGTTGAACTATTGGGTAACAAATGAAAAAAATGTTAGGACGCATCAATAAATGTGGTGTGATCTCACCCAGATATGATGTTACATTAGGAGAATTCGAAAGATGGGCTAATAACATTCTCCCAGCAAGATAGTTTGGTTGTNTCTCATAATCAAAAAAAACCTTAATCCATTGAATTAATCATTAATCTTAAAATTAAGATTTATATTCAAACTCAACAAATAAATAAACACTTAAATTTTCCCTTATTTAAATATACTATATTATTATAATAATTTAAAAATCTTTATTTTGAATTAGTATCAATAATATAAAAATATAATGATTAAATTGATTGATGATATTACTTTATTCATTAAATGAAATAAGGTATAAGAATTATTTTTTTCCCAAAATATGATTCATTTATTTACTGAATTTTTTTTATTTTTCATATCATTTAAAAATGATTATTATTTCAAAAAATGAAAATAGACTTTTTACAATTTATTTATATTTACAATTCTTCTTTAAGTAAACTAAGTATGAATTCTTTAGCTAAATTTTTTGAAATCAAAGAGTTTATTTTTTAAAAGAACACTTTTTCTTTTTGGATGAATTAATAGGGATAATCTATTTTAGTAATGATTCAAAATAAATTAGGTTATTGATGAAATTATGCTGTTTAACTTATTAATATTTACAACACATATATTTTGATTCTACTCTTAATAAAGAAATTCTCAGTTAACATTCTACTTGAAATTTGCGTAAAAATTTATTAATAATATTTTAATTTGATAGCAAATAAGAATTACTTTGTTGATTATGTATTTTAAAATAAATGTTAAGTGATAAAAATAAGAAAATTTTCGAATTTGACATTTTAGAAAATACATGAATTGTATATTAAATGTTAATGAAGTGTTATTTGAATGAATGTAAAATAGAGGGACTAAACTAGAGAGTGTATTTTCTAAACAAAATAAGTATTTAGAAAAGAAAGTAGAGGATTTTGGAGATAAAACATATTAAAATAAGATTTAAAAAAATTAAAAAAATTTATTGACGAATGGTGAAAATGAATGTCTTGAATGATTGCCTCCGTTCAATTGTGAATGCTGAAAGGTTGTAGTTGTTATTCTAACATTTTTAAGATAAGGAAGAAAGTAAGTGTTGATTAGACCTACATCAAAATTGGTTGTGAAGTTCTTATAAGTTATGCAAAGACATGGGTACATTGGTGAATTCGAAATTGTTGATGATCATAGAAGTGGCAAGATTGTTGTTGAACTATTGGGTAACAAATGAAAAAAATGTTAGGACGCATCAATAAATGTGGTGTGATCTCACCCAGATATGATGTTACATTAGGAGAATTCGAAAGATGGGCTAATAACATTCTCCCAGCAAGATAGTTTGGTTGTGTTGTGCTCACTACTAATGTTGGAATTTTAACCCATGAAGAAGCTAGATAAAGACACATTGGAGGCAAAATCCTTGGATTCTTCTATTGATATCATTAATAAACATAGTACAATAATATTTATATTTATATATGTCAAGTGTCCTATCTCTAGCAGGTTAAAGATGGAAAGAGTTTTGGGGAACATCCAAAACACAAAATCCAGAAATTGAAGATAAGAAAAAGAAAATTAATGAAGCAGATTAATATATTAGATTAGCAGGAAGAGTTATTCAAGGAATAGCATTTTAGCATTAATGTAAATTATAATGATAAAAAGTAAAGAAATGCAATTATTATATGGACTATTAAGTTAAGTTTTAAAAAAACTAGATGAATTAGAAAAGTCATAAGAAGCTTTATCATTATCAAAAACTTTTGATTCTTTGTCTTAATTGCATTCATCAAAAGTAGACAAGATTTACACTGCAAATGATAGTTTTCAAGAATGGTTTGATATAATTGAATAACTAAGATAAATGCTTGATAAATATTAAGAGAATAGATTAGTATTTGATCATTATAGACTAAAAGTCGATTAACTTAAAAATTGTAAAGGTTAATAAAGGTTATTAAGAGTAATTCTTTATTATTTAAAATAGAATGAGTAAAAATATAATAATGCAAATACATAGTTTTAAGGAATTTGTGTTCAAATTATTTAGAAAATGGATTAAATTTTGAATAACAAAAGAAATATGTTTAATTAAGCTTATTAAATAGTAATATAAAATGAAACAGAAGTATATCATGAGGCTTTTAAAAAGTTAATAAAACATGAAGATTTTAGATCAAAATTTGGTTTTGATAATTAAAAATAAAAAATCGATATAAATGATCTAAAATAATAATAATAATAATAATAATAGGATGATTTGAATCGTATTGAATGTAAATCAGATGAGAATATCAGTATAAAAGATATACCAGCATTGGGATCAGATTGGAATCCATTTGAGTAAAATAATAAGAGTCCTTATGAAGATTAATTGGCTTAATCTTAGATAGTTTAATCATATTTTTCTTAAGGAGCATAAGAATCAGTGAATCCTTTTGAATCAGGTGAAGTGGCTAGTTTTCCATCTATTTATATGCCAGATTAAAAAATTCAATCTAATTATAAAATAGATTATGAGAAATTTAAACAATCGACGAAGCAACCTTTAGAATGATTATAATTTTAATGTGTGTGTTTTTATCATTATTTTCCCTTTCTATTTTGAACTGGAGCTTAATTGCTAACAACATGTTCTTCGATTAAAGATTCTCCAACATACTCGTTGACTCTCTTTTTCAAATATTCATTAACAGTGCCAATCTTTTCTTTATAGATTAGAAGCGATTCTTCTAATAACTAATTTTCTTCATGTCTTTTTGCTTTTTCTGAGTTGTATAATTTCTTTTTATAATTATATTCCTCTAAATTAATAAAAAATTCATTATACCTTAAGTTAAACTTAAGATTCTCATACTTTAATCTTATAATTCTTTCTTTTTAGTTAAGATATCTGATGCTAATTCTTTATCATTTTATAAGGAATTCAAGAANTTATAATGATAAAAAGTAAAGAAATGCAATTATTATATGGACTATTAAGTTAAGTTTTAAAAAAACTAGATGAATTAGAAAAGTCATAAGAAGCTTTATCATTATCAAAAACTTTTGATTCTTTGTCTTAATTGCATTCATCAAAAGTAGACAAGATTTACACTGCAAATGATAGTTTTCAAGAATGGTTTGATATAATTGAATAACTAAGATAAATGCTTGATAAATATTAAGAGAATAGATTAGTATTTGATCATTATAGACTAAAAGTCGATTAACTTAAAAATTGTAAAGGTTAATAAAGGTTATTAAGAGTAATTCTTTATTATTTAAAATAGAATGAGTAAAAATATAATAATGCAAATACATAGTTTTAAGGAATTTGTGTTCAAATTATTTAGAAAATGGATTAAATTTTGAATAACAAAAGAAATATGTTTAATTAAGCTTATTAAATAGTAATATAAAATGAAACAGAAGTATATCATGAGGCTTTTAAAAAGTTAATAAAACATGAAGATTTTAGATCAAAATTTGGTTTTGATAATTAAAAATAAAAAATCGATATAAATGATCTAAAATAATAATAATAATAATAATAATAGGATGATTTGAATCGTATTGAATGTAAATCAGATGAGAATATCAGTATAAAAGATATACCAGCATTGGGATCAGATTGGAATCCATTTGAGTAAAATAATAAGAGTCCTTATGAAGATTAATTGGCTTAATCTTAGATAGTTTAATCATATTTTTCTTAAGGAGCATAAGAATCAGTGAATCCTTTTGAATCAGGTGAAGTGGCTAGTTTTCCATCTATTTATATGCCAGATTAAAAAATTCAATCTAATTATAAAATAGATTATGAGAAATTTAAACAATCGACGAAGCAACCTTTAGAATGATTATAATTTTAATGTGTGTGTTTTTATCATTATTTTCCCTTTCTATTTTGAACTGGAGCTTAATTGCTAACAACATGTTCTTCGATTAAAGATTCTCCAACATACTCGTTGACTCTCTTTTTCAAATATTCATTAACAGTGCCAATCTTTTCTTTATAGATTAGAAGCGATTCTTCTAATAACTAATTTTCTTCATGTCTTTTTGCTTTTTCTGAGTTGTATAATTTCTTTTTATAATTATATTCCTCTAAATTAATAAAAAATTCATTATACCTTAAGTTAAACTTAAGATTCTCATACTTTAATCTTATAATTCTTTCTTTTTAGTTAAGATATCTGATGCTAATTCTTTATCATTTTATAAGGAATTCAAGAATTTGGCTTTAGCATCATACTCTTATTTTAGAGATTCTTATTCAGCTAATAAATTAGTCTTAAAATCAGCAAAATCATTGGCAGATTGAATTTCTTATTCTTCAAGACTTTTGATAGTTTCTCTTAATTTTTCAATTAATTATTAAATAATTGCTACAACATCTTTTTCTACTAATGAAGCTATTTATTCACCATTACCATGTTATCCTAAATTAATTAGCTACTATTATGGTTTTACTTGTTTATGCAAATGAAGTTTGTTCATCACCTAATTTAACAAAATCTTAGACAGCTTATTCTTCAAATAGATTAGCATATTTGCTTAATTTCTCTGCATAATCTCCAACATGACTCTTCTCTATTAAAGTACTTTATTTGCTTTGAGCATCACTTCTTACCCAATCAAGGACAGAAAGTGCATTCTTGTATTCTCTCAATGTATCAATGAATAAAGCATTAGCTTCACATCTTTATTCAGCTAAGTTTTCAAGCTTAACTTCATTTGCCTTGTATCGTTTGTTATTCCAATTCAAGTAGTCTGTTGTTTATTGGATTTTAAGACTTTAAGTTGAAAGATAAACAATTACTCGACAGCTTCTAAGTCTTATTGAGCTGCTGCTGCACTCTTTGAATTTACATTCACTATTCCAGAGAACTCATTGATGTCTTACAATATGGCTTGTTCGAATCTTTAAAATGTTAGATCAGCTTTATCTTAAGCTTCTACATTTGCTCCTTAAAGATCTTCTAACAATATAAGCACTGATTGGATTGCATCCTAAGAACTCATTACATTTGTTTTAGAACTAAGTAAATTCAAAAAATCTGTATTGATCTTCTTTGGGCTACATAAAACACTCTGACTTAAAAGCAAAATCATTAATACTCCTGATATACCTTTCATTCTTTTTGTTCAATAATTAAAATATTTATTTAAATACCGTTTTTATACATTAATATAATATCATATTTCCTCCTTTTCAAGAGCATCAGACTATCAATTTATATATATTATTGAAGTTCAATTATTTATCAATACAAATTTAATTAAAAAAACATAACTTAATCCATAAAAACCATATTTAATACTATATTTTATGTTTCAGTTTTTAGCGATCATTATCATAAATCCATTTAATAAATTTATTAGGATAGAAAAATACATCTTTATTTCAAGATTACTTTTTGAAATTTAATTAAAATTTGCATCTGATTAGGATTATCTATTTTTTTGATTCATTTATTATGAAGATAAGCATTTATATTAAATTTATGAAATTCTATAATCTATATTATTGAAAAAATAATGTATAGATTAATAAATTAGAATTCACTTATCAATTGAATAACAAGAATAGCCAATAATAATAAAAATAAATTTGATATAATAATTTTAATTAATACACGTAAGATGGTAATTATATCAGCGGCAATATGTGATAAAAATGGAATTCTATATATTGGAAGATAATTCTAAGGAATAACAACAAATGAATTGAAGGAAGTAAAAATTCTTATTAAAGAATTTAGTAAGTTCGTAATTTTCCTAAATTGATTTCACCAACCTAATAGCATACATTTATTGATCACGAGAATTTAAGATATATATATACTCCAATAGATAATATTTATATAGTTCTGATTACCTCAAAAAATAGCAATATAATAGAAGATTTAGAGGTATTAAGAATTATGAAGAATGTCCTCTCTGATATCTGTTAATAAGGTATAATTGATATTTAAATTTAGTTAGTGAAGAATCAATAAAAAAGAATAGTTTTGAAATACTTTTAGCAATAGATGATATAATATCGGCAGGATTGAGAGAGAGTACAACAACAAGTTAAGTATAAACAGCTTTAGAGATGGAAAGCTCTGAAGAGAAGATTCATATGATGTTAACAAAAGCAAGAGTAATTTAAAATATTATTTAAGGAAAATGAAGCTAAAGAATAAGCTAAAAAACACTAGATGGAAATGGAAAGAAAAAGATAAGAAGAATTAGCATAGAAAAAGAGTTAAAAGTAATCTAAAGCTATTGATAATGCATTCAAACTACCGTAGAATGAAGGTATGATTATAATAGAGAATTTAGAAAAGGTAAATCCAGTACCTAAACCTGAAGTGATTAATGAAAATTTAAGTACACAATCCTAAGTCTTATAAAAATCGAATGTAAAATCAGCTCCAAAAAAAGGAATGTAATTAACAAAAAAGAAAGAAGCCACCTCATTTGAATGAATTTAATATTAATAATGCAAATGGCTATATAATTGTATAATAATATATTTTGTAATTTTCAAATATCTAGGAAAAGCTATTTACTTAAATTCTGTCCAAACATGTTATTTTAAAAGTTTAAGCTGAAATCAAACGTTATGTTTGTTAACTAACTAATTTATTATCTGGCTTTAATAGTAATGTATGATCATTTTAATGAATGTAAGGTAAGAATTTAGATATGATTGAAATGTTCTAATATACCTTCAAAAAGGTCATACATCAATATGATTTTGGATCTGTACATCCTAAAAGGTTTTTGGGAATTAAATAATCACAATTATATTTTGGATTATCTCCCCAATCATATTCTGCATGAATCTATTTATAATTCGCTCCTATTATATAGGGTGTATTTGCAAATTTTTAAATAGTAATCTATCTGAGTTCTCTCTTAAAAAAATCATTTTAGTAATTATATTATTTTTAAATCTTTGATATTTATTTTAAACATTTTTCTATTATTTTTCTATATGATTCCTAAAATTGTCTAATACATTCTTTTTTTGCTTTTAACTTAGTAAATCTACAAATTCTCTTATTATTTATCTTGTATTTTGTTAAATATAATTAATATATTTTATATTTTTCATATTTAATTTATTATATAAAATAACTCATTTTAATAACAGCCTTAATTCTAGTTAATTTAGTTAATTTCGCATATAATTTTTAACTTTTTGATTTATATAATCAATATTTGTTAAACCTAGCTTAATATATAAGATAATATCTTGATTTATATATATATCCATATTATTACTTAATTCCTTTTCATTTTAACAAATTGACCTCTAAAAATATTATAAAATTTATGAACTTAATTTTAAATCTCTCTAAAATATTTTGGCTTATCTCTACTATTTATTAAAATATTTTTAAAGATTGTTTCATTAAATAAAGTAAAGACTATTTAAAAAAGGTAATATTTTGTCTAAATTGTTTTGCAACATAACACATTTAAGCAATAAGTGTTGATTCTCTTAATTAAATGACAATATAATTTTTTTTTCGAATTATCTAAAACTTGAAAATCATACATGGCACTAGTTTAGATTAAATATAGATTAAGAAAAAAAAGTGTTTTCAAATCCTATTTCAACCAATAAGTTTGATATATCCTTTTGTATTTGTTAATTATAATATCAATGAATTATTTATGATTATCTCAAATTTTTAATTAATAATATGGCTTATAATTTTTAAATTAATAAGGATATATGTATAACTCTAAAAAAGAAATTTGATCGTAATTAATTACAACAATCAACTAAAATTGGAGTTGTTAGAAATAGTATTTAAAAAAGTATTTTTTAAACATTAAATCTCTTGATTTAAATTTCTTAGTAAATTTATAAATAATCTATTAAAATTTAAATGAACTAAATTTGTGAAATTGATATTTATAAATGAATTTAGTAAAATATTTTAAAAATTGAGAATATTTGAACATCCACTAATTTGTCTGGAGAATGTATCTAATTTATAGTGAACTAATTATATAATTATATAATAATTTTATAAATGTAAAAATATATCAAAGAATGTTAAGCCATTATTATAACAGCTGGTGCAGGTATGGGAGTTGACTCAGGGATTCCAGATTTTAGAGGAAATGAAGGTTTCTGGAAAGTTTATAGAGCTTTTGAAAATAAATTTTCATTTAAAGATTGTGCTAATCCATAATTTATGCTAAAATATCCAAATTTATTTTGGGGATTTTATGGACACCGATTACATATGTATCGAAATAAAATTCCTCATGAAGGATTTTAGATTCTTAAAAAAATTTGCTTTAATAAAAATTACTTTATAGTTACAAGTAATGTGGATGGATAATTTTAGAGATCTGGTTTTGATAGTAATAATATGTATGAAATAAATGGATCTATTCATTAATTTTAATGCACCCTTTGTAATAAATTGTATGATTCAGAGAAGTTCAAAAATTTATCCATAGATTTGGAGAAATTGAGAGCAGCAGATCCATTACCATAATGTGAATGCAATCATTTATTAAGACCTAATATTTTGATGTTTGATGATTAGGATTGGATTTCAACTATATATGAAAGATAATAAAAAAGATTTTAAGAGTTTTTAGAGAAATAAATAAGTAATAAAGTTTGTGTAATTGAGATTGGAGCAGGAATTTCAATACCAAACATTAGAAATTTAGGTCATACAATTCTTGATAAAATAAAATAATCTGTAATGATAAGAATAAATCCAATAGAGAATGAAATTCCAAATGATGATCGATATTTTAGTATAAAAAAAGGTGGATTGGAAGGGATTAAAGAATTAGGAGATTGAATTTAATTAAATTTTAATATATAATTTTATTAATAATTAAATGGCTTATTTTGGAAATAATCCATAGCGTGGAGAATTATAAGAGCTTTATGCAGATTTAAATGATTTAAATTTTGAAAAGAAGAAAGAAGTAAATATTATTGTAAATATTATAGGCTGTAAAGAAAGTGATTGCTTATATGACAGTGGGTAAAGATGTATCAGAGTTATTTCAATCAGTAATAAAGTGTTTAGAATTTAATGACATAGAAATGAAAAAGCTAGTAAGATTGTATGATTATTCTATAGATTTATTTATACATTGTTAATTATTCAAGATAAAAGCCTGATGATGCCATAATGGTGATATAAAATTTTCGAAAAGATGTGAGAAAATCAGAAAATCCTTTAGTAAGAGCACTTGCAATAAGAACATTTGGATGTTTGAGAGTACCAAAACTTAATGAATATTTAATTGAGCCTTTAAAAGATTGCATATAAGATGATGATCCATATGTACGTAAAACTGCTGTTTTATGTGTTCCAAAAGTATACATAAACTTGATCAAAATAGGTATTTGAAGTGTCACCAGATATATGTCCTGCATTATTGGAATAATTGTAAAAATTGTTAGAGAAAGAATCAAATGCTTTAGTTTTGGCTAATTTGATTTAATCAATGAGAGAAATTGAAGTTGTTAGTGGTAAACAACTTATAAATTTGAATCAAAAGATCATTTAAAAATTATTATTAGCTGTTGATGAATGTATAGAATGGGGCTAAATATTTATTTTGGATTATTTAGCTACTCATAATCCTTAAGATTCTAAATAAGCTGAAATAATAATTGAAAGAACACTTCCAAGACTTAGTCATATTAATCCAACAGTTACTTTCTGTGCTGTCAAAGTAATACTCAAATATTTGGATTTTCTTGATAATGGAGAACTAGTTAAAAATTTATGTAAGAAAGTAGCACCTTCTTTAATTTCTTTATTATCTTGGAATCAACCTGAAGTTTAATATACTATTTTAAGAAACATTTCTTTAATTTTATAAAAGTTTCCAATCTTATTTGAAAATGAAGTTAAAGTCTTCTTTTGTTCATTTAATGAACCCTATTATATTAAATATGAAAAATTAGATATTATGGTTAGAATTTGTGATTCTAAAAACTTTGGACAAGTTCTTAATGAACTTCTTATTTATTTAAATGAGGCTGATCCTCATTTTGTAAGAAAGACTATTAAATCAATTGGAAAAATTGCAATTACTTATGACAAAGCATTAGAAAAGTAATATAATTATTCAAAATAATAGAGCTGTATCTATTTTAGTAGAATTTGCTAAAAATGTTTAATAACCAACAGAACCTGTTTAAGAATTACTAATGTAGATGCAACTTATTTATAAAAAGAGTAAATAAATGTATAAATATGATGAGAGCTTAAAAATAATATATTCTATAGTTGATTATGCTAATGAACCAGAATCAAAAGTACTTTATTTATTATTTATAAAATAGAGTGCATGTGCCTGGATTTTAGGAGAATTCGGAGAATACATTCCAAAATCAGTTGAAAAAATGAAAGAATATATAGATAATTTTTAAATGGAAGATAGATTAGTTTAACTTTAATTACTCACCTCAGCAGTTTAATTATATCTTAAATATCCATCATAATGTGCTACTATTATATAATAATTGATTACTTCTGCTAAAGATTCATTCAATCCAGATGTTAGAGATAGAACTTACATATATTGGAGATTATTATCAACAGATCCTGAAGTTGTTAAGAATTTAGTATGTTTTAATAGTGGAGTTGTATCAAACTTTTCAAAGGATCTACGTTTATGGGAAACATAAGATTTAGTTTTAGCTTTGGAAAATATGGGTAGTATAAGCAATCTATTTCATAAACTACCACATCAACTTTATAAGAACATTAAAATTAAAATTAAGTAATTTTGTTATTCTAATTCTCAAGCAATTAACATGATGTCAAAATTTATAAAGGAGAAGAAAAACCAGATACTTAACCTTAACCTTAAGCTTAAAATTAATAAGATGGAAGTAACCAAAATAACAAAAAAGATTAATAATAACAGTAAGATATTGATCTTTTAAGTTTTGATGAACCTCCTTCTAATATTAATATTAATAATAATAATAATAATAAGACAGATGTATTTGAGCTTATTTGAACATCTATTAATATAAATTTACCATTTATAAAAACTGATTATAAATTCTTTTATCTCTGTTTTTTGATATTAATAATCAATAATAAATATTAAAAAACACATCAATTCTATTCCTATTCTACCATCAAACTATCAACATTGAATTTCTATTAAAGTTCTAATTATATTGTATTTGCTTAACTTGTCAATCTATCTACTTCCTATTGAATTTAATCAGCTTCCTCATATTGCTCTTTCTTAAATTAATACAATCAATTACTTAAGCATAATCTTACACTTATTCTTCTAATTACTTTATCTATTATTAAAGTTCATAATAATGATACTTCTGCCCTTCTATGTAACTTTATTTTTATTCTTCACTCATTTCAACTACAATTTCTTATTCTTATATTTATTCGTTTTAATTTGAGTTAATAACTTATTCAATTTGTTCTTCATGATTATTTTATTCTTATGATTATTCTTATTCATTTTCAATAAATTAATTATTAACTTCTTCTTAATGATCTTAAATCTAATCTAAATTATCTGTAGATACTTTCCTATTTGCATAAATCAAATCCTAATATTTATTAAATAATTGACCTAATTCATTCTTAATCTAAAATTTAATAAATATATGAAAATACATCTTATGTTAATTGAGATAATCCAAAGTAATCTATTTGTTGAATCTCTTGTAATTTCAATTCTAATACAAAATATCTACATATTTCTGTATTCTATTATAATTGTTAATATTGATGTTGTCTAGTCAAAAAAGAGTCTTCTATTTTATCTATATCTTTTATAATTTAAGTTTCTATATTTTAATTTTCTGAAATCTTCTCTTCATATAAAGTAATTTGTCTCTATACTTCTTTTATTTATTCATTAATTTAAGCAGCACCTTTAAAGTTTTTATTTTATACTAGTAAAGCTTTATCATCAATCATTTTAGGTAATTATTTTTATAACTCACTTTTTTTATTTAGAATTTCATGTAATTATGTTTATCCCATATTCCTCTTATAATTCAATTCATCAATTTACCTTTAAACTTATGCTAATTCTTTTAATGCTTCTAGGCTAGCTTTCTTAGCCTCTTAATATTTAAAAGTTACATCCAATTCTTATTGACATTATTCAGGTACTAAATTTGCTTTTTTAATAAGTTCATTTCTTTTATATTTTATAGCTTCTAACTATTATGCTAAAAATTATAGTTTATTCTTATATTCATTTTATTTTCTAAGACTATCTCCTTCAAGTGTCTCAATCTAAGCTCTTTCAGTAGCTAAACTACTTAGTTCATCATTAAGTTTTGTCCTCTTATTTTAGACTTTACCAAGTTGAAGATTAAATTTTTATTAGACTGATTAGATTTTTTCTTTCGTTGAAAGTAAATCAATATTTACTTTTTATAATTCATTTTTTTTTTGATTTAATAACTATTACAATTCAGCAATTTCGGATTCTAAATTTGATTTCTTACTAATTAATTAATCTTATTCTATTCTATATTCTTTAGTTTGATTATCCATTATTTAATTTAGATGTTATTCTTCTTCATCTAAATGTTTACTGTCAATTTCAGTATGTATTTATTAGATTTTAACTCTCTCATTTTCTTCTTCTATATGCTACTATAATTTCTTAATTTAATTTTACCCTTCAAACCTATATTAATCACTATACTTGATATGTAATCGTTCAATTTCTTCAAGTTTTTATTCGGTTTCTTAATAGAAAGGATATTCTTCTCCTCTTATATTTTCTTTTTCATCCTACAATTTAGTATACTATTATTCTTCTTATTTAATTAGATTATCTATTTGTGTAATTCTTTCTTAAATTTATTTTAAAGATTATTCTATTTCCTCAGCTCTTTCAAACTATTCCTATTGTACACAAACCTACTATTCTATAGAGAGTTGAGTAAGATGACTATTACAATCTTATAATTGTTATTAATAAGACGTAATGCGTTTTTCTATTTCTTATTGAGAAATATAAATTTGAGCCTTCTTTTAATTAACTTCACTCTAAAAGTATTCCAACTCTTCCATTATCATTTAATGTTATTTCACATAAGAATTATCAAGTTGAGAATTAATTTAATTCTAATTGATTTAATTTTTATTCATTAAACTATTCTTTAGTGGTGAAGTAGATTAAAGCAATTTTGATTCTTGTTAATATTATTTTTATTATTGATATTATAATTATTATTAGTATTACTATTATTGTTATAATTATTATTATTATAATTAATATTATTATTCAATTTCTTTTTCATTATAATCAATTTATTATTAAAGTTATTTATTTGAATCATCATAAGTACTCTACTCTTTAAGTTAAATAGGTGAGTTATTTTATAATTAAGATTACTACTCATGATTGTAATCCTATTATTTATTGACTTCTTGAACTTGATTTTATTTAACTTGAATTCCATAAATAATTTAACTTTCCACTTATTCTTATAAAGATTCATCTGTATGAATTGGTTGTTCAGGTTATTTTTTTTTTAAGAAACCAAAGCCTGTTGGTTTTTTTTTGACCTCTTCAACATTTATTTTAACTTCTATTTTTTGCTCGAGATTTGATTCATCTTATGGAGTAGGTGTTTCCACTTAATTATATTATTACTTATAAGCATCACTTTCTGGGGATATAATATCTGAATTGGATTAAGTTTAAACTAATTAAGTTTACTATGTTTGAGGCAAGGGTTGTTATTATTGGATTTCTTAGGTTTAAAGAGGCTGTGCTTTTACCTTAAGACTTCCTTTAAACATTGATCCTTTTGTAGCTGGTTATTGAGTAGGAGCATTAGGAGGCTATTATTGAATTTATTATTGTTATTGAATAGGTAATGGTGGAGGGGCTGTTTATTATTAGGTCTGTTCTTTCTTTTTAAACATATTGAACATTTAATTATTAATATTGCAATATTTAATAATTAAAGTGACAAATAGGATACTTAAACCATAATCATAACTCAACTAAATACTTAGATCTAAAGAATTCAAATAAGTAAGGAACAATAAAAAAGAATAGCGCTGTAATTATTATAAATTAAAATCATTGGATTCATTGAGTAAACAATATGAGTTTAGAGATCTGCATCTATGATCTTTGGGAACATAAATTAGAGATATATATTATATTATTTCTATTAATTAGATTCAATAATAAGCATTAAATATTTCAAAAATTATTGGAAATTAAAATTATCAAAAAAGAACAAGTTTAGAACCTCAATATCGAAAATGACTTATTTATATTCTGATAAATACAATAAATATTTTTTAGCTTGTAATAAATGGAATATTAATAATCATTTTATATTTATTAATAGTTGGAACCTCAATATTATGATAATGGAGAGAATATCAATAGTATATTAATAAAATTGAATGGAAAAAACAATTAAAAATTGCGATTTTATTTAATATAGTTTCTGAGTGAATGAAAATTAGAACTAAAAACAGGAAGCCTATAGAAATTTTGATTATGCTGAGAGACTTTGTTAAATAAGATATGTGATAAGTAAGATAATTATGATTTCAGAGGAGATTAATTAGCTCAAGTTAAATTCATTNGGTGAGTTATTTTATAATTAAGATTACTACTCATGATTGTAATCCTATTATTTATTGACTTCTTGAACTTGATTTTATTTAACTTGAATTCCATAAATAATTTAACTTTCCACTTATTCTTATAAAGATTCATCTGTATGAATTGGTTGTTCAGGTTATTTTTTTTTTAAGAAACCAAAGCCTGTTGGTTTTTTTTTGACCTCTTCAACATTTATTTTAACTTCTATTTTTTGCTCGAGATTTGATTCATCTTATGGAGTAGGTGTTTCCACTTAATTATATTATTACTTATAAGCATCACTTTCTGGGGATATAATATCTGAATTGGATTAAGTTTAAACTAATTAAGTTTACTATGTTTGAGGCAAGGGTTGTTATTATTGGATTTCTTAGGTTTAAAGAGGCTGTGCTTTTACCTTAAGACTTCCTTTAAACATTGATCCTTTTGTAGCTGGTTATTGAGTAGGAGCATTAGGAGGCTATTATTGAATTTATTATTGTTATTGAATAGGTAATGGTGGAGGGGCTGTTTATTATTAGGTCTGTTCTTTCTTTTTAAACATATTGAACATTTAATTATTAATATTGCAATATTTAATAATTAAAGTGACAAATAGGATACTTAAACCATAATCATAACTCAACTAAATACTTAGATCTAAAGAATTCAAATAAGTAAGGAACAATAAAAAAGAATAGCGCTGTAATTATTATAAATTAAAATCATTGGATTCATTGAGTAAACAATATGAGTTTAGAGATCTGCATCTATGATCTTTGGGAACATAAATTAGAGATATATATTATATTATTTCTATTAATTAGATTCAATAATAAGCATTAAATATTTCAAAAATTATTGGAAATTAAAATTATCAAAAAAGAACAAGTTTAGAACCTCAATATCGAAAATGACTTATTTATATTCTGATAAATACAATAAATATTTTTTAGCTTGTAATAAATGGAATATTAATAATCATTTTATATTTATTAATAGTTGGAACCTCAATATTATGATAATGGAGAGAATATCAATAGTATATTAATAAAATTGAATGGAAAAAACAATTAAAAATTGCGATTTTATTTAATATAGTTTCTGAGTGAATGAAAATTAGAACTAAAAACAGGAAGCCTATAGAAATTTTGATTATGCTGAGAGACTTTGTTAAATAAGATATGTGATAAGTAAGATAATTATGATTTCAGAGGAGATTAATTAGCTCAAGTTAAATTCATTAATCTTTAAAAAAATATAAAAAGCAAATAAAATTTTTTATAAGTAGTACTAAAAGATCCTATTTTTATCGACGTGCTAAAAGTATATGCTATTATGATATTTATCTATGATTTATGAAAGGATATTTAGACATTGGTACTTACTGTCTCTCTATAAGATAAATTCTAGAGTACAGTAGTTTGTAATTTTAAAGATTATCATTGAGACAAAGCATTTTTTGAAAATGAAACAAAATTATTTGCTACTATTATAAGAAATTAATATTGGAACTTAGGTATTTTACCTTCTGGTATCATTATTTTATTTTTGTCAAAATTATTTGTGAAACTATAATAGTAAAACCTTGAGTTCACTTTTTAATGAAACTTTAGGTTTAATTTGAGGAGGGATAAATAACTGAAAAACCTATTTTACATCAAAAAGATAATTTCATAAAAATAGAAGATTTAGAAAATTAAAGCTATAAATCTAGTTGACCACCCTCATTTATTATTTTCTTTTTATTTTTACTTTAGAGTGGGGGGAATTAATAACATATTGACCATATATTAAACTCTCTCGGTATGCTCTATGTCTTATAACTTTCTTTTATCAGGACTTCTTATGTATAAAAAAATAAATAGATGAAGTTTGACGACTTTTTATTTATATCATTTATAATATAATAATACAATATATTAATCAATTAAATTATGAATTTTCTGTTTTCAAATGATGATGATGATGGAAACTTTGATTCATTTATTACATAAAATTTGAAACCTGAACCTGCTAAAGAAAAACATTCAAACAAAAAATTATAGAAAGAATTCAAACCTATTGAAATCAAAAGCCAATTTCAATTTATTTCTACTCCAAAATTAAAAACTAATTCAGGTCAATATAAAACATCTCTATGGGATATCATGTTGTAACACTTAAACTATCTTAATCAAGTTGATAATTTTCAATAATAAAGATCTATACTTCCTTATCCTTTGAACTCATTTTTTCTGTCCAAAATTTAAGAATACAGAAATAAAAAAATTGAAGCAATCATATGTGAAATACATGAGATTGAAGAATTCGGAGATACAACTCAAATTACTTTGAAAGATCAAAGTGGTTCTTGCAAAGCTTCAATCCTTTCTGATTTATTCACTGATGAAGTAGATGATCTCAAACCCAGAATTCATAATCCTGTCTAAAAAATCCAAAAAAAAGAAGATATCTTGGTGTATCTAGAAAATGTAACAGTCTTTTCTCCAAACGAATTCTAGATTACTATAATTATTAATAGAGCCAACTTAAAATTAGCAATTTTCTGATTATTTAATTTATTAACTGAATGGACTCTCTTTTTGAAACCAACCTTCCCTTTAGTGCTATTCCTATTCAATAATATCCGATAAATCAATTAACTCACTACTCTAGAAACTAATCTCTTCAAAAATCTGATTTTTCACCTTAATATATGCTTTTAGATTTAGGAGAGATGTGCAATGTAAGATATCTCCTCATTGAAAATCTTAAATATGGATGTGAAATCTCAGTTTAAGTTAGTGAATTTAAAAATGGTCCTTTTATTTCTGTCCATAATAAATAATTCTTTCCTCAGCATAAATTAAGAAGAATTAAATTATCAGCACTCCCATGTAAATTTATTAGAATCATAATCCATAAAGGAGTACATATTTAAACAAATCAAATCAAACTAATTGGTTCTACAAATGAAAGATTAGCAGAAGAAGGATATTTTAATGACTTTAAATTATTAGTCACTAATCCATCTAGAATTATGTATTGATTATTCAAAATTCGTATTTATTATCATATTCCTTTTATTATTTTATTTTCTTTAGCCAAACTACTTCTTTTTCATTTCTTTAGTACTCAATCAATAAAAAATTAAGTAAAACTTTAAACCATATAAAAAAAATTATAATACAAAAATAACTTCTTATGAATCTTTAGATATGACCATTTTTTCTAGTTTCTCAAAATAATAATTCTAAAAACAAAATTTGAAAATAAATTAAATTCTGGTTTCTTTTTTTTCTCCTTAAATTAATAATATGATTAATTCAAAGATTGATTTTTTCTCAATTAAATGTCATTTAAACTAATATTATGTATTTATCAAATTTATTTTCTTAAGTGTGAAGTTTAGTGTTCTATAGTCTATATACTTATTGTATAATAGAAAAAGTAAAAAATTTGAATAATTCTCTATTATTTTTTAGATATTTTATATATGAATTATAAAATGGGATTAGAGATAGATTAAATAAAGAATCAAACAATGAAAGTCATTTATTCAAAAGTTCTTGGAACTTTGAAAAACTCTCACTAACTTCTATCTGAATACTTTCTTTATAAATGAGAATTTAATTTTAATAAGAATTATTCAAAAAAGAGTATAGATAAAAACTAAAAGAACATAAAAAATGAAACATAAATATTTTAGTATTAATCGAAAAATAATAAACTAAAATTGAATAACATTGTTTAATTTAATTTTTATTAGAAATATTTATAAAATACACTAAATTGGTTGCTTATTATTGAAATAGATAGAAATAGTTTTGAATATCTTTATAAGATTTATAATAAATATATATAATTGTTTACAAAATCACAATCCGTGATTGGTTTTGTTCTACATGAATGACAATTAAAGTTCTAAATTGCTAAGAGCAATAGATCTTTAATATTCGGATGACATAAATTCACATTATTATCTGTGATACTTTGTTGTATGATAACAATTTTATTGCTGGAAATATTGAGTAGCAAAGAGATGAAACTAAGATAATCATTAATATTAATACTCTTATTTCAAATGATTTGTCTGATAAGTTTGAATCATTTAAAAGGAAATGTTCATAATAATGCTCATCTTTTGTTAACATGAAAAGGGTCATTGCACATTTTTTTTATATTTCTGAGAAATTTTTCTTTTCAATTTGATTATATATCTCTGCAAGTTCAGCATGATCTAAGGTAGATTGTGCATATTTGCAAAGTCCTTCAAGGTATTGATCACTTAAAGTTCCTTTAAAACATTTAACAATCTTTAATAGAAAACAAAAATATACATCTAAATATTTTTTAAGGTATTCAATATTTTCAGAATCAAATTACCATATTTCATAAAAGTGATTGGCAGCTTTTTCTAAAATATTTGATCTTAATGAAGNAAAAAAAATTATAATACAAAAATAACTTCTTATGAATCTTTAGATATGACCATTTTTTCTAGTTTCTCAAAATAATAATTCTAAAAACAAAATTTGAAAATAAATTAAATTCTGGTTTCTTTTTTTTCTCCTTAAATTAATAATATGATTAATTCAAAGATTGATTTTTTCTCAATTAAATGTCATTTAAACTAATATTATGTATTTATCAAATTTATTTTCTTAAGTGTGAAGTTTAGTGTTCTATAGTCTATATACTTATTGTATAATAGAAAAAGTAAAAAATTTGAATAATTCTCTATTATTTTTTAGATATTTTATATATGAATTATAAAATGGGATTAGAGATAGATTAAATAAAGAATCAAACAATGAAAGTCATTTATTCAAAAGTTCTTGGAACTTTGAAAAACTCTCACTAACTTCTATCTGAATACTTTCTTTATAAATGAGAATTTAATTTTAATAAGAATTATTCAAAAAAGAGTATAGATAAAAACTAAAAGAACATAAAAAATGAAACATAAATATTTTAGTATTAATCGAAAAATAATAAACTAAAATTGAATAACATTGTTTAATTTAATTTTTATTAGAAATATTTATAAAATACACTAAATTGGTTGCTTATTATTGAAATAGATAGAAATAGTTTTGAATATCTTTATAAGATTTATAATAAATATATATAATTGTTTACAAAATCACAATCCGTGATTGGTTTTGTTCTACATGAATGACAATTAAAGTTCTAAATTGCTAAGAGCAATAGATCTTTAATATTCGGATGACATAAATTCACATTATTATCTGTGATACTTTGTTGTATGATAACAATTTTATTGCTGGAAATATTGAGTAGCAAAGAGATGAAACTAAGATAATCATTAATATTAATACTCTTATTTCAAATGATTTGTCTGATAAGTTTGAATCATTTAAAAGGAAATGTTCATAATAATGCTCATCTTTTGTTAACATGAAAAGGGTCATTGCACATTTTTTTTATATTTCTGAGAAATTTTTCTTTTCAATTTGATTATATATCTCTGCAAGTTCAGCATGATCTAAGGTAGATTGTGCATATTTGCAAAGTCCTTCAAGGTATTGATCACTTAAAGTTCCTTTAAAACATTTAACAATCTTTAATAGAAAACAAAAATATACATCTAAATATTTTTTAAGGTATTCAATATTTTCAGAATCAAATTACCATATTTCATAAAAGTGATTGGCAGCTTTTTCTAAAATATTTGATCTTAATGAAGAATATTTTATTTAATTTCTATTATTTTACTTTTTCATTACTAAAAATTAAACATCAATATCATACTTGAGTTGATTAGTCTGAATTACTAATCTAAAAGTTCTATCGATTATTCCATTGTTTGGAAGTATTCTACTTATGATTCTGATTTGAGACTTTGACACTTTAATTCTAATTTTTTTAGAATTTCATTATTTTTTTTGACTTGTATTTCTTGTGAGTGAATTTCATTGAGACACTAATTTTTATTTAGAGAGGAAGCCAAGAATGAAGTTTATCGAAGCAGTGTCTCTTTGTAAGTAATTAGCTTCGATAACATATTCTTCACACTTAGTATTTAAACAAACTTAACCATTATTATATGATTGTAATTCAATTAATTTTAAAAAATAAATATATGAGATTGCTTGAATGTAAATTTTCCCCTTTAAATATATTAATAATTCATAATTAATTGTTCATATCATTGTTAAAATGATGTATTTATTAATTATTTCTGATAAATGAAAAAAATATAAATTATTCTATAAATAAGAATTACTTATTAGATGACAAAATAATTATTTTTCTAAATTAATGTTTTGCATATGTGGTCCAAGAGAAACTGGCAATAATGAAAAGAGTCAATAAAGTGTGAACTAATAAATAGCAACTAGCCTTTAAGCAAATATGAGGAGGAAATCAATGAAGCCATGTATAAATTAGGATTAATATGTAAATATAGAAGATAGTATAAATTAATGTAATTTATTGTTAAGAAGTAGATTTCAGATAAAAAAGTGATTAATAAATGGATTTTAAGGAATATACAGATTTTATCAATGATTATTTTCAGGGAAATAACTAACAGTCATAAAACTAATTGGAAAATAATACTGAACTATCAGCGATTAAATTTGAAGTAAGCATAAGTGTAATTTAGGAAACAAAGACAAATACTGATCGAATGAGATTATTACATCTTGGAGATGGGTTGTTAGCTAGAATAATTAGCATCAATTAAACTAATACGTCATCATACAAAGATTCATTTTCACCATTTATAATTAAAGTTTTGTAAGAAACAAAGAGATTTTATGATGTAAAACAATTATATAAATCTTAGATTAATCCTATTTATGAAGTCTAATTTGTAAAGCAATTAATACCACATTTTATAACAGAACAAACTTACTAAAGAGTAAAGAATGATAAATTACTAATTGCTCATGATCCAACAGGGAGTTTCTTAATTAAGCACGCACTTTCAAGTTAAGAAGTCTATTACATATAAGAATCAAAAACGTATCGAAATATATTAAATAATGCTTTAAATATTTTAAAATTAAAAGATAAAGTAAATTACATATTTAAATCAGATATCACTGAAAAATTAGATACAGTTTTACTAAGTAATTCTGTTAATAATTTTTAGATTTATTTCACATTTAAGATACACCTATATCTTTTGTTATTCAAGAATACTTAACTTTAGCTCATGATATGATAATCATATTATCTCCGAAAATTGATTATCATGAAATGGTATCTTAATTGCGTTAAGGAATTAAATAAAGGTATAAAATTCACTTAAACTTTAAGCTTTCAATCTAGATTATATTGTAGTATTGAACTATAAAATGTTTATAATGGAACTCAACTACTGGCTAGAATAGTTTATTATGGAGAAATATCATAAATTACTTAAAATCAATAACTAAGTTACTTGTATGAATGTATATCAAAAAATATGAAAAAGACTTATAAATATAAAAAATTTATAAAAGATCTAAAAAATTAAGTTGGAATAATGAAATTAGTAGATTTATTTGCTCTTTATGGTTTACTTAACAATTAATCTGAAGAATATTTTACTCGATTTTATATATAAATGAAATCAATTTACTTTTAGAACTTCAAATCTTCTATTTATAAATTTTAGAAAGATTAAAGTAATAAATCAGAGACAGAATCAGAAAATGAAGATCCTGTACCTTTAGTGTAATATGGAAGTTCTATTATGTTTTAAGAAATCAAACCATATAGTAAGAGTTTTTCCACTAATGATAATAAATCTGAGTATGTCCATTTTTATTCTTAAAATAACTAAAATAATAATAATAAGTATACAGAAGAATAAAAAGTAGAATTATTGGAATCTAGCATCTACAAATGATTATATCTTTTTGTATATATTTAAATTCTTTTTCAGAAATGAGAAATTCGTAATAATAATATAAACAAAATCATGGATTAAGCTGGTTTAAGAGCAGTGATACTAGGTGCATCAGGAGCTGTCGGAAGGGTAAAATATTATATAATTCTTTAGGATTTAGTTACTGAATTAACCAATTCTCCAAAATGGACTGAAGTAGCAGTAATAGTTCGTAGGAAATTAGAACAATGGGATACACTTCCTAGTAATTATATGAAAATAAAAAAAAGATAAGAATAAACTTAGAATAATTCAAGTTGACAACTTAGACTCTCTTGAAAAAACTGATGAATGGAAAAGATTTGCTAATTTTAATACTTTTTTTTGTGTTCTTGGATCAAGAGTAAAAGAAGGAGATGCTCAATTTACTAAAGTAGATCTTACTTATCCAATATATGGTGGTAATATAGCTAAGGCTAATGGTAATCATATTTAATTTTAAGATTTATAGCGATTCCTCATTATTCTTTATTAACTTCAATAGGAGCAGATAAAGGATCTATGTTTCTATATACTAGAGTTAAAGGACTTGTTGAAGAAGCTTTAACAAAACAATAAATTCCGTATCTTACAATCCACAGAGCAGGAGCTATCTTGAATAGAGTTAATGATGAAAGAATTGGAGAAACTATTCTTAAATATATACCATTTCTTGACAAAATTGAATGCAAGGATTTAGCTAAGGCTCTTAGAGTAGATGCTGAAAAAGCTTATTAGGATTTATAAAATCCAAATTAATTAGATTTTACTGTTAGAATAAACACAAATAAGATGCTTTTAGACTTTTCAAAATAATGAATTTGTATATATTGTAATGAAATTAAAAATATAATGATCTTTTTTCAATTTAAGTATACTATCATTTTTTAAGGGAAAATAGTTTGCCAATAAAACCTGTATTACTATTAAAGTAATACATTCCTGCCATAAGTAATAATAAGATAAACATCTAAGATAAAATGAATTTATACTTGCATCCAGAATTCAGATGAAAAGAGCGTTTTCTTTAAGAAAGAGGATTGCTATTATGATTTAACAGGTTGAGGATTTTATTTTAGATATTCTTCTCTTTGTTTTTCTTCTTGTTCTCTTTTCTTTTTGAAATAATCATTCATAGCATATTCAAAAACCTTATTTATATTGGTTAATACTTCAAAGTTGAATTTGCCTTATCCAAAGAGTTCAGTGACTTATTCCCTGCATAATCGAATGAATCTTCTGATATATTTTTTATCAGCAAAATTAATTTAATATTTTTGAGTTAATTCTTTGAGTTATTCATCATTATCGTAGTCAATAAAATCTAAATTAATAAAGAATGACATAGTTTAGACTGTTTCTAATAATCTTTAAAGCTCTGATTTAGCTATTTTAACTTAATCATATTTCTTTTATTCCTATAGAAAATTAATATAAAATGATACTGCATAGAATTCAATGATTCTGTAATACTTATTGACCATTTCTTTAACAATTTCATATTCTTAATGTTCCTATGTTAATTATGGCATGCAAAGTCGATATAAGAATTATTTATCTGTTTCACTTTATTATTGAATATTATCCTCTGAATCAACAATATCTGTTACACCTTCTTCATAAGGAACTTTGCCGTCTTCAATCATTTCTTATTCAATTTCATCAATTTCTTTGGCTCTCTAAAATACAGGATCAATTAAATCTATCACCCATTATTTCTTTTTTTTGACAGCCTCCATAACTTTATGAGCATGTTCAATATAAATTTATTTGGCATTTTCCAAACCCATTAATTTAAGAATTCCTGGACCTTATTTGAAGATATTTTCAACATTAGATAAATTGATAGCTTTTTCAATATAATCTTTTGCTCTTATTAAATCTTTATATGTTGACCATTTATCATAAAGTATAGCTTATGAATATCTGAATAGATATTAGGAATTCTCTTTTTAAATTAAACCGGCATCATCTAAGATCTTTCTAGCTAAATCAAAATGGGACATTTTCATGTAACATACAGACATGTTTAAGTAGAGACCATACATAATAGAATTGCACATTTCTTTATCTGCTTCATCCTTAATTGATTTTTATTAAATTTAATACTTGAATATGTTCAACACCTCTATATTTAACATTTTCATCTGTATATATGGTCATTAATGATTTATATTGTTTTTTAAATTCTTTTTATTCTTTTCTATATTATTTCGCTGATTTCTTCATCTCTTCAAGTTCTTTCTTTTCTTTATCAGTTAAATTTGTTATGTCTTATGTTGTTTCTTCTTCTTCGCTATCTTATTCAGGTGGTTCAACAACTTCTAAATATCTGAAACATCCAAGAGCTCTCTCATAATAACGAATTGCCTCTTCATATTCTTATTTTTATAATAATTTATTGCCTTTGTTAATAAATATAAATTACCCTTTTCTCTAAACTTATCATAAACAAAAAATCTTTAAGCAACTTCACATTATCTTAACTTTTTCGTATTTTCATCATCATGAAATAAAGTGCTCTTCAAATATATAGGATATGAATCAAATATTTTTCTTCTGTCTTTGATTGGACCTATATAGACAATTGTTATGAACTCTTACCTTTTTTAACTTCTTTAGAATCAAAAGCAAGCATCCATAATCCTCTTGTATCTAGAAGATAATTGAGAGGACTGATGTAATAAGTGTCATATTATTCTTCAAGATGAGCAAGAGGCGGATTTCTTTTTTTTTCACTTGACATAAAAGGACATCCACCTTTAGGTTGTTTTTCCTTCTTTTCTTTTTTCTTCTCAGCACTTCCATCAGTTATTTTTATTTCAGGTTATTGCTACATCTATTAGAATGGACATTTTGATTTATCTGTATATTTTTCATGACCTTTTGGAGGTTTTATTGCATCAGAAAAAGGACAAGTACCAATTTCAATATCTTTTTTTTAAGAACCTTGATTACCTTACATTCAATTCAAATATTTAATTATGTATTTAAAAAGAGGGAGTTCTTGAATTAAATAAAAATATTTATTCATTGATCCATGTCGATCATTTTTAAAACTGTCCTAACATGTTCATTATCATCATTATTTTATTTTTCATCTACTACTGAATTTGATTTCTTTCTCATTAAATCTTTCAAATCTTTTAATTCATCTGAATCTAATTTATTATATATTTATTGATATTACCTGTTCTTTCCTAAATTGAAATTAACGTAGTCTAGTAATTTTACCCTTTAATATTTTATTTTCCTTCATCTGAGTCCTGATCATATTAAAAACTATTCTATAAGTTATGTCCCAACCAATGTTAATCACTACTACATAACTTTTAGTAACTGGCAATACTACTACCATTTCGTTAAGATGTTAATAAACTTTAATCTCTCACTTTAAATGTGTTTTAAACTATTCTGTTTCGTGGAACTATTTTAAAAACTCTAAATTATGATAATTAATCTATCTATCTATTATTATTATTTTATTATGTACCTTTTTTCTTAATTATTATGATAAAATGAACAGTCAGTTTTAGAACAATTTTAATTAATACATTATTTTGTTCTAAATAACATTGGATGATATTCTAATTCCTTCCACCCATGGCATTTTCCACAATTAAAGCCATCCTAGCATCCATTATAGTATTCTAAAATGTATTCAGCTGTGTTCCAACTTGGACATGGAATTGGATTATACTGATAAATTTAAGGTTTCCTTCTAAAGTCTTACCAATTGTGAGCATAAACACAAAGTGCCTTATCGTGTTATGTAAGATTGAATGGACACCAAACTGTTTTATAATAGAACATAAAGAAATCATCATCATATTCTAGGTTATGGATTAATTCTATAACAATGTCTGTTTCAGAATGTGCGAAAGAGCAAAATTTTCCATAATCACACTAAGAAATATTATGAGGATAATAGGAACAGAATTTTGTCTTGTAATTATCAGCCCTATAAAGTTACTCTACTCTATTATGGGCTTTATTGCAATTATCTGCATATGGACATTGTTGATTATTTTCTATGTATGCACATAATTCAGCTGAGTATTAAACATTTATTCTATTTTAATAATAATTTATATACCTTTTTCGATCTTTATTATTATGATAAAATGGACAATGTTTATGGCTGTGATTTCCTGGAATTTTGCAGGGTTAGATTTTAAAAAAATTGAGATCCAAATGTTCTACTTAATAACCTGATTAAATTGGTTATGAAAAATTCAAATTGTAATGAGTCACATCAGTTGTATCTACTATATTAACATTCAAATACCTGTATCACTTAATTTTGCATTTCTTTCTGATTTTTGAGTACTGTTCATGCTCAACATTCCTTTTGGGACTTGCGGCATTTGAAGCTATTGTGAACGACAATTTCGGTTATTGCTTTACTTATCTCCATTATTGTATCTCTTTAAAGCTTTTCGTAATTAGTCTTATGGATTATGCATTATTTATTTATTAATTTTTTAATGACGAATTCTAATATTTATATTAAATTAATGAAACGAAACATTTTTCAACGATGATTCAATAAAATTATTTTAGATTAGTATTACTCAGATTCTCATAGTATTTATTAACTATTTTGACTAATTTTTGAATATTTTTTATATTTAGATCAGAAGAATTAATTTAGAGTATTAATTTTAATCTGATAAGTACTTGTTCAAATTAAGTTTATAAAGAGGTGGTTATATAAAGGATGAGGATTCTTATGGAATAATAATAATGAAATTAATGGGAAAGAATTTAAATTGATTAAAAATGTCTCACATGAATATTTATATAGCAGTTAAGAATTGAGTATATAATTTCATTAATTTCAAATTCAAATTTAATAAAAGATGAAGAAATGCTTAAGAGAAGAGGCAATGCCTTTAATTTTTTACTAATAGGAAACATAAAGTAAAATATAGTATACTACAAAAAGCTTACCAAGTAAATCCTGAAGCGATAGAGATTATAAAAAGCATTCCAGCTCCGATTGGGATAGTAGGTGTAGCTGGAATGTATAGAACAGGAAAATCATATCTGTTGAATAGAATGTTACTAAACAGATCAGATGGATTTGGAGTAGGTCCAACTGTATTACCATGTACAAAAGGGTTATGGATGTGGGGTAAACCATTACTTGGATAAACAAGTGATGGAGAAAGCTGTTCAATATTAGTTGTTGATAGTGAAGGACTTGGTGCTCCTGATGAAGATTCTACACATGATATCAGAATATTTTCATTAACCATTCTTTTAACTTCTTGCTTTATTTATAATTCTGTTGGTAGCATTGATGAGAATGCTCTTCAAAATTTAAGTTTAGTGGTCAATCTTACTAAGAATATTCAACTCAAAAGGTATAAATATTGTTCTATAAATTTAGTGGCTAATCAACTGCAGATCTAGAAGATTTATCATAATACTTTCCATAATTCTATTGGGTTGTAAGAGATTTTACACTCTAATTAGTTGATAGAAATAATGAATAAATTACATCTAAAGATTATTTAGAAAATGCATTAACTATATAAAAAGGAACATCTGATGGAATTGATTAAAAAAATAAAATTAGAAAATTACTTAGTACTTTTTTTAAAGATAGAGATTGTATTACTCTAGTAAGACCTTTAACTAAAGAAAGTAGTCTCTAAAATTTAGAAAATTTAGATTTTGATAAGTTGAGACCTGAATTTTTTGAATAGGTTATAAATTTAAGAAAAAAGATATTAAATAGGATTAGACCTAAGACTATGAATGGTAAAACTCTTTCAGGTTAAATGTATTGTGATCTTATTAAATCTTATGTAACAGCTATTAATAATGGAGCAGTTCCAGCTATTGAATCAGCATGGACTTATATTTGTAAAAATGAATGTCAAAAAGCAGTTGCAGAAGCATTTGAAACTTATGAATAGATCTTAAAAGAAAATCTTCATAATAGATTTCCTATTTCAAATGAGGATTTAAAAGCTTTTAATAGAAGTTTGAAAGAATAAGCATTTGCTTTGTTTAAAAAAAAATGTGTAGGAGAATATGATGAATTTAAAAATGAATTATCAAAGCGTATTAGAAATAGATTTGCTGCAGTTAAATAGGAAAATGATAGAGAAGGTTCAAGAATGTGTTCATAATTTATTTAATAAGAATTTTAACCAATTGATAGAAAATTAAAATTAGGAGAATATAGATCATTTGGTGAGTATGAAAAAGATATTAAAATGTTTTATAATTTCTTTATTGAGAATGGACCAAGAGTTGGAACTAGAAATCAAATAATCTTAGAGTTTCTTTAAAGAGCTTTAATTGAAGGATCTAATTTATTTATTAGATAATATTCTTAAGAAACAGAAATGATGAAAAACGTTGCTTAAGAAACTTAAAAAAAACTAGAATCTGAATTAAAAGAAGCTAGATAAGATGGTTTAAAAGATAAAAATAATCTTTTAATGAAATTAGCTTAAATGGAGAGTGAAAAGACTGATATTGAATTAAAAGAACAAGTAGCTAGAGATAATTTAGAAGAACTTAAAATTTAAAAAGATTAAGTAGAAAGAGATTTAAAACTTGAATTTGAAAATGAAAAAAATGATTTAATGAGATAAATTTAAGAATTAAAAGGTTAAGTATTGAAAGCTGAAGAATTTAATAAAGATTTAGAAAGAACAACATTATTTGGTAATTCTGAGTTTGAAAAAGAAAGAGCATTATTAGAATAAAAAATTACTTTTTTTGATAAATTAGTTAATGAAATGAATGCTAAAGAGATAGAATATTAAAATGAAATTAAAAATTTAAGAAGAGAATATTCTTTATAATCGAAGGATTAGTAAAGTAAAGCTGATTAATCAGTTCGTTAATTATAATAGAAAATAAATGATATGTAAGAGAAATTGAATGAAATGGAAAATGAATTAATAGAAAAAGAAACAAATTTTGAAAATGATTTTAAGAAATTTGAACATAAAGAAAGAAGTTTAGCAAAATAAAATTTAGAATTGAATGAATAAATATAAGGTTTGACAAGAGAATTAAGAGAGTATAGAAGAAATGAAGAATAAGTTTAATTAATGTTAAAGAATGATGCTAATAATTAAGTAAATGAAATGATAGAGAAAGTTTAAAGTTTAGAAGATTTAATTAAAACTAAAGATGATTTATTAAAATAAACTAGGAGTTAGAGTGAAAAAGATAAGGCATTGATGTAATAAAAAATGGAATTTATGGAAGTTTAATTGGATGAGTATAAAAAGTAAATAGAAGAAAATAAGAAATCTCATGAAGCAATTATGAAAGCATTTGAAAATTCAAGTAATGAGTCTACTTATAAGATTGATGCAGCAAAAATGAATGATTTAAGAGAATAACACAAGAGAGAATTAAAGAATATAGAAAATGAATATGAAAATACAAAGAAAAGATTATAGTAATAAATTGATTAATTAAATGAAAAGAATAATGAATTAGAATTGAAGGTTAAATTTGAAACTGGAGATTTAATAAAGGAATTAGAAAATTTAAAAGAATAATTATAAACTACAGAAGAATAAAGAAATAAATTATTAGAGTAAAATAAAATGTTAGATGGATAGAAATTATAAATTTTGAAAGAATAAGAACTAAGATATTAAAAGAAAATAAAATAACTTGAATAATCAATTGATGAAGCTGATTCCAAAATTGCAAGAGAAGTTAATTTAGCTTAAGCAAAAGCAGAAGAATCTTTAACTTAACTTAAAAATTTCTATGAAATTGAAAGAGAAAGACTTGAAAGAAGAATTTGTGAAGAAAAAGAAAAGAGTGAAAAAAAGTTCTAAGCCACTTAAGAAGAATTTTATCATAAACTAAGAGAGACTGAATAAAATTATGAAGAAGAAATTGAAAATTTAAAAGATGATTTAAGAGATTAAGTTTAATAATATACAAACACAATTTAGTAGTATGATCATGAAATTGCTTTGAAATAATAAACTATAGAAATATTTGAAAAGCATATCAAAGAAACTAAGGAATAATTAATTTCACTTTAAAATAATAATAATGCTACATTAGAATAATAAATGAATTCATTTACTACTGAAAGAAAGAGTTTGATATAAAAGATTGATGTTTTATCTAGTTAATTGAATAATTTGTAGAAAGAACATATGGCATTATAATAAAAAAAAGATTTATTAGAAAATGAAAAAACAAGAAAAGAATAATAATTTGAATAATCAAGAAAAGAATGGTAAGAAGAAAAGAGAGAATAAGTTGAAAGATTAGAAGAAACTAAATTAAGACTTTAAAAAATGAATGATGAATTTTTAGAAAAGAAAATTGAATATGGAAGAGAAACTGCATTAATATAATAATAAAATGAATTCTTATAAAAGAAAATTGAAGATCTTTAAAGATAAATTGATACACAATAATCTAGATTTGATGAAAAGATTAAATAATAAAAGAATGAATATTCTGTTGAATTGGAATAAAAATTAGAAAGAGCATAAGAGGAGAAAACTGCTATAGAAACAAAATATGAAAAGATTAAGAAATAATTAAAAGAAGCTGAGTATTAATACAACAAATAAGCATCTACTTTGGAAAGAGAAAAAGCAATTTTGACTGAAAAATTGGGACATCTTGAAACAAGAAGAAGTGAATTAGAATCAAAATTAAAAGATGAAACTGCAACTATAGCATAATAATAAGCATCAATGAGAGAATAAATAGCTTAGGAGAAAAAATAGTTGATATAAGAATTAGAAAAATATAAATAATTGAATTTGTAATTAGAATAAGATAAAAGTGAAATTTATACTAGTTATGAAAGAGACAAAGCTTTATGGGAAGGAAAATTCTAATTTTTGGAGTAATAAAAAGAATAGGCTAAATAAGATTTAGTAGATGCTTTAAAGAAATTTGAAATGACATTAATGCATTTATAAAGAGCTAGATCTAATGAAAAGGATGAATAAGAAAATAATTTAAATGAATTATTATTAAGTGTTGAAAGAAAATATCAAGCTTAAATTGAAGAAGCAAATTAAACACATTAAAGGATAGTTTAAGATTATGAAGATAAAATTAGAAGATTATAGAAAGAAGTAAAAACTCATAAAGATAAAATATTGATTGATTAACATGGAAAAATAGGAAACTAATTATTATCAGAAAAAAAGTTTGCAGAGATGCTTGATAATGAGAAAAGATTACAATAAGAAATTGAAAATATTAAATAAGATAGAGATTAAAAGATCTTAGATTATTAGAGAATGTTAGAATAAGAAAGAGAAAATTTAAAGGCAAAAATAACAGAATTAGAAACAAAATATAAAGAAGTTGAGAGTAAGAGATCAACATTAATTTTTGAATTTGAAAAAGAAAGAGCTAAATGGAATTTAGATAGAGATCATTTAAATAATCTTAAAAATGAATTAACAGATTAGTTAGATAGATTAAGAAAGAAAGAAGAATTGTTATTAAGGGATAATGAAAAATTAAAAAATGAATAAAGAGCAACCAGACGAAGTGTAGCTGCTCATAATATGACTAGTAATAATATTATGACAGGTAATAAATATAGAAATCCAATCAATAATGTTTCAAGTAATTTTTTAATAAATAATTTATAGCTATTGGTTTATAAAAATTAAGTCCAACACATTCAAATAATACCTCAACATCTTCTGCAAATATTTCTGTGTTGAAGAAGACTAATTTAGCTGATATAACTAATTTTGAAAAAGTAGTTCCTCAAACTCAGTAATCATTTTAAAACAATAAATATTACTTTTATGGTAATTAGCAAGGATAAAACGATGATTCTATGATTGGACAAAGCGATTATTAGAAATGAATAATTAATAAATTATCTAAAGTTAAATTATAATCTTATTTATGATATTGCTGATTATTCAAATCTAATTTTTTGAATAATTTGTTAAACTATGTATATAAATTTATTTTTAAGAATCTAGAAACTTCTAATTTTTAGATAATTATTTAAAATTATCTAAGTTGATTTTAGAATAGCTAATTAAAAGATGCAATAACATATATATAGTTATTTATTCTAAAAGAATAAAATAAAAATTGTTTCAATAATTCAATATTTTTATATTTTCTATTAAACTTAGAAGCATTATATATAAAGGCAAAAGATTTAAACATTATTTATTTTATTTTAAAAAATGCAAAATAGACTTAGCAAAGAGTTGTAAGATTTGACTACAGGAAATCCTCTTGTTGGAGTTTAAATATAACCTGATGAAAAAAATAGATTATTGTATATATTTAATATTTATTCATAGATGGATTGCTACCGTGTCTGGTCCTGAAGGCACAGCTTATTAAGGAGGAAAGTTTAAACTTGCTATTACATTTCCAGAGAATTATCCATTCAAAGCTCCATTCTTTTAATTCTAAACTAAAATATTCCATCCTAATATAAATGAGAAAGGTGAATTTTGTGAAGATATGATTGAAACTAAGGTATTTAAATTAATCAGCAATAATTAGGAATAATGGCAACCAACCAAAACAGTCAAATAAGTATTGGAAAAAATCTTAAATATCCTAGGATAAGTGAATACTGATTAATCTCTTAATAATCAAGCAATGGAGATGTATAAAAAAGACAAAAATAAATTTGAAGAATATGTCAGAAATGAAACAAAGAAGTACGCTTCATGAATTAACGATAGTATTATACATTATTGTAAAAAATTTTTAATAGATAAATTCATTTATAGGGTTAATTATTTCCCAATAAATAAATATAAAATATATAAAATTTTTTTAGTTATATTAATTTCTAGAAAATATTATTTCTTCAATCTCTTATTATGTTATTTTTGAATTATTAATCTCAGAAATTATTAGAAAATAATTAAGAATTAAAAATGTTCTTTATTAGTATATTTGCTATTTTGCTTTTAATAAGACTCTTGTCTCAAGTCTATTCTAAGATAGATACCTATTATCTTATCATCTTTACATAATAAGCATTCTGATAACTTTATAGTTTGCTAGAATGCCTTGATTATGAATATAGAATGGTCTATAAGTTGTTATGATAAGCACTGCAACAATTTAAACAAATTAATAATTACTTAAAATGAATAACAACTTTTACTAAGAATTTACTTCAAAAAGAGTTAAAGAAAGAAGCATAGGAGATGCATACTATAGAGTACAATAATGGAGATATTTTTTCAGAAATGGAATTCAAGAAAATGGAATTTTTAAAAAGATTACTTTAAAAGAGGCAGCTGATATAGTGAAAGTGCCTAAAAAGACTTTAGAGGATTACATATAAATTTTTAATAAAGTTGAGTTGATCATCAATATTGAAGAGATAGCTGAAAAGAAGATGGGATACTTAAGATCGTTTATGAAAAAAAATAAATCAAAAATTAGGAAAGAAATTGCTCTTCGTAGGTAAAAAAAACTTGAAGAAAATTTAAAAAACAAAGAAGCTTCAAATAATATTTAACCTATTTAAAGTGAAGATGAATAATAAACTAATCATTATCCAAATATTGATATTCTATCTATAAATATTGAGGAAGAAACTTATGAAGACGAATATAGTAACTTTATTTTTAATAAACTAACATCTAAGTGCACACTTGATTGATTATATGTTTATATTTATAATAGATATATGATAAATTGAAATTGTCAATCCTAATGTTGATGTCCTTATAGCTTTGAAATGATTTTTTATAACAATTTCAATAATTAAGGTACAAATAAGGTGGGCATTGAAATATAAGAAATTTGATTTTCGCATATTGATGCATAATTTTAATCATTAAAATATTTCTAAAAATAGTGAATTTAATTATACATTAAGATGAGTTACATATGAATCTCTTTAAATTGATAATTGATTATATCCTTGGGTACTGCAAATTTTAAAATAATCTTTTAATTTTAGGTTTTCCACACCCTATTCAAATCTTGGTGGTTCAATTGGAATTGCATTTAATAAATATAATGGCATTATAAACCATAAAATTCCTGTAAAAAATGGAAATGATGATATATGTAAATAGCAAGAGAATAAAAAATTTAATCCAATTAAATAACCTACATTTTGACGATAATAATAGGCTAAATGCTTTTTATATTGTATTTTTGCTGATATATTTTGAATAGAAATGAATAAAGAGTAAATAGGAATTTTTAATAGATTTAATGGAAATGATAAATAATTTCCTATAACAAAGCATAAAATGTTTGATTACAATTAAAACAATACACTAAATATAATCCTAGTCACAGAATAATCTAACATAAGTAATACCTCTGATTCATCTATTTAATAGCTAACAAATGATCTATTTAAATAAAAGTTAGTTTCCATCTTTATAGCTTCTTATGTTACTTCTTAAGTCCTAATCCACATACCTGCTGCAAATTTTGAATATGTAGCTATTACAGCAATCCAATAAAAAAAGGATGATGCAATTTCTCCTATCAACAAACTTAATCGCCATTGAACTAAATAATATAGAATCATCCATCCCATAAATTGTAATGCTAATTTCATACTTTCAAATGTTTTTTCCGCAATCACTTCACTCTCTGGACTTTCTTTGCTAATCTCTTATTTAAACAGTTTCTTCACTAATTCAACCAATCTCAAATTTTCCTTAGGATAAATGTATCTCTGTATGCTGCTACTAAAAAGAAGAGAGTCTCTTATCCCAAGAATAAATTATAATATAATCATTTTTTTAATGACAACTTATTAGTTATCAGACCCATTAAAAGATTCAAATGAAATACAAACTACTCTTAACTAATTTGATATTACAAGCTTTATACTCTTAAGTAATAGCTTAAATTTAGAATAAGTATATTATTCTTAATAATTAAGTTTGCTCATCTTACAAGTTTGATCGATATGACTCAAGACAAATATGTAAAAAAAGATTTGATTACATTGTGGCAAAATTCAATTATGTAAATCAATACTTCACAATTGAAATCTACTAATTAAGAATAAAAATCAACATTTTAAATCATTTAGAATTAAAGTATGATGCATTCATAATTGAGCAAATCAATAAATTATAATTTAACTTAATGTTCTTTCTAATTATTAGTCAAGAAATAAAATGAAAAATAAAAGAAGCAACTAGAAAAACAAAATAATCAATAAAAAAGCAATTATCCAAAATAACATCGATGTTAATTTGATGATAACAAAAGTCTTAAATATACTTCTCCAAAGAGATACAGAAGTATTTCAAGCTAATATTCTCCTGCAAGACTTTAAAATTATTTAAATCAAAATGAATCCAATTTAAATGTCAATAAAAAATGGTTATAATCTTCCATTCACAAATAATCACATAGCCCATAGTTAAGAGTATCAGCCTAATTAGATGCCTAATAAATTAAATAAAATTTTATGGATAAAAGTAGATCAACTGCATCAAGTTCTTTTGCTAATAAACATCTCCTTTTAAGTTCAAAATTTTCAAATTTTTGAGGGATATAATACTTATATTTATAATAATATTTATTTAAAATATATTTAATCTTTTAGGATAGATTAAACTAATTGTTTTTAATAATTGTATTCAGAAGAATCCCTTTTTTTTTTTTATTTTTTCGATTTGATGACCAGTAATTTATTTTTCGTTCAAATTATATAAAATATAAAAATATCTATTTTCTTGAACACATTAACATACATATTAAAATTTATAAATACAATAATTTCAAGAATGATTTATTAAGAAACTTATTCTTAAATATAAAAATAAATTTAGGAATAATTTATTTTATATTTATGCAAAATTGATTTGGCAAAGTGCTTGGACATTTGCTTACAATAGAAGTAGAAAAATTCTTAATAGTATACTTAAGTTAATGTGTAAAAATAAAAAATAAATTCATAGAGATAAATAATATGATTATAAATCATTATTTAAATATCAGGCATTAATAAATCATTCATCTAGATACTAAATAAATATATAGAATAAGTTAATGGTATAGAAGAATTATTAAATAAGAATTTTGAAATTGACTTTAGGATTAATAAAATGAGTTAGTAAAATAATGATAAGTAAATTCTTATAATTTAAAATTTAATATGTCTACTCTAATTATTTAAAAAGAGGAAAAAGGGATTTTTAGAATCTAGGATAAATTTTTTGATGAAATGAGGTAAGTTAATGAATTTATTTTTGAAAGTATAAATTTTATATCTTTTTATTTTTAAAATATATATTATGGCAGACGTCTAAACATAAAGAGCCTTTTAAAAGTAAGAAGGCATCTTTTAAAATTCAAAAAAACTTTTAGCAAAGAAAACGTCTAAAGGAGTAAGATATTGGAAAGAAGTTGGACTTGGTTTTAAAGTACCTAAGGAAGCTATTGAAGGACATTATATTGATAAAAAATGTCCATTTACTGGAAATGTTAGTGTCAGAGGAGCAATATTGAAGTAGATATTAAAATAGTATAATGTTAGAGGTATAGTAATCTCAACTAAAATGACAAGAACAATAATTATTAGAAGAGATTATTTACATTATGTTGCAAAATACAACAGATATGAGAAAAGACATAGAAATGTTCCAGTTCACATATCCCCAGCATTTGGTCCAGTTAAAGAAGGTGATATTGTTGTATGTGGATAATGCAGGTATTAAAGATTATTAATAATAGACCATTGTCAAAAACTGTGAGATTTAATGTTTTAAAAGTAATACCAAATGAAATAATTGGAAATGTTAGAAAATAGTTCGTTCTATTTTGATTCAATTAAATCATATTAAGTACATTATATAAAACTCATAATTTAATATATTAAAAAAATTTATAACAAGTATGAAATAAATTTTTAGAATATTTTTTTTAATTGATTATGAGCTCTTTATGGATTTCAAACTTTAATATTATATTTATTTTTAAACACATTTTTATAAATTATGGATATGAAGTTTCAAAATAACCCATATTAATTAAAAAAATGCAATAATTGTGGAGATTAATATCCTTAATGTGTTTTGGTTTAACATATTGAAACTTGTGTGAATAATAATTAAACAATTATTTGCAGATATTGTGGAGAACAATAATTAAGATAACTAATATTAAATCATCTCACTATTTGTAAGGCTTTTGAACTTGTAGATAAGGAAGATGGATAATGTGAATATTGTTAAGATAAAATATTTAAAAAGTTCTAATAAGATCATTACCGTGAATGTACTGTTAAGAAAAAGGCTGAAAAAAATTAAACTTAAAAAGTTTAGGAATGCTCAATATGTCTTATAGAGATTCAAAAATCTGATTAAAAGGGAATCTTATAATGTTGTCATATATTTCATAAAATGTGCTTATAAGAATGGCAAAAAAAAAGTAAAAACTGTCCTATATGCAGACATAATAGCTGATCAAAATTTTCATTTATTTAGTATTTATAATAATTCATTCTTTTGTATGTCTTAACTATTTAATCTGCATAATAGTTAAGATATATTAAGGAGAGGTGATTTCTAAGTTAAATTTAAAGTTCTGTTTTTTATCTTTATTCTATATGATCTTTTTGAAAAAAACCCATCCTGAAGTTCTTTTATTTTTTATGATTTCTTAGGAGATTCAATAAAAGAAGATAATTAATGAAATTAATATTATTACTAAGGAATTAGAGTATATTTTTTTGTTAATTTTTGATATTTTCTTTCCTCATTAATTATTTGTTGTCTATTTTATTCACTATTCACAAAATAACTTGATTTGTAATTATTTATTTTATTGCATTCCACTTTTTTTTACTAAAGTGAAGGTAGCCTATCTTTTTTATATCGTTATATTGGTGTAATTTTAGGAGATATTGAGAGTTATTTTAATTAATTAATATCTGGAGATGTTGAATATTCTAACCATCCTTCAAGGTCTATTAAATTTATCATATTAAAATATATTTATTTTTAATTAAACTCTTCTAGTCATTATTAATTCTAAATATATATAAAGTACTAATATTTTTTATTTTTTAATTCAATAATAAATTTAAAAATCCAAAACTACACCTACATTATAAATTCTTTATATATATAAAAATATTTTAAATAAAATTTCTGAAAAATCTGGTTTTATTTGTTAAATTTCCAATTTTCTCATCATTTTTAATTAAACCTAGTAAATTTAGAACTGGATGATTTAATAATTTAATAGTGTACTTAATAAATATTAAATAATTTTTTATCTATATTTTTATTAAAATCATGGATGTTCAAATAACTCTCTCTTATATATTCTTCTTCATCTTTGAGTTAATTTTATAGTTTAAATACCTATTAATCCTAAAATTAATAAATCATCTAACATTAAATTTCTAATTTATTACACTTTTTTTTTTAGATTTATGTATCCTTTTCAGTACAAATGAATTCTGGTACCAGAATTGCAAAAAAAATAAGAGTATTTATTATTTTATAAACACCCAATTACTTACAGACTTGATTCAAACTATTTCTATAACAAAATCTATACTACTATTCCTATTCCATTCTTATTTATTTTCACACTAAAAGCTTCATTAATAGACCTGCAATAATAATTTTTATTTTTTTTATTCTCTATCTTCCATATTGATTGATTCACTTTACAATAAATAAGACATAAAGGATTTCTGGTTGTTTTAAATAAATTTAAATACTTTCATGATTATTAATCGAACCTATTAATAGAAACAATTATTCAACTATAATTATAATTTTTTTAAAAAAACATCTACATAATTTTCATGAGGTTATTATTATTTTTTCAACTTTAACTCATTATCGTACATTTGATTTATTGTATATCTTAAAATACATATACATATCCACAATTATTGTTTACTATGTTATTGAATCTTTCTAAAAATCTCTCCAATATCTACTCCATTCTTTTTAATACTTTAAAGACTCAATACTATTCTAATAGTATTCTAACCACTTCAATAATTTAAAGAACTATTAATTTAGATTAATATTATTAATATTATCATAGATTTAATATTATAAATTATTAAAATCATAATAGCAAATGTAAATGAATAACATATAATATGAGCAGGAAACAGGATGAATATGAGACTAATAAAGTATTGTAAGAAATAAGAAATGAGGTTATTGATTTTACCACATCAAATTTCTTTGATAATGTTGTCAAGAGATATTAAATATATGAACGCACGTGCTTCGATTAAAATAAAGGAAATAGTTTAGAATTTGTTAAGTGTAAAAATTAAGTTAATTTAAGGTATGATGCCCTTTTAAAAGAGATAATTAAAGGAAGAAAAAAAAATGGAGTTTAAGATCAATTATATAAAAAATGAAATTGCTGAGTGTCTTCAGAAAAAATAAATAGAATAGTGTAAACAATCAGCTATAAATAACATTATTTAAGCTTAGAGTGATTTTTTATAAAGCATAGATATAGAACTCCAAAAATGAGTATGATTATTTTTAATTAAAAATTATTTCTGGTATGAACGCACAAAGCCCTGTCCATCAATAATTATAAAAAACATTAGATGTAGTTCAAAGAGGATTTGAAGAAATAGTCTAAAATATTCCAAAATAATATCATGAGCAATGTATGAGTTAAAATGCAAAAAATGTAGAGAAATATGCATAATGTATAATAATCTGATTATTTTCAAAGGTATGTATAAGAAAAGCAAAGTTGTTGATAAATAAATGAAAGCTTTTGATTTTAAGATGCTCTTTATGGGGATTACATTTGATCAATGCATCAAGACAAATTAAGAAGATTAATGTATCTAAAATGCAAAAACAACTGTGGAAGGGTTTATCAGTGATTTTTAAAAGATTGTTAAATGAATAATCAATCTATTCATATAAAAAATATATTCGAAAGAAATGTTCTTTTAATTCTGCAATTTTCATCGAGAAGTATTGATAAAAATGTTATAAAATAAAATAATAATCTAAAAAGAAAATTATTCAAAAAAAAATTAGACTAATTAGCTAAAAAAGGAATCAAATATATATTTTTATATTTGTAATTTTTTTATAAATTATTTGAAATAGATCTAGCTGATAATGGTGATTTTAAATTCAAATTTATACTTAATGAAAGAAATCCTATTTTTTAAATAAGTTTTTTCATATATTCAATATCCAATTAATTGTGATAAAAACTTATTTAGTTGTTGATAATTAATTTGAAAAAATTGAAAAAAGTAGCCTGCAATTCTATCTTGTTTTTCAACAAATAGAATGAATTAAATAAATTTGGTCTTAAATAAAAAACTAAATTTATTCTAAATTATTAAAAATTGGATTGATCTTTACAATGATAAAAATATTCAATGAAAGGTTATCAAATCTAATCAGACAATCAGAGGATAAAAATTAAGATCTTAGAAAAATTGATTTTCTTTAATTATAAAGATTTAAATTAAAAGACGATGTGTTTTATTTGATAAATATGTATTTAGAATCATAAAAATAAAAATCCTCAATATCTGGAAAATTGGATTACCTATTATTATGTTTATAAATGAGAATTATATTTATAAAAAATTTAATAATTTCATCACTATCTTTTTATCAATACATGAACAAAACAATAGATTTTTTTGGGTAGACTATTTTTGTCGATAAATAGAGTAGATGATCAAGCTTAATTAAAACGACCTTTTATGATTTGTTTAACAGAAGAGAGCAGTCATTCTAAAAAATTTGATCTAAAACAATTGCTTGCTTAAAAATACAAGAAATAAATTAGAAATAATTCATAATTCTCTTTAAATTAGATCACTTAGAGAGATTATTATCATCCAAGTTATTTACCCGCTCGTTCTCCACCTAATTTATAATTTTAGAATTGGAACAATTCCGTAAAATCAAATAATTCAAAGAAAACATAATTTAGTAAATAAATCACTAAAAAATGCAAAACCTTACCTATAAATGATTTAAACCAATAAGAAATCTTTAAAAAAATAGATTTTAAATAAAATGTTTAACCAAAAATATCGTAAGTCAAAAATAGAAGCATCACTTGTAAAATACCTGTTTCAACCTAATTTAAAATTATTTAAGTTGAATTGAGTTCTTAATCTCCATAATTTTAAATTAAGGATTAAGAAATCTATACTCCTAAACGGCCTTAATCAAGGTTAAATTCGTCATTCCAAAAATATAAGAAAATATGTTTAGCGAAACCTTCATATGGGTTAGGATTGAAGGTTGAAAAGTGTAAAATACTTGATAGATTGAAAACTATCTCATCATCACCTTAAAATAAACCTTTTAAAATAAAAATATTTAAATCTAGCATCCCATAGGATAAATAATAAAGGCCTATTATTTATACACCTAAAATCTAAGTATTAAATTTCAAAAAGAAATCGTCCATTCAATTGACTAAATGGGAATATTCTGATTTAGAGAATGATTGATATTAAGAAATGATATTTGATTTTGCTTTTATAATTACTTATACATTGAAATAATTAAACTTGTATAAAAAATTGATATAATGTTTTCTTAAAGATTTCCTGCACTTGATCAAAGCACACCANTATTTAGAATCATAAAAATAAAAATCCTCAATATCTGGAAAATTGGATTACCTATTATTATGTTTATAAATGAGAATTATATTTATAAAAAATTTAATAATTTCATCACTATCTTTTTATCAATACATGAACAAAACAATAGATTTTTTTGGGTAGACTATTTTTGTCGATAAATAGAGTAGATGATCAAGCTTAATTAAAACGACCTTTTATGATTTGTTTAACAGAAGAGAGCAGTCATTCTAAAAAATTTGATCTAAAACAATTGCTTGCTTAAAAATACAAGAAATAAATTAGAAATAATTCATAATTCTCTTTAAATTAGATCACTTAGAGAGATTATTATCATCCAAGTTATTTACCCGCTCGTTCTCCACCTAATTTATAATTTTAGAATTGGAACAATTCCGTAAAATCAAATAATTCAAAGAAAACATAATTTAGTAAATAAATCACTAAAAAATGCAAAACCTTACCTATAAATGATTTAAACCAATAAGAAATCTTTAAAAAAATAGATTTTAAATAAAATGTTTAACCAAAAATATCGTAAGTCAAAAATAGAAGCATCACTTGTAAAATACCTGTTTCAACCTAATTTAAAATTATTTAAGTTGAATTGAGTTCTTAATCTCCATAATTTTAAATTAAGGATTAAGAAATCTATACTCCTAAACGGCCTTAATCAAGGTTAAATTCGTCATTCCAAAAATATAAGAAAATATGTTTAGCGAAACCTTCATATGGGTTAGGATTGAAGGTTGAAAAGTGTAAAATACTTGATAGATTGAAAACTATCTCATCATCACCTTAAAATAAACCTTTTAAAATAAAAATATTTAAATCTAGCATCCCATAGGATAAATAATAAAGGCCTATTATTTATACACCTAAAATCTAAGTATTAAATTTCAAAAAGAAATCGTCCATTCAATTGACTAAATGGGAATATTCTGATTTAGAGAATGATTGATATTAAGAAATGATATTTGATTTTGCTTTTATAATTACTTATACATTGAAATAATTAAACTTGTATAAAAAATTGATATAATGTTTTCTTAAAGATTTCCTGCACTTGATCAAAGCACACCAAAAATATTATCCAAAACAACATTTAAGTTTGACATTAAATCGTATAAGACTTAAGAGGATATTGGAGGAAAATAATAAGGATTAAGTGTTTAAACTAAAAGGCAAAAGACTTAGCCTAGTCTAAAATAAATACCTGTTTTCAAAAAATTAGTGTAAAAGAAATTGTTTAATTCATTGGCAAATCCAATTTAATAATTCGAAATACCTCTTAATTGGGAATAAAAGTATCATGAAAAAGTATAATGATTAATTATATGAATTGAGGAAAAAGAATGTTAAGAGTTATTGGATAAAAATAATGAATAATAGAAGATGATCGAATAGCTTGAGAGAAAATTCTTATCTTAAAAATTAGCATATGAAAGTTTAAAAGAAGAGAAATAAGAAAATGATGTTTTGAATATTAAAAAGTAAATGAATCAATTAGAAACTGAATTAAAAGATTAACTTCATAGGGCTGAATAATAATTATGGAAAACTTAAGCACAAAATAGTTCAATTTTAGAGAAGTTTAAATAATTTGAATTAAAAGCAAAGTTTTTACAATAATAAACAGTAAAAGAAATTAAAATTTAGATTCATCTTCATTAAGCATTGCTTTGTAAGTATTGTGGGAAATTAGTAAATGATGCAGTAACTATAATTCCTTGTGCACATACATATTGTGGCACTTGTAATAAGGGATATTAAAAAAAATGTTATTTATGTGGAGATGAAGTATTTGATATAATTATAATTTTATAAAGGGTAAAATAGAAGCTACATATTATAATTAGTTTATGAGTGAAATAGTTAAAATGTATGATACTTTCGAAACAATAGTTCAAATATTTTTAAGATGAATAATAATTAAATTTACATAAACTTTCTAAGTGTTCTAATATTAAATTTATATATTATGAGTACAGATGCCCATGTGGCGCAATTGGTAGCGCGACAGCCTTCTAAGCTGTAGGCTGCAGGTTCAATCCCTGCCATGGGTGTTCTTTTTTACTTTTTATTTTATATACATATTTTTACAAATATTCTAACGAAAATAAATTATTGATAATTTATGTTTGAATTTATAAAAGAATTCATATAATTTGATGATTCAATTCATGCAGTATTTAAGGATCAATCAGCATTAATATATTCAAACAATGAAACTCTAAGTTATTTTAACAGCAAAGGAGAAAAAAGCAGAATTAAAGTGTAAAATTGTAGAAAATACGATAACATTTAAGAAAAAGTCAAAGAAGTGTTGTAGGTTGCATCTAAATATACTTATCTAAATTCAGATTAAATCATTTATGAAGAAGCAGTTAAAATGAAGAAAATTTAGACTATTATTTGGCCACTTGAATATTCAATTGAAAATGATTATGCCATATTAAAATCAATTGATGGTTATGCTTAAATGAAGTTAAATCTTCATACATACTAAATATCTTTACAATACTATTCTTGTAATCAAACTGTTGCTGTAGTTAAGGAGATTGAAAATGATAATAATAATTTTGTAAATAATTTCATTAAGAAATACAATCTTGGAGCCTCCAAATCAACAGGAACTAATATAGATTGTGGTATAGGTTATACATATAGGATTCTTTAAAAAGAATATAGTTTAATTAACTTCCCAATCTAATGGATAGCTCCTTTCTTTATTTTAGTAAAAGACTTTTTAAATAGTGAAAAATGTAAAATGTTAATATAAATAGAGTAGTATAATATTTAGATATTTAATTTCCAACAGAGTTGATAGAATATTTATTGAATGAATAGGAAGAAATGCAAGAATATTTTTATGAAACTTATAATTGCTATAAAATAAAAGATTAATTGATAACAAAAATATTGATAGATGAGCCAATTAAAAAAGTGTAAATAAATGATAATGTGTCACCTATAATGAATAAGATAAGTTAAATAAATTTGGGAAGACCTATTTTTATGCTTACAAATTAAGCATAGTTTTGGTTTTAAGTTGATGGAGGGATAGGATTAATAAATAATTAACTTTTATTAAGAGATGGAATATTTTGGGAATATGGATAATAGAAATGGGAGTAATCAATATATGTATATATATTAAATTTATATATAAGAATGACAAATATAATTTGAGTGCATTTGATGTGTATTACAAACATTTAAACCTAAAGTATAAATAAAATGAGAATTTGATAATCACATAATTGTAGGAGAAACAAAAACCTATAGAATACTATAGAGTAGAATAAGGAAATTTTGAAGAACTCAGAAAAGTTGAGTTAAGAGAAGTGGGAGAATTTTTATTATTAAAGAATGGTACTGTGAAAGCTAAATTTGTGGATAGAACAGTAATTTCATTTAAGTATCCTCCTCCATGTAGTATAAAAATAATATCAAATTATGGTTTAATAAATAGTATAGAGTTTAGTCCAATTTAAGATGAAAGATTGTATTTTACATACAATCATTATTTGGAGTATTTTGATGATGAATTACAAGTTTATATGCAATATTGTTTAAAGCTAGCTGAAGAATCTTATATTATTCCGGAGATATATTAATAGAGATAAACCCATAGTAATCAATTATCATCATGGGTTGAATAGGAGATGGAAAAAAATTAGAGATTTCTGGTTTTAAGTGGAAAGTATAGTTGTTAAGAATTAAATGAATAGAAAGAAGAATAATCTTTGGATGAAAGAATTTAATAATTACTTACAGCAAATTAAGAAATGTTATAAAAATTAAAGAAATGATTAAATTTATATATTGTGGGTTCTTTATGGGAATTTGAAAATTATTCATAAATAAAAATCTTTTTATCAGTTTGAAATGGGAGCATACAAGTATTTACAAGAACTTTGGAAAAAGAAACAATCAGATGTGTTGAGTTTCATAATGAGAATTAGAACATGGGAGTATAGATAATTGCCTGTAATTCACAGAGCCACAAGACCAAGTAGACCAGATAAGGCTAGAAGATTAGGATATAAAGCTAAACAAGGTAATTAGATGTATAATAATTAATTAGGCTATGTAATTTACAGAGTAAGAGTAAGAAGAGGAGGTAGAAAATTACTCATTAGAAAAGGATTAGTAAAAGGCAAACCTAAGAGTTAAGGAGTTAATCAATTAAAACCAACAAGAAATCTTAGATCTGTAGCAGAAGAAAGAGTAGGTAGAAAGATAGGTGCTTTGAGAGTTTTGAATTCTTATTGGGTGGCTTAGGATGGCACTTATAAATATTATGAGGTTATTACTGTTGATCCATTCCATCCAGCTATTAGAGGAGATCCTAGAATTAATTGGATTACTAATCCTGTTCATAAACATAGAGAATTAAGAGGTTTTATATATCTATTATTATAACAGGATTAACATCAGCTGGTAGAAAGAGTAGAGGGCTTAGAGTTAAGGGTCATCGTAATAATTAAACAAGACCTTCAAGAAGAGCTAATTACGCTAGAAGAAATAGAATATCCCTCAGAAGATTTAGATGATATTAAGTTTTTTGTACAATCAACCAATCAATTTGAATCTATTTACTTCATTTCTCTTTCTCCAATTTTCACTCTAATTTATAACCTATATAAAGACTATTAGTTTTTCAAATGGTTATCAATTTTTAATTTTTATTTCATAATTTCAAGTTTTTTATTTCATAATTTCAAGTATTTAATTATATTTTATATATTGATCTTTAAAACATGTAAATGTCAGAAAGCGAATTTTTTGCTGATCTCAAATATAGGCTTGATTATTTAAAAAAATAAGAACTTATGGGAGTTGATATTCATGATAGAAACTTAGAATCAAGTTATTGTGAATCAGAAATTGACCCTGAATTAGATTAAATTTTAACTAAGCAAGGTTTAGTCAAAAAAAAATAATAGATTCAGAATTAGAACTAATTAAACATGAAACTCAAAATGTTGAAAAATGTAAAAATTAACTTTAAAGAACTAAAAATATAAGATTTTGAAATTCTTTCAACATTAGGTATTTATTATTTCAATTATAAAATTATAGGTACTGGAACTTTTGGTAGAGTAAGGTAAGCTAAGATTAAAGGTGATCCTGAGAATAAAGTTTATGCACTCAAAATTTTAAAAAAAACAGAAGTAGTTAGACTCAATTAAGTTGAACATATAAAATCAGAAAAGGACATCTTAACCTTTATAGAGCATCCATTCATTGTAAAAATGAAAACGTCGTTTCAAGATTAATTTTATATCTATATGCTATTTGAATATATCTAAGGAGGTGAATTATTTAGTAGATTAAGAAAGGAAGGTCGTTTTGCAAATGATGTTTGTCTATTTTATGCAACTGAAATCTTGACCGCTATAATATATATGCATAAAATGCAGATAGTGTATAGAGATCTTAAACCTGAAAATTTATTAATTGCTAAAGATGGGCATGTGAAAATTACTGATTTTGGTTTTGCTAAAAAAATAGGTAATGGTAAAACATACACCTTGTGCGGTACTCCTGAATATTTGGCTCCAGAAATTATAAAAGGATCAAAAGTTGGTTATGGTAAATCAGTCGATTAATGGGCTTATGGTATTTTACTATTTGAAATGTTATCAGGGTAATAATATATATACAAAAGTAGATACCCCCCCTTTTATGATAATGAACCTATAGGAATATATAAGAAGATCTTATCTGGTCTCATAGAATTTCCCAAATTTTTTGATAACAAAGTTAAAGATGTAATAAGAAAACTTTTAAATCCAGAAATCTAAAATCGTTTGGGATTTAATGATGTACATAAATTTATAATTATATATTAATAGAATGGTGAATCAATAAAAAAACATAAATGGTTTAGAGGAGTGGATTGGACACGCGTAGAAAATAGATAAATTCCTCCTCCTTGGATCCCTTACTTAAGATCAGAGGATGACGTTTTTTGGTTTGAAAAATATCCTGATTCTACTGATCCCCCAAAATAATTGCCTCGTGAGCTGTAACATATGTTTGATGATTTTTGATTTCAATTAATTATTGCTTTGTTTTCATTTCCAATTTTCTAATACTACAGATTGCTAATTTCTTTCTCATCACTTAGCTCTAATGCACTTTCTAGATTCCTTTTGATTTTTGAGATGTTTATATAAGGAATAATTATTAAATAAATTAAAAAAGATTTAAAATGGTATTGACTTTCACTTATGTTTATTTAGGGAGCCCATAAATCATTGAGAATGAAGAAGAGATTGATTAAAGCTAATAAGCAAAATAGACCTCTTCCTAATTGGTTTAGATATAGAACTGATAATACAATCAGGTATCAACTAATCATATTGTAATGCTAGGTATAATTCAAAACGTAGACATTGGAGAAGAACTAAGCTTAACATCAATTGATTTGTTTACAAATATAATATCGTACATTTATTAATAAATTCTAACTGTTTTGCTATATTCACAATTCTTAAATTAATATACTATTTTATTGGTGTTGTCATTTTGTGCATTCATTTTAACTTATACTTTTGCATAATGATACATCAATTATAACGAGAAGAATTGTTTTTTTTACTAAGTTTGCATTATTCATTAAAAAATTATTAAAGACTTTTACTTCTAAATTATTATTCTTTTGTTAAAATATGTTGTATTCATTTTGTTAACTGAATTTAATTTTTGTCATACGATTATCATTTAGTTTTAATTTTAATTAGAATCTAAACAAAATGAAAAGAAAACCAACACTGAATGTCGAATACGAAGAGTTAATTTAATAAGCAAAAAGCATGTTTAATTTAAACTAAGATGAAATGAATGAAATAATTATTCAAGTTAAAAAATTTGACCCTAAAGGAAGTGGTTATGTGGGAAAGCATGAGGTAGATGATGTACTTAGAGGTAATTGATTAAACTTTTATGAAGATCTTAAATTGTTAGATAATGATAAACTTATTAATAAGTTTAATGAAGAATTAAAGATAATGAATGCAAAATTTCTTGACTTAAAACAAATTTGTGATCTCTATTGTAAATTGAAGCAATATCAATAATAATTGAATGAAGAGGAAACAATCACCTAAGAATATAGTACTAAATCAAAATTATCTAGTCGATGCCTTTTGTGCCTTAGGTGGTTAACTTGATAAATCTGGATATGTACTAAAATCTACAATAATTGAAACAATACAGAAAGAATTTGAAATGAATTTTGATTTAGATTAAATTTTGGGTGATCATGGCACTTAACTTGATTTTGATGAATTCTGCTAATTATTCGAAAATGCTGGTGACGATGCCAAATCACTACTTACTGTATTTATAAAATTAATTTTATAGAGTATTTCATTGTCTAAAAGAAATCAAAATGATTTTGTTGTCAGATATAAAGACTTTGAAAAATGGGAAAAATCTGTTAATTGAATGGGAATTCGTAAATATTATATTTTTACAAAATATAGTTATCTTAATTTTACATATATATATTATAATTCAGTTAATAATTTTTTAAATACAATGGGAAACACAACAACAAAATTAAATAGAAAATTTGACGAATGGCTTAAAAAAGCCTACTATTATGTATTCAAAGAGGAGGATCTGAGTGAAATTTCGGATGAAGTGCTATCTTAAGACGAAATAAATGAAAATGCTATTGAATTATAATAAAATAAAGAGCCATAAAATTAATAAGAATAAGAACCAGATCATGAAATAGAAGAAAATGTAAGTACTAATTCATACTAAATGGAATCTATAATTTGTACATCGATAACAAAAGAAGAATTATTGCAAGATAAAAGAAAGGCTTCTACTTTGCTCCTATCAGAATTTGAACCAAAAAGAGTATGTATAAATAAAGAAGTCATGACAGATTGATAAACCACATATTGTATTATTATATAAATTTTGTTCATAAATTATATCATTTTGATCACTTTAAACAATATATCCTAATCTTAATGCTAAGAATTATATCATATGCCTATCTGGATAAATCTTTGATAGATTGTTGTTTGTTCTAATCAAAATATAAATTTTAGTTTAAAGTTAAATTATTATGAGGTTAAAATATTTACATAATTATTA